GGGCTGATTTGCAAGGGGCGGGGGGTTGGCTGAAGGAGGGGAGGGCGGGGGGCTTGCTGGCGGCGGTGGTCCTCTATCTGCAGAGGGCAAGAGCAGATTCAGTGCCGTTGGCGTGCTTTCTGTTTGAAAAGTCAAAAGGCAAAACGCGGATCCGAACAAGATCACATGCAAGCCAGGGATGGATGCGGATTGCGCGTTGCTGCTTCCGAGGCAGGGCTAGCAATCTTTCGATCACCGAAAACGTCGACGTGCCTATACTAGCAACGGGTGCTCAGCACTTGAAACCACTCGCTGCAAAGGCATCTTGTCTGCTTTTTGGGAATATCTATGAGCAGTCCCAGCTGAAAAAAGAAGGTTGCGACTTACTTGTGCAGTCTGGCAGGAGGGGGAACGCCAAGGCGCAGCACAGCGCAGGGCAAACGTGTTAGTAGGGGGTTTGAAATTCGTTCTCGAATCATGCAAGCAGTTACAAAGAGGAGCTTTCGCGCTTACTCAGTGCGCACGCATCAGCGTACAAGTCTGCGCGACATACACCCAAAGATGCGTGGAAAGGAAATGATGGCATGCAGATTGTCCTTTGAGGAGCTGGCAGCGACTACTACGTAGTAGTACAAAGCCCTGGCAACGGGAGTTGAGACGGGTCCATTTTAGGCATGAGGGGCGGGTTTGCGAGGTCGATTAGGATTCTACTCGAAACGGAGGCGCTTAAAAGATGGGTCTGGATGTCGGAGAGGGAGGTCCAGAAGACGGAAGGCTTACCTTGGTTATCAAAGATAACTAGGCCATCTTTACCCGGCCCAGCGAAGTACTGGTACGGGGTCTGCAAAGGAACGGCGAAGGCTTGAGAAGCGGCGGCAGAGCACTTGGGGGCGGAAGTAAGTGAGGGCCAAGCGAAGCGGAAGAACTATTGGAAGCAGCTCGGTAAGGTTTAGGTCAACAGGCTGATTGCATTTGTTTGCAGTAAGGGTCGACACCAAGCAAAGGGTTACCGCAGGCGACACGGTGCAATAGATCTTGGCAATGTGGCCTGATTGTCTAATCGGGATGAGGGTTGAAGGCTCGAACTTTTAAAAAGTACGGACGATCAAGTGTTCTGGGCTGTCTCGATGACTCAAGGATACCAGCTAAAGGGAAGAGCTCGTCAAAAATTTTGGATCACTCAGATTGGCGAGGAGCTGCCGCGTTCGATTGCCTTTTTGTTTGTTTTCTTGCATTTAATTCTGCAGAACGCGCCCTCAATGAGCAACTCGTACTCGAAACACACCAAGCGACAGTAGTCACCGATCTCTGATCTCACAAGGGAACTCCTCTCAAGTACAGTTCCAAAACACAACCGAAAGCATGCTTTTGAAAGGCAGCTTTGAACTTCGACTGGCCAATATATCTCGAAGCTCCACCAGAACACAGCGCGCTTTGGGACATCGTCCAGGCTTCAAGAAGCTTACCGTGCCATTATTCCCTTGGTCGTTGTTTTGGCCCGTGTACTGACAGAGCGTGACCATGGCGCCAGTGTCCAGATAGCCTGCGTCGGAGATGCTACCCCCCAGCGGGGGAGTCCTCGATTTCTGCAGATTCCAAAAAATTCCCACTGTTAGACGCTTCTGAGTTCGACGGGTGGCGACCCGACCATAAAAAGGAGTGCCGCTTTCATAAGATATGGTTCTGGGGGCCAGATCACGTTCGCTGGATTTGACACCATTGGCGGCCGAGGACTGTTCCGTTAGCCTGTCCAGTGAACTGGTTTTGGGGGTAGACAAAAGAGACTCGACGCGTGAGGTAAAAAGTGAACGTATACAAGAGTTCTGTTCGAGAGGGCGGCTGGTGTCGGCCAACAAAAGGCAGTATACAATTCCAAAGCTCCCGGCTCTCCACTTCTGTTGTCAAGGGTCCTTCACGAGCGGCAGGAATGACGCCATTACGCTCGTGACATGACCAATCTTCAGAAAGGATACTCTGTAAGCTAGGCCGAAGGCACGTGAGTGCACGACATCCTTGAACCTGTGTTGCTCAGTTTTGCCCATGCTCTTGCGGAAGAGGAACCATGCTGATTGAAAGACAGCGATAATGAACGTCACTTACGCCTCTGCGCTGGTTGTTGGCCTGGGTAAAGAAGACCCCCTTGAAGATAGTGCTAGCACCGAAGAAGGCACCCCCTCCTTCGGTCTGCAGCAACAGGTGGGTTACGTTGGGTTAGCACAGGACTGGAGCCCTGCTCGGTATCCCCACTTCACTTCGAGATTCCTAGGCTGCCTTGTATGCTCGAAGCTGGCAAAAGGCAACAAGAGGGCCGCACCAACAGAGTGTCAGACAAGCAAGCTCGCCCAAAACTCATAAAGGCAGTGAAATGAAAGGGACGAAGCGAGTCGCAACTTCTGCTGACTTGGTCCAAATGCTGACTTGGTCCAAAGCACAGGAGAACCACGAAGTCGGGGTGGGTTCAAACTTTGAATCTGAAGTTTCAAAACAGGCGCGAATGTGAGGGAGCTCACCCCTGCCGTGTTGCTGTCGAAGGACCCAGTGTTCCACTGGACGTTGGCAGGGCCGGTCATGTAGAGCCCAGCACCGAAAGCATCCTGCAAGCGACACAGAGCTATGAAAAGCAGGCCTAAGCTTTTTATGACTTGCGCGATCGGAGTGAGCGGGCGGGATGACTAGGCGGGAGGACTTTAAGGAACCTCAAGCTTAGTCTAAGCTAGCTATTGAAGCTTTCAAAAGGTTGTACGCAATGGTGATTTGAACGCTTCATACTCCGTGGTATCTTGATAAAGACCCAAACTCGCAAGGCTGTCCAAGTAAAGTACACGGACTCTCCAGTTCTGTTAATAAGTCTTATATTACGGGTACCAGAAATGCGCCTACAAACAAGCATGCCAATCTTCCTCAATACGATATTCAGAGTTCGCTGCATGCCTCACCTAGCGAGGTCAAAGAACGCTAAAAACATCAGGGACTGGATGCACAGGATAGTGAAGAGTTCGAAGAGTTGGCCGGAACCTTACCGCCATGTTGCTAGTGATGGACGTCCGGCTGGCGCTGAAGGGACCTTGCACGTAGATTCCACCGCCATTCTGCAAGCATTGACCCCAGGGTTTCACGGAATTGCTATTTCCACCCTATCCTACCCGGAATGCAGCTTCGAGATTGCACACCCGCTCGCGGTCGTTTGTATAAGCGAGACCACAGGCTAAGCCTCTGCCCAAATGTAAGAAGCGTCACCGAGAATTTAAGCGGGAAAACGTGCCTGCGAAGTACCTCGGCCTACTAGATAGGAGTCTTTCCTGATATTCAAGGTATTGTCAGCTCCAGCTCAAAAGTGCAGAAGGACACGTGGCAGAAGGACTTGTGGCAAAAAGAGAGTACTTCCTTTGCCAGCTACAAGTTAGCTTACCTGGTAAGCGCCTCCCTGAAAGAACCCAGACCCGCTGGCGATCACAGGCACGTTCGATTCCGTATACATCGCGCCTCCGAATTGCTGCAGAAAACGAAAGAACAGACCATCTTGAGTTGGCTTTCAGAACTTGATATCTTTCAAGAGACTTAACAGGAGGACGCAAGGAAACCGCAGTTGCCAAATGTGAGGGCCGGTAAGGATGCTGAAAAGCTGCCATATCCAACTACCCGCTTAGAATTACAGCCTTCCGAGGGGGAGACGAGGATGCCAACCTCTTCCTGCATTCAGAGCTGTTTGGGGCTTGAGCGCATGGCTATCGACTTGAGGTTGATCCTAAGTAGATGGATCTCCAGTGGTTGCGTATCTAACGTCGCAAGGGGCATCCTCGACAAGCTTACCCCATAATTTCTCAGAGCTGCAAAGCTCGTCGTAGAAGCGCTGGTGCCGGGGCCCAGGTAGACAGCCCCTCCGTTTCCGTTTGTCTGCAGATATCAGGAGGTGTTCGTAACCCCTTCTTTTCAAGTCGCATATAAGAGTCAAGAAAGGTAATACAAGCGGACCGTTTGCCCCACCCAGAAGTTACGCCGACCTTGTTATGCAAATTACAATCGCTTGCCCTTGTTGCCAGCCTCGACTAAGGGCTGAGCATGACGAAAACCGCCTTATGACAGACCAAGTGAGTGCAAAGCAGATTCGTGGCTGCAGATGGTTCAGATTCAGAATCACATGGGTGCAATAGATAACTCACAGCAATGCAGTCCTGAAAGTTGACGTTCAGGATAGTCAGCGGCCCAGCAGTATGCTCCAGGCACGCCCCATTGCCAGAAGCTCTCTGCAAGAGAAGCGAAGAGTCTTAGCCCAGTTTGTCTTGGGAGTAAAAAGCAATCGTTTGAAGTGCACCCGTTCCCGGGTGAGGCTTTCAGAATGAGCTGCTGTCGGAAGAAATGCCTGTATTCTTGACCTATGATCACTCTGATCCTTGTTACGAGTTTGCAAGAAGTAGCCGTGAACGAAAGTCCTTGTTCTGTAGCCGAAGTGCAGATTTACCTGAGAGAAATAGACGACGGCAACCACAGTCACTTCACAAGAACACACGAGGTGAAAGGAACAAAGAAGACAGACTTTGCTCTCTACTTTCACAGCGGCACACGGAGTGGAGAACACTCGGAGACGACACTTCGGCTTTGAAACAGGTGCCCTTGCACGAGGCAATATAGTCACGTCAAAGGCGACAACATTGAATTACGGCGCTAGGAAGTAACGCTCCCTTAATTCAGAAACTTCCCAAGACTTTTGTTATGCGATTGCTTCCAAAGTCAGATGCTTCACAAGTTGCAACGACTTCAAACCAGTGTTTATCGTGTAGATGTTGCCACAGTCAGGTGAAAACGGGGCTCTGCAATGAAGTCTCACCAAGGCCCTTGTCAGCCACAGGCGCTCAAACCGGATCCCGTTTGGGTTGGTCGTTTTGAACAATGCGTTTGAGCCGTTGCCCGTGATCTGATTGAACTGTGGGTTAGCGTCATCTCCGAGGAACCGCAGCCCAGCAACATCGCTGTCAATCACGATGGGGAAGGTGGTCCCAGCTGGGCACGACTCGGGTGACAAGGTGATGAAGCCCGTGAAACGAATGGTTGGCACCGCAGGATCCCTGTTACCGCCATCATACGAGTATACGACGGGGTTCGCGATTCTCATGAGGAGCTCCGGGCACGTGCTCGCGACGTCGGGAATGTTCAGCGGGCAGACTGGAGAGAGAAAATGTGTGTGGGACGGGTGCTTAGAAACGCTTGTTACAAGAGGAACGACAGTGTTTGAGGCGGTGTTCTTGGCGAGTTAATGCTGGAGAGGGTTTGTTGTGACGCAGTCCCGAAAAGGATTTGCAAGAGAGCAATTTAGAACAACGGCTGCATTCACGCAAGGTTTCCAGTTCCGAAGCATTCGCAATCTGGCCACCAAAGCTCTGGACCAGTCACTCCTAGCTCGTGTCGAGGTTGCAGATGCAGGCAAACAGACATACATACTCGGTTACGATTGCATCCGGCAGCAGGCTTCCCGTTGCCTCTTTTGCAAAAGATGAGGAAAGCACGAGAAATTTCGGAGACTCACTTGTTTCATAGGGCCCAACGATTGTGGCGAACTGCAAAAGGCGAGGAACCCCGTTAGCTAAAGTGACAAGTGCAGAATGCATGTGTTTGTTCAGGCTTGCGCATAGCTCTTGCTCTTGCTCTTGCTCATGTTCTTTATGAAAGTATGTTGTCGGGTTGCCTCAAAGGCCTCCTCTACCTTCGGCGAACGCCGATTCTGAAGCGCCAAGCTCTTGTTCATAGCTTCGTGTCCGATTGAACATCCAATTTAGCGCCTTTCCCAGGATCTGGATTCTTCGAATTGATGAAGCCTGTGGCAAAGTTCGTGATAGGCGAGTCAATACTTGATTCCTAACTAGCGGATCCAGATATATTGTAAAAGCTTATTCCCAGAAGCAACTAGTAGCTTCCAAATGCTCGCTATAACTTTAAATGGATCTTCTATGCTTCGCTCAGAAAGCCGGATGAATGTCTCACGTTAAAGCCAAACTGATCCGAGCAGATTCGCAGGAGACCCCCCGGCGTTATGAAAACGCTCCTTGAGTTGTCTGGTCCCTGCACGCACGTTCAACCGCTGTGAGAAGAGTGTGATGAGCCATGCCTTTGTCGAGGACACACGTACCAAAACACATTTCAGACATGTCAAGTGGTTTCATTCGTTCTTAATGAGATCAATTGATGAAGGAGCCTTCCAGTAAGTCCATTTGAGTCACCAACGGAGATTCCAGGTCTGTCTTTGAGTCAAAGTCAAAGCCAAGAACGTAGATGACGTCATCCATGGACACCCGATTGTGATACTTACACTTATTGTATTGTTGAAGGAACCGGTGAACAAGGAAGTGACCTGAGCATCCTGGATGTACATGGCACCTCCTTGTACCTGCAAAGATGTCCAAGATTTGGTACCTTAATGAAACCCAGCTTTCTAGTCTTTCCGTTCGATAGTGACATGAATATTGACGTATAGTATAACAGCTGCGCGATCATGCACAACGAAGCCGCGTAGCTGCCTTCCTTCGATACTGAATCCTTCTCCGACGATCTCGACACTCACATGACGAGCAATGACTGCCTTGATCTGCAAGGAGAGCCACTTGCTTTACGAACTCTGCATAGGAAGGTGAGTCGCCAAGCAAGGCGAAGGTACCATCAAACGGACTCGCCCTGAAATAGGTTTCCTATCGCCGAGGGTGCTCACCGCGTTGCAGATTTGGAAAAGCCCTCCCTGATAAAACCCGCCATCAAGAGAGGTTGACGATTTCTTCTCAAAAGCGCAACCCCCCAATCCCCCCTGTACAAGAATAGTAGAGTGTTCGGTCCCGGCACGTAAATATCATCAAGTGTTGAAATTGTAGCGGACTGGAGCAACCAAGTTCTAAGTACAGGCTTTCCATAATGATTCTGCACTCTTTAATCAGAGGTAAGGGGTGGTTTTCGTGAAAGGCTCAACCTGAAACGAAGAAAGACTCGCTCCAATTAGTCCAAGTAATTGTTGTGTTGTGTGTTGTCCGCAAAAGTTCTGCAAATTCAGGGATTGTCAATGAGAAGCAGCAATTCAAGAATTATCAATGAGATATGCAAACTTCTGTGAACTGAGCTCTGATCAAGAGAAGCGCCAGGAAGTACTATCTAGGTGTGCGCGGGATCAAACTAGTGCAACCCACATCACGGTTCAGACTTACCGCATTCGAGTTTGACATTGTGGTAAAGAAGCTGTCCAATCTGCCTCCGACCCAAAGAGAACCACCATCCTGCATGAAAGAAAGAGCAGATCATGCGCCAGAAGCAAAATGGGATGCGATGGCCAAGTTGACAGTATACAATGGGACCCTCGTGGAAGAGGATTCAAAGTAGACGGTGCTGCCCTAGCTTCCCTCCCTAGAACAACAGCTTCCAGCACTCCGCACTTGAGCGAGTGCTCCACAAAAGGAAATGTGGACTGCAGCACTAAGAACACATGTTGAATGAGCAAGACCCAATTTGAAGCGGAAGCTCATGACAATTGCAGGCGAAGGTACGATCCAAGCTAATCCTTTACCTGTTCCGCCTTATTGAATTGCATGGTAACAGTGTACAAGTAGACCTTCGATCCATCATCACCATACACGGCACCTCCGTTGCCACCTCCACCTCCGGCGACCTTTTTCTGGAGAGCATAGAAAACTTCTTCAAGACCAAGCTTCAAGCGAATTGCATCCGGCAGTCAAAGGCGTTTGTTGGCTTTCGCAAGTCGCAATCAAAAGAGACTGAACGACGATCTCAATCTTGGACAACGGGAGATGTAATTGAAGCAGCGATGTCTAACACCTTACTTTGACAGGCACGGGAACCTTCTGTCTTGTTTGAGATATTGCTTACCGCGATGTTGTTTGTGAGAGTTGTACCAGACAACATTTCGATGCTGGTTCCTGGGGCGAGGTAGATCGCACCTCCATTACCGGTTGCCTGTAAGGACATGGCGATGGCAATCATTCAAAAAGGGGAGCGCAACTATCAAATATGACGCAAAACTTCAGAATCAGGCTCTAGGTTTCTACAGAAGGTCCTGCTGAAATGCCTTGATCGGCTCATGTTAGCGTTTTCGGAAAAGTCTGCACTGTATCAGAAGAATCGGAAGTCTGCCCCTTGACAAGGACTCTTTATCTTTTACAAGGACAATCGGAAGTCTGCCCCCTTGACAAGGACTCTTTATCTTTTACAAGGACAAGGTATGATATCTCCACATAAACCACGGACCACTGCTTCGTTTCGGATAGCTTCGATTTGCGATCTCGTTTCCTTCACATGTGTGGGCTTGAACTGACCTGGTGGTACGAGAAGACGGCGTTATTGGTCTGTACGAAAGCCCCTGATTCGACGCTGATCGCTGGCCCGTTTCCTCCCTGTAGGAAAGAGTTGGCAAGCCTTAAGGATGTCCTCACACTTCCCCACTAAAGCCGTCCCCTTGGTGGCCTCAAAGTCACTGGTCCAGTGGTGAAAGCGACTATATGGAAGAGCTGGGCGTTGCATCACAAGCATGGGACAATGCCACATGAAGTCGAAGCTCAACAAGACGGACAGGCTCACAGGAGTCTGAGGTTAGACGACCTTCAAGTGCCGTCTATCGTTACTTCGTACTAACAAAGGTCTTTGGGCGAGGCGAAAATACTGCAAAAGCAGTACTTGATATTGAAGGTCGAGCGAGGTTGCGACCCAAACGCCTTGCCTTGGATCTTGAAGATATAACAAACAAATCTCGCTCAAAACAGACGGGTTAGAACCTTGAAAGCAGAAAGCGGGGTACCTTATGAGGTTTTCTGTAACAGACCGAAAATGTAAAGGGATACCCTCCTCACCACTCCTCTCGTGAGTTGCACGCGATTGAAAAAGACCCTAACTCCGGTGCCCGTGACCCTGAACAGGGCGTTGTTGTTGTATGCGTCGAGAGTGTTGTAGAGCGGGTTGTCAGACGCCCCCTGAATCGTGACCGATTTGCTGATCACAAAAGGAAGCGAGAAGGTGCCGCAAGTGAGCGCGTCAAAGCGGATGACGTCTGTGAAGTTCACTACGCCAGTGCCATCGTTGGGCGCGTTCTGGAGAGCAGTCAAAAAGCTGACGCAGTCTTTGTTGGCAGGGATAGGGGTGGTGTTGTTGTAACCGGGACAACCTGCAAGACGACAAGAGACTCATGAACAGGGTTGGCCGCGAAAAAGGGCCCAAAGAAGAGAGCTGAAGGATGACCAAAACACTTCCTCGGCTTGAAGGCGAGATTTCGACATAGTATACCGGCTGCATCCAAGAACGCCAACGAAAGAAGTTCTGCAGATAGAAGAAAGCCGTCAACTTTATCTGAACCGCGGGTGCTTACAGATTCAAATTCAGCATCCAGGTCAAGAGGGGAAAGAATTGCTCGATGTGGACGTGAGGAACTTACCAAGACTGTATGGTCCTGAGACAGTATGCGGCTGCATAGAAAGGACGCAAGGAAAGTCTCAGCAAGAGCACAGATCACATGTGATTGCAGCTTGTCAAAATGGCAAGTTGCTGTGCTGGTCACCTCAACAAAATGTGTCGCCAATCCTTTCAAAATTGATCAGACCGTTTCTGGTCAAGGCAAGTTTTTTTCCGGGGGGTCGCTGACGCATCAAACTGATTTGAATCCTGGGACCTTGTCTTCGAACTGATCTGGACGAGGGGACCAGGAGATGACAGCTCACGTTTGTATTCCCGGGCCATGGAAGCTCGTCACAAAAGTAAGCGAAGCCACCTTCGTTGACAAATACATCCCTCGACCCGTCATTTGGGTTACCGCCCTGCAAGAACGAGGGGAAGGAGCCGAAGTGGGAACGTGTCAAGGATCAGCCCAGCTACAGAATCCAAAGAAACACAAGCGAGGAAGTCACGATGGAGTAGTCTGCTCGAATCGAGGTGGCTTTTGGATATCAAATATGCCTGAGATTGCTTCCTTGATTTGCGTTAGTCTGGCCTGAACAACTAAGATGTTGCTCTCGTTTAAAAGGACCCAAGATCCAAAAGATGACCTTCCTGCTCTTCGAGGAGATATGGGCAGTCTGGGTGGCACTTACGTTGGTGCCGGTGACCGTGTTGTTTGCGGTGATGTGCCACTTCGTTGTGTCGATCTGTACATTTCCCTTCAAAACGAAGACCCCTCCTCCAGAAAACTGTAGTGTGCGCAAGTCATCGCTGAGATCTAAAATATACGTGCGTTTGCCTCCGAAGGCAAACGAGTCTCCTTAGCAAAAAGCAATCCCCAGCACTTTGATTGACTGAAGAGATTCGCACGATCTTGCAGTTCAACAATTCAGTTCAATCCAGGTCGATCCAATTTAAACTCGTTGGAGGGAATCTGGAAGACGAGGCTACTCTTTCTTGAGGCTAGCCAAGAGTCGCAACAAACGCGATGACAACTCACTGTAGCGTCGTTGCCCTCGATGTCGGACATTGTGATCCTCACACGGTCAGCTTGAGTCGCCAGACCGCCTCCACTTAACGTCTGGTCAAAAGACATACAAACATTTGTGTCAGTAGCGACCCAGCCCATTCAGAAGCACCATCCGCACTTGAAGATCTACCAGGAGCTGAGCAAGCTAACCTCGTTTGCATTCAGAGCCTCTACGCTTCAAAGACTCGAGTACGTCTCGAACTCTCAACTTCCTCAACTATCAAAATCTAGGCTGAAGCCGCTGGTATTAGTCAGGCAATCAATCAGGTCTCTCCAAACATCCATCCATCCATCCGTCCCTTCTGCTTGGCGGGGCCACGACTCCCTCCCAGCAAGAACGGTGCTCACCGCAGTGTTGCCAGTCATTGTGACTTGCTGCATGCTGACGTCACCATCAGCCAGCATGCCGCCTCCGGCAGACCCGCCACCGGAAGCAGGTCTGGTGGCCTTGTTGTTGGTGAATTGGACGTTTGTGAGCGTCGTGACGGACGTGGAACTTGAGACAAAGACCGCGCCACCGTTTCCAAGCTGGGTTTACACAAGCGAGTCGATTTAGGACGTCATCTCTCACCAGATTCTTTTGAGGCCACCACCTCGGTGGGGCAAGCGAAAGCAAACGCCTTCGTCATCATTCGTGTCACTCAGTCAGCTTGCGTATGTGTAGACAGTCGTATGGGTCAGACAAAACAACAATCCGCTTCACAGGACCATGCTCAAAACAACCTGATCTTTTGTAAGGGTTAAGTATAGCCTCTGACTGCGTCCTCTCGAGGGCCAGCGCTGCTCAGTCTCATAAGAGAGCAACTCACCGCCTGGTTTCCCATGAAGGATGTGTCTATTATGGACGTTAAAGCGTTGTCACCTCCCATGAACAGGGCGCCACCTCGGCCGTTCGTCTGCAAGGGATGCAGAATTTCGTCGGACAAGTGAACAGGATTTAATGGCTGTACGCCTAATGCTACAGCTATCAATTAAGAGCAAGAATTGCTGCTGGTCACGGTCCTCCAGGGTCACGTTGACGTCACAAGTCACGGAAGATCTCTTAGGGAAAGTTGACGCGCCGGAAGGATTCTGCCACAAAAGACTCCGCGAGAAAGCGCTAAAGCTTGTCTCTTTGCAACGAGCCCAACATCAGATAAAGAGCCGCAACCCAAGACCAGAAAAAAAACGGGAGCGGCGGTAAGCAAGTTTTTTTGGGTACGTTCGTGCTCCTGCAGGCTGACCAACAGTAGAGTTCCATCAGATCGTTGCCAGTGAAAGCTCTAGCGTGATGTTCGCATTTCGGTATCTAAGTGGTGGCAGTGCCGACAACTCTCTGGTGCAACCTCCTGACACTTACCCGGGTCGAAGGTCTGACACGACGCATTTGGTGCCAAACTTGAATCTAACAGCGGCCGTATGCCGGCTATTGACAAAGCTGACGTATGAGAAAAGCTCGAATAGTCATCTGCTTACTGAGGTGCAATTCGTGAAGGTGCAACCGGCGAACGTAGACTTGATGGAGCCGCCAAGAAAGACACAGCCACCGTCGGTTGCCTGGAGGCAGAGATTTCTGATCAGCAACTGATAACGGGAAATGCAGATTTCGCAGGACCACGACTTCATCATTACAAAGTTGACGTTCTCAAAAGAGCTACCAGCCACTTCACGACTGAGCGATTGCTCAGCGACCATGCCAGGGTTGTAGAAGCCTCGTATTTGGAGACCAACTACGCAAACAGCTGCCTCCATACCAAGAGTCCGTCTCAGACAAATTAGCATCGTAAAGCACACGAAGAATCTCTGCCTGCCAAGACCTTAACCTTCGAATCTAACGTCCTACGAAGCGGCCTCTTCTGAAACTAGATGCATCCATGAAGTCTAATTCGTTGCATTCCAAACCGAATCTAAGACCACTGTCTGTTACCAGCAATTCAATCTCAGCCAGCGGATAAGGTGGATAAGGACACATGTAGGTAAATCCAGCCTCACGAACATCTAAGATCTGTTGCAAGTACCTTCAATTAGATATGGGACCTTTCAACAATCTGAATTGGAGTAGGACAACTTCCATTCGAGCCCCAACACAGATACAATGCACTTGTTCACATGCAGAGAGAGCGTTGGAAAGCAAACCTCACCGCCATGTTGGTATCGAAGGTGACTGACGTAAAGGACGCCTGCAGTCCAGAATTTGAAAAGATAGCCCCTCCTGCGCCTGTGCGAGCCACGTTGTTGGTAAACTGGACATTGTCGAGACTGAGTGAGGAGCCTGTGTCAGCGAAGATGGCACCCCCAGCATAGTCCTGCAGAGGATGTTGTGCATCTCATCTTGTTTTGCCAACAGGTCTGTCAGAAGCCAAACGTTGAAAACCACAGCGTCCTGCAACTAAATGGAACTTCCTGCAATTCGAAACCCATTGAACTTGCAATCGGACGTTGAGCAAGGTGCTTACAGTGGAGATGTTGAGAAAGCCAAGAGAAGGCTGCTCCCTGTATCTTCTGATCATGCAACGCTGGAGAAAGCAAGAAAGGGATGTGACGTAGTCTGCTTTGCTGAAGTTGCGGTGCCTAGCTGCATTCCTCACCGAGCTGCTGCCAGTGATCAGCCCGTCGGAAAACGAGGCTGAACCTCCAATGAACACGGCCGCTCCAGCAAAACCAGTGTTCTGTAACAAAATACAGACGGATGCAAAGATTGTTTGGCTGAAAGATGTCCATGTCAGCAGCCTGGTCATTGGCCCACGACCAAGGCTGTCCACAGTGAGGAGTGCATAATCCTCCAAGGCTGAGTAAGGAGTTCCGGATGCTCTGCATTTCAAACCGTTTCACAGAAGCTATGAAAGAAAACTGGCGACAAATGAAACTTTGAACCCGAAGAAGCGCTCAAGCGTCGTTCTTTTCTAGGGTAGAAATGAGGATATGCTAGATGGTGTGGACACAGCATGGCGCCTTGTGCCTACCTATGGTATTGAATGGAACGGCTGCAAATCTGAAATATCACTTCAAGCGAAGGAAGAGCGATGTGGACGTCAAAGCAAGACGCAACTTCCCTCTTGGGCAAGGTCACAGAAAGATTTCGGCAAGATGACTTACCACAACGCAGTTGCTGATGACAAAGTTGGAGAAGGAAGCCGAGGCCGCCGAGTTGACCAAAACCGCACCACCCTGCGCATTGGTCTGTACGAGGCAAGAAGGTGATGTGAGTAAGTTGCATACACTAAGAGCTTGTGCAGGTGCGAGACCCCCTCCCCTCCTGCGAATCAGGTCTGAGGTCTCCGCCTGCAAGCACTTTCATGAAGCTCTGCCCTGTCAGTGGAAACGGTGTTCTCTGGGAATGGGTGCATGTGCTCCATTTGTAAGCAGTACTGACTGTGCGATGATGACAGTGTTGCGCTTGTCATGGTCAAAAGAAAGCCATGCTTTCAAGGACCATCAGATGGCAGCAATGTCCTTAACACTTCAAGAAGACACCAGCTTTATCATCCAAGGCAGAGGGAAATTGGGGTACTCAAGTAGTATTCAGTAGAACTACATTGTAACATTCTCTTCCAAACATGCAAATATAAAAGCAGCCTCCTTCGTCCACCACCTTCTTGCCCCTCCATTGAAATGGTTTGAAAAAGGTGGATACAGAAGTGTGCGCCTCACCTTCGCGTTTGTAAGTGTCAGGAAATTGAAGTTAACCTGCGTTCCAGACCCCTGAACGACGAAGAGTTGTGTCATGGCCTGGCCGTCGAATCCGTCGTTGGCTGCATTGCTAGAGACTCCGGCCAACGTCACACTGCTGCCAATCGTTATGGGGGAACTGCAGGGGAGGATACCCTGGATCTCGACGGTTCCTCCCGCCCCTGCTGCCGATATTTCAGCCGCCAGGTTGTTGCAGTCAGTCACAGGGGCTGCTTGCGTGACACCTGCACTAAGGGGCAGTCGAGTTCAGAGGTGATATGAGTTTGTCAACTATTGTAACTGTCTTGCATATGCAAGTGGCAGTTGGACAAGTGCAGCAAGAGCATTTAAGTGACACCCTGACAATGAGGCAAATAGTCACTTTCGATACAATTGGTGTTTTTTGCAGAGTTTACAAGCACAGCAAAGGGAACGCTGCAGTGGTACTCCTGACTTCTCTTACAGAGTTGTGCCGGAATCCATAGTGAGAGATCTTTGCGTAAGCTGAGTAGCCTCCCGATTCAGAGCTTGAGTTCGACCTATCAGCCAGGGTCAAGCAATGAGTGTATCAGACAACAGCGTTGCACTGACAGACAGTGCTGGGTGAAGTTCAAGAGTGACTACAGCAAAAGCATTTGACAGGTCCTTAAACAGGAACCAAGTCATCAACCAACCCCTTCAGCTAGGGGCCGGAAGCCCCTTGCTATTGGTCTTACAGACAAGCAGGCAGTGTCAACCAAGCAAAAACCTTTGGTTGCAAGCGTGACAGAAGTTGTCATCATTGTCAAGAGAATCTTCAAAGTCTGCCCAAAGGTGGAATTTGTGGCAGCTCCAAGACGGCCTGAAATTGCCTGCTTGATGGAACGTGTGATCCAAGTACATTCAAATATCGGCCCATGAAGGCAGTATTGCACCCTGAAAAGGTGGTGTGAAGGTGAAATTGTGTGCAGTTATTGGTGCTGTGGATTATCAAGTCAAAAAGCGGCGTTCTCCCACTAGCTGCTGAGCTGAAAACCGCGGGTCCAGTAAAGTCCTGTGCTGTGACTGAGTGTAGTGCTGAACCAAAGCAAGATCGTATGGTACAGCATTGCAGGTTTCAGGATGTGTGTAGACTATTGACTGTGGTTGCAACACTCAACAGGTTCTGAGGAAAAAGATGGACTCCATAATACAGGGGTTGGTACTTATTGAAGAAGTCCGGGATGTGCCTTGCATTTTAATCTGGTGAAGAAGGGACATAAAGGAGCCCGATGAGCTAAAGATCCACCTTGGAGGCTAGCCTTCTGATTGCAGATCCATGAACAAACCTTACAGGTTTGCTGCCAAAGGAACTTAGAGTGAGCCCTTTAGAGCATAGTTGAAAGGAGGCAAAAGGCGCAGGGAACATACAGGCCAGAGATCTTCGTTTCTGGCGCCATCTAAAGCATCTGGACGTTTGAGTGGATCTCAGGTTCAGAAGAGACCTGAACAAATAGTGGCCAAGTCTTTGATGACCTTGATGGTCAGGGCTGCTGATCAAACAAAAGCTCATTTTGAGATATGGACATGTTTCAAAACTTTCCAAGTCTTCACCTTGTGCAATTCATATCAGCATTTGTGGAAATCTGACCAAAAAATTTCCAACTGTTAACACTGTCAACTTGTATGTAATCCAGATACAATAATATGGTTGCTCCAGCGGGTCAAACCTTCCAGATGGATGACCTATTCCAAGTCTTCTGGTTCTCTTGACAACATTTCCAATGCAAGATCTAATGTGGCGGAATGCTGTGGCCTCATGGAACAAGAAATGATAGTTTACCTGCAGCAAGACCTGCCAGGAATATCCACATTGTCCATACTTTGACCCCGGGCCAGTGACCGCCGCCCATGGTAGCAGCAGTCGGGCTGCTGCAGTCCCCCTTCAGCTCAGTGGTTCTGAGACAGGCTACCAGCTTGAACTCGGTCTGTGGCTGTGTGGATACAAACAGGAAGTGGCAGCCAAAGCGTCTCCTTGTGTCACTCAAAGCCACCTTTACACCATCAACAACATCAACATCCACAACACAGATGCAAACGAGAGTCTCCTTCCTTGAGTCTTCAGCACAACAGCTGCTCCAACCAGCTCCTTTCTTTTCTATCTTAGCTGGTGCTGACTATGGAGACATAATCTTTTTCTCCACAGCGATGTTGAGATGCTCCCTGAAAGTGAAGTCACCCCTCCTTGCCCTGATACTGTAGTACCTATTACAAGGCGTGAGGGTCTTTCGGACTCCCCCTCTCCTAGCTAGGCTTGCTACCACCGCATTGCAAAGCCAGCTGCCGCCTTCTTCAGATTGTTGACATTGGGATCACAATGTGACATCAGCGGTTCAGCACGTTGGACTTGGCAACCCGGCCAGGGCCAGAGTCGTAGGCTGCGCAGTGCGAAAGTCAAATCCAGGAGCGGTACCAACTGAAATGCCCTGTACGGTACGTGGGGTAACTTTTGTACCGTCCAGTCCTCGGTCCAAATTTGGTTGGCACCAATGGTCCGCTATGAGCAATTATCAAGCGTGTTTATCGTTACGGTGTTATCAATAGGATCTACCGGAGTCCTCGCGGTACTGTTCAGCTCTTCACACGTGGTGGTATCCAGATTTTCTGTCGCACGTTCTCAATCATCGAGTTCGTTCCCCTCGCGAGTTCTCATGAGTCTTGATTCTTGAAGCCCCCTTGTGCCGGTACAACTTGACGGCGAGTCCCGCATACCGGTAGTAGGTATGTAATGTTCGGGTCCCGATTTTGTTACCGTGGGCCGTGGGTAGGTCTACCGTAGAGACATTCGCACTAAAATAATCCATTCTAGGCCATTGCAAAAAAATCAAAATTAAGATCTTGGCTTGGTGCGAAAACGCGAATTGAAAAGAAATCGAAAACCAGCATCGAAAGGTGCAAAACAGGCCTAAAACACTGTAAAATGGGCTCAGTGCGAAAAAATAATAACTATCCCATAAGCTGGTGCGAAATGCCAGAACTTTAGAAAACAAGTATTCGCACCAATGTTGGTGCGAATGGCAATGTCTCTACGGTACTCCGTTAATTAAGGGCACGTGAAAGGTACCGGTTAAACGTCACGCACACCGCGTTTCTTGTCCACCACGACGGTGATCTGGCCGCAATCTGTACCGGCAATCAATCGTCGTTCGGCAATCGAGACGGTCGGTACAAGTTGGTGCGCTTGTCGTGTAGTGTGTGTGCGCCGCGGTGCCCATTGTTCAAATATAAACCATGTAAATTTAAATCATAATCTATAATCCGCCCAGGGGTCGGCATAATCGACGGGGTCGGCTTCAAGCCGGGTACTTTGGCTTCCAGTCGGCTTCTAAAGGTGGTGTCGGCCATTCCCCCCCGCCCCTCCAAGTATGGGCCGGCTTTCAGCCGGGTACTTCTCGTTTCGGTCGGCTTTTGAATTCCACCCCCACGCTCAGTGGTTTGGGCCCGCTTTTGCCGACCCCTGTCAAGCGTGACCGAGAACCATGGATGGCTGCATAGTATCCTAGCTGCCGCCATGTGGCACGCAAGGGATCACCCCGTACGAAGCAGCGTACGGCACTCACAGTACACGTGCAAAAGGTACTGGCCGGTGCATACCTACTAGGTACCTACCTACTTTGAAGTGTACTGACGGTACGTCCGACGAGTCGGTACCGTCTGAGGACTGTCAAAGTTCCGAGTCCAATGGGCAATGGGGCCAATGGCCAATGGCAAAATGGCAATGGCAACGTGATCAAAGTCCTGTTCAAACTCGAAGGCTGAACGTGTCATCGAAGAGGGCGCTGCGAGACGAGGGGTGCCAAGCAGAGTTTGACAAGCTTCTTCTGCAGAGGTAGCTTTTCAAGGGTGCTGGCCGTCAGAGCACACGGAAAGCCTGCTGGTCAGAGAAGAAAGGGTTTCTGACAAGTTTGGTCAGCATTGGTTCATGCTGTATCTTTGTTGCTTAAGTCATCCAAAGTTTAGTATTGGGATCAACGGCATGCTTGCGTTTGTTTAAGCGGTGGCGGTGCGAGAGGAGGTCGTCTGTGAGGAAGAGGGAGCAAAAAATCAGCATTGAGTTGGTTACAGCAAGTACGACATATCGCATAGGAGGTCCCTGTTTCGACATTGTGTCTGCAGGTGAGCTCACAGTGCCTGATGAACCTTTCTATTAAGCTCTTGAAGCAGGTAACAATGAAGGGTCTCAAAGCCTGAGTAAAGAAAAATCAGGACGCCAACACCACTCCAGCCAAAGTATGATTGAGTTTTGAAACTGCTCTGATGTACATTTTCCGGCGGCGCTAAGGGAATGTCACTTGATTTTTCCCAGTGGATCCCAAATGGTCGACAGAGCAACTGACATGTAGCTGGCGTCCCTTACCTCCCTCATCTGGAAAGCTGACTACAATGCTGCTGCTTAACATCCCAAGTCCCTATCAAACTATTCTACCAAGCCCCTACGAAGAGTCCTGAGCCCAAACTAGATCTGTACCGATGTTTGTGACTGAGTACCCTTGTTTGTATTTAGACAAGTGCAGACGACACTTTACAAAAGAATGGCGTCCCTGGGTTACTTTGACCAAGCCTAGGACATCCTAGCCGGCCAGCTAGCTTGCTGTTTTGCATTTGGTATGCAGTCTGACACTTGAGGCAGATCTGACCTTGCAAGCTCAACAGTGAACAACTTTAAAGAATCTGCTTATGTTTCGTGAACGATGTCTACAAAAACCTAACCTCGGCAGTTTTCGCATAATGCTTCTTGTGCTTTTAGAAGATATTAGATGTAGGATTGGTTGGAAATTTCATCAGGCAGCAAATGCTCTTAGTCATGGGTCGCTGATTGTGTTGTCAAAGTAGCGATTCAGACGACAATCTAGATCAGCTGTTTGAGGGTTCACCATTTAAGTCTGCCTTGGCACTAGCAGCATTGTTGTGGTTGATTATCTGAGCAATAAAGTAACGCCCTATGGGTTTCTTGTTATCAAGATAAATACATGATAGCGCACTCCGTTTGAACGAATGAAACATGGCTCCCGTGTCTCTTGAATGTTGACACGCCAAAGCCTCCAAACGACTCACCTGCCTGCAGTAAGCCTTCTTCCGTTCGCATGTTCACCTCAACACATTTCAAGGAGTAAGCCTTGTTTTAGACCTTGAACTCAAACGTCAGGTCCTCCTTCGGGGCTCCCAGAGTCAACATTTCTCACCCCGTCTTTGCCGGTTGGCATGACACTTCTAACTACTTAACTCCTAACCAGTCTCTGAGGTCAGACCTTGTCCTTTCCTTACAAAGCCCCAATCCACTCTGACCACCTTTGCAGGATGGCCCGCCAGCTTCAAACCCTTGCCGTTCTCTCTCTGGTGGTCCTCCTCACAACTCTCCCCCATGCGGTGGCCCAAACTCTCCGGACCTCAGCTCCCCCCACTGAGTATTGGGAGCCCATCCAACGGCCCGGTGTGGCGTTCATTCGGCGAAACAATTATTCATCAATTGCAAAGGAGGGCCGCAGCCTAGCAGTGGGGTCCGACCTAGTGACCAGTATGCCCACCAGTGCCCCCCAGCCGTGCATTGCCGGGAGCATTACCGGCAATATCTGCATTGGGCCTGAGGGGGGGTACTGCTGCAGCGCAGGGTTCACGGTGAGCAGTTGGTCAAGGACATGGAAAGTTTGTTGGGCCACAGAATTGCAGGTCTGTGGGTCTGCGAATTCGGTTCAGCTCGAGTCAATCATGAGGAGCGGGTGTTATGGACGTACAGCTTAACAGAATGGTATAGTGGAACGAGGGGTGAACGTTTGCTTGCATCTGCATTGGGCTTGCATCCGGATCCGAACAATCTGAAGGACGTCAATCTGAGGCCTTATGGATGTTCCCGGGGCCTTTTAAAGGCCTCGTTGGTTTCAGCTTGCTAACTTAGGGCACCTTCTGTGGCTTGCTGAGAGCAGTTTTTTTTCCCCTCTCGCGTACCTTCGCTGATATTTTCCGCTTCAACAACAGGAGCACATTTGAGTATTTGGCGGGTCACAGCTGAGACTCTGTTGCGCCTTTAACCAACAGTTCTTATACGTTGTTTCCCTGCATTCTCTGCACTTCTGCTCTGAAAGCGGGGCCCCACACGTGCTGTCCCTTCCTTCCTTGTTTGAAGATCTGAGCATACCCGCGCTTCTTTAGCAAGTTAATGTCTCCCTTTTGCAGTGCTGCGATGATGGAGGCCCCAATAAGTGCTGCCCCGTTGTCCCAATAACGAAGCCCGTCCCCGCTGGCTTCCCTGGTTGTCCCGACGCCAGCCCCAAGCTGTGCTACACGCTTGATGCCCAAGAAGTGTTCTGCTGCAAGCAAGGAGAGGCATGCGGTGGCAACGTCTGCATCCCCCCCGCGCCCCAAGTGCGACTCCGTTTCCTTCCTGCTTCTACTCAAATGAGCGCTGCGTCCTCTCATGTCTGCTTCGGATGTATCACCACATTTTCACCATCTCTCGTGACCGCCGTTAGTGTTCATCTCTGCTGAGGAAGCAGCAGAAGACAAATAGAAGACGTTCCCCTCGAAGTTTCTGAGATCGATGCATACACTTCTGTTGTGGTCCTTACACAAGGTCCAGGGAACCCAAGCATGAAGGAGACGGTATTTCATTTCGCCTACACCGGTGTCTTGCTCCGCCTCCGCATTGAGCAGAAAAGGGAGGGCGTCATAGCATCGATGATCATCCGGAGAAATTTCAGCAGACACGCTACGTGGCTTTCTGCCCACCATGACTTGTCGAGCCATCATGACAGGAAGAAAGTCGAAACTGAAGTCAATATAAGTCTTTCCCATCCAGGCGCCCTGTAAAGCTCCTTGATATGAAGGCAATGGCCCCCACATTTGGGAGCGACGGGTCAAGAGACAACAGATTCAAGAGAAAAGAGTCTCGTACTCACGGTTGGCTTCAAGTTTAGATAGTCTGATTTAGGAACGCCCTTGATTGCAGGAGCCATGCCCTGCCAGCAACCCCAAGCAGTGCTTCCTGACAACCGGCCGTGGCGCCTACTGCTGTGCCACGGGCGAGACCTGCTGCAACAATCAGTGCTGCACCACCCGGAAAGCCCGCTCACGTAAGTGCTGACGAAGTCTCGCTGACGCGTCTCCACGTCTATACTCGTTTCCGCCCCCAGGACCTCCGCTCTGGCAAGGGCCGTCAGACAAACTTACTGTTTTCCCCAATTGATTGCAGGCTGCTCACAGTTGATTGTTATGAGCAGTGGGAAAGCAAATCTCTCTGTGCCGGGGTGCTCATACTCCGAAAAGCCGTCTCCCATAGGCCCTGACAATTCCTGCTGAGATCGCCCAGTTCGCGCAGTCCCAGATGTTCAAAGGTTTCTCCGTCTCGGCCCTTGGCCCGTTAAAAGGGGCCTGCACATCACCTTGTCGATTGTCCGCCTCATGCCGTTTAGCTCATGAGCGTACAAGCAATCACGGAAGATGCAGCCATTGGACAACCCAGACTTTCATACCGTTCTTCAGCAGGAAGCCGATCCCTTATCCAGTACCGCAAGCTGCGGCACACCATCTCCAAATTTTGCTTGGATACCCTCTCGTTTCCGTGAAAATCAGCTTCCAACCCTCTTGGTAACCCTTCTTGCGCCCATCGTTCTGCTACACTACATGAGCTCTTGACCACAAACCACCACTTCTTGCAGCGCGCTGGTATGACAAGCCATCATTTGCCACCTTTCTGACACTCACATCGTACACGTACCTGAATCCTCTTACAACTGAGATCATGCCTGCCAATCGCGTCTATTGCCCCCCCTGCAGCGTGCCCGTTCAACAAGCCGATCATCTGCCAGAACTTCGTCAAGGGCAGCCAGTTCTGCTGCGGCACCGGTCAAAAGTGCTGCGACAACCAGTGCTGCACGTACGACTATCTGCAGAACGTCATCCAACAAGACCCGGGCACTCCCTCCGACGAGGAGACTCCTGCGGACGCCCCCGCAGACGCTCCCGTCCAATTCTTCCCCGTGTCCGCGGACGCGGGCGCGCCTGCCCCAGCCCTTGCGGCAGCGGGGCCGAGCCCTTAATCTGGATCTGGGTGCGAAACCTGCAAAATAGCAGTAACATAAATGTTTGAGATTGGGTTGCGATGGAAGGGCGTCCGCATTGGCCGGTTCGGCAAGTGGGCCGTGGGCATAAGGGGAGTTATTGCGGTCGTCAGATGAGCTTGCTTTCAGTTAAGTTATCCATTTTGAGGTCAAAAGCAACGTTGCGCTCGAGCTCGACGAAGCGCACCTTTTACCTTTTGAGTTTCAAGAAGAAAAACGGCCACCATTCATCTAGCTAAGTTATTGTGAAAGTAGTTGCAACGGATTGCTGAGTGCGGGTGCCGTCACGGTGCATGCTGTCACGGGCCTTGAAGGTTGATTATATGAGGGCATGTGGTGCTCTTTCTTGTTTGAAAACTGAATGAGTAGTGGATTCAAATTGTCAAATCCATATGGGCCGCCGCATGGCGCCTGCACGTTGAAGTACGTGTGACAATGGCCCGCACGGCTAGGCTCACATGCATGTGCATGCTAATATTCAGGATTTTGGGCAAGTCAAAGAATAATATTGTTGCCCAACCGGACAAATGGTACGGGTAGATTTGAGTCACGCTTCGAAAAGGACAATCACTAAAGTAGGTGTCAAGTATTGAGCATGTCGGAGCCTGGCCAGAGCCATCATATACCTAGTCTCAGCTTCTGCATACGTATACGTACGAAGAGTTTGCTAAAGCACCTTGATCGGATTCCTTTCCATGTAAACAATGGTTGACTTTCCGTTGTGACTGGATAATCTGCCAGAAAATTTGGGCTTCATATATAATGGAACTTGTGGCCTGCTGAGCCCGTAACGATATAACAATATCACTAGCTCTGATCGACGTGACCATATCCGACAGTGCATGCATGTCATCATGGCAACGACCTGGTATTTGCATGCACAATTGAAAGGAAGGATTACTTCGCGAAAATGGTCGATCAGACCCAAGTCGTCGCCTGTCTGAAGTTTGATCATGCGAATACATGGCACACAAATATATCAGTTCGACTGCATGATTGTTGGGCAACGGTTGCCTCATTTTCTGCTTCCTGAATTACGTGGAGCACACGCTGATTCATCTACTGATACAATCTGCTAAGTTCTCCGTAAGGCGTCAAGACTTACGCCATCTGCTCTGAGACAAGGGGATTCCACATGGTGATTGGCCAGATGATCATTGTCTTTTGGAATTCCGGACTCGAATTGCAGCAATGGTGCTCCTATTGAGTGAGGGCTGTGAAAGGATAGAGAAATTAGAGTGGCTGCTGCAAGTTATCTCGAACTGTCGGTCTTTCCGCACTGTTTGTAAGGCTGTCTGGCAGCTAGAGTGAGCTAAAATGCGTACGAAAGAGGCATCGTTTCTGGCTGCCAATCCAGAAACGAGCGAAGAGAACAAGGTGATAACTTCGCCGGCTTACCTTTGGTGAGGTTTATCCTGTTCTGCCCAACATAGTATCATTATTTCTGGATTATCATTCTATCCCTGATCTATGTGCTAATTTGCACCAGAGAATTGTCTACTACACTCCTGTACTGACCCTGCCTTAAGCCTACAGTACTTATATAACAATCAAATAACGAGCTGCGGCACTGCTCTCAAAGAGCACCTGCGCTTCTGGCAAGTGCTTCACTTCAGGTGCCCTTTGTAAGATCCGATGCCATTGCTCTCCTTAATAAGAAGCGTCTATCTGCTAATCAAAAACATCAAAGCCTCGCATTAACTTTGATATTTGCTGTCCCTAACTAGAATGTAGCTACAAGCCTCCATTGAACTCCACTGTCCCATACCAGTAACATTGAAGCCTCCTCGCAGACATGCTTTCCTTCGATAGGTCTACTTTTCTCCCAAACCTTCTTCAGCTAGTGTAAGCAACCACCCTGGCGCTGCGCTTTCCGTCACCTCAAGAACATAGCATCTCGTTTTTAGGGCCACAGGTCTCAGACATTCCTAGTTGGGTTAAAGAATTAGCACCCAGCTAAAAAGGCCCCAAATAATGTAGGGCCCCCCTTCTCCTTACGCTCTTTCGAAGTGCCCCTCGCTCTGCTGTCCACTGACAGCATTGCACCCGTTCATGACCCCATCGAGCGGACCCCCTAGACCCCCTTCCCAAGAAACTCCCCTTCTGCCCCTGCCAACAATGCCCCTTGTCAGCTCCCTCTTCTTAACCATCTCCCGAATGTTGCGCTCCGCGACCGAAGCTATGTACGTTATGGGAAGAATACTGAACGGCTCCTCTATTTGCACCCCGATCTCCTCTATCCCCAGCAAGAAGAACGCGATCGCAGGGCTCAGGATCAGGCTTGCAAAACCGCAGGCCTCCCACATCATGAACGGAATGATCCCAATCCAGAGCATGAGGAACCGCGACGTGTGACGTGTGTACATAAGCGGGATGGGGGTGTTGAAGATCCGCTCGCACGACCCGAGCGACGTCTCTAGTTGCGCCAGGCTCTCGTTCATGCACCCCTGAAGGTAATCCGACACCCCCGCCTGCGGCAGAATGTGCTGAAGAACACTCAGGACGAAACTGGGCTTGTGCTCAGCTTCCTCAAGGGCTGCCAATTCGGACGGCAGAAGGACACCCTGTAGCTCCTTCCGGACGTCGCCGTCCGGCCTCAGATGCACCGCCAGCGCAAAAGTGAATGCAATCGTCCACCGCTCCAGCAAAGCGATGAGGTCAGCATCCTTTGGGTCGATCCACGCTAGCCCCTGCCTCGCTAAATGCCGCGTGCGGCACAGAATCGCTCCCAGGATTGTCCGCGCCTCGTCGAACCTTGCATACGAAGCATTGGTCCGGAAGACAAGCAAGAGGGACAGCGCTAATGACGAAAGCGTGAAGGGCTGCGTGCTGGAGAGGGAGAGCGTAGGAAAGGACGGTGAAATCCAGGCGCGGTCCTTGGCGGTGTGGTAGAGAACTAGCGAGAGGGAGGAGAAGAAGACGAAGAGGAGCGGGGAGCGCAGCGAGCGGATGATCCCTGAGCGCCACAGGCCGCTGACGTGGCGCGCGTAGCGGCGCGTGTTGCGGTGCGTCGCCCAGCGCACAAAGTCAAAGATGGTCTTCTTGGTCTCGTCCTGGAGGTATTCCAGGAGGGGCTCCGGGTCGATCTTTGGGGCGTTCATTGGAGCTGTCTATCGCTGCTTATCGAGGCTTCATAATGCAACTCCAGAGTCTTCTTCAGTTTTTGCCCACAGCTCTTTGTATCAACCGATGCTGGCTTCCTACTTGTTGCTAAGATAAGACATCTGGCTGGAAAACAATGGCAGCCGCTGATTGCTCGCCAAACAAGCGCAAGTGGTTGGAAATGGAGTCTGAGCCCAAGTCCTGGACTGACTAAGAGGGCTCCAGCACCAATATGGGCAATGCTACACAGAGTGAGCGTGAATCGATGGAGGAGCAAGCGGTGCAGCAGCTTGCATCCCTTCCTTTGAATCTCTGTCCAGACTCTACTTCCTTGAGACCTGCCCCAAACGCCCGAGGTGTTCACTCAACTGGGTGGCGTCCAATCCGGCAATCCCTTCTTTCCTCAGACCCCTTGCAGGATGCACATTGCACGCCACTGTGCTGACCTGTGAATGTGATGTATCCTATGCAGGAGGCAGCAGGACTGTCTGAGAATTGCTTGCACATGAATTAAAGCGGATTGAGTCGCAAACCGTCTACGGTCTAGGACTCGAAAATCGGAGTCGAAATGTGCCCAAGACGAAAGGGCGTGCCACGTGCACCACGTGGTCAATACGAGCATTCTGATTGGGCCGCGCATGTTCGATCTGACAGATTTTTCGCCTATTGGTCTGTTTCCCAATCATTTGCAGTTGTCAGAAGTCCGGGTCGTGTTTTCGGATCATGCTTGCGCAAAGATAGATGAAGCCTGGCAATTCTTGCGCGCGCCTTGCATGCAAAACGTTCAACGGCCTTCAGTCGATTATCCTGCCTTTGACGGTCCATGCCAACCAGCATTCGCGGTGTAGGTTGCAGCATCTCCGGTTGTCTACAAGGCTCTGATCGTCAGCGTTTTGAATCTGCAAGACTTGCCCCGTAATTGCATCTGAAACTTTATGCAAGAGGTTGCAAATGAGTTAACGATACCAGTTGCAATCCACACTGTGCCCATGCCATGGCCTTCAACCATTCACGTTGATCTTGAAAAAAATGATCAAGTCTGGAAGACCTCAATTCCGAAAAGACAAATTTGTAGTAACCTTGCAGTAACCACGCAAAGGTCTTTCCGATGATCGTCACACAGCGCATGGTTGAGAGTACTTCTGGTAATCTTCGTCCAAAACCATGTTCCTTTCCTTCTCAACTTAACATCGACTTGAGCAAGTAGAGCACAATGTCGACCTCTCACCAAGAAAGCTGAATAGGATCTCTTTGCCCCTAATCGGAGCGCTTAGCTTGGTTACAAGAGCGGATTGCTCTAGCTAGGCCGTTTTTACTTTCGAGTCTGCTAACGACGACAAAATGAAGTGCCCCGAGAATGCTGTGAACACCGATAAAACGGCTAATGCTCCCAAAACTTGGAACAGGTTCAACTGCACCAAAGCAAGACGAAACGAATTTGTCAATGAAATGTTCAGAAGTTTCTCACAAATCCACCCAAAGGACAGGTTCAGATGATGATCAGTCCCACGAAACACAAGAAAAGAGGACGGTAAATCTCAGAATCAACGTGTTGGAACATCCACCTAGCCCTTGAAAAAGCTTACGCTTGATTTTGTAAGGACCACAAGCATGAAATGAATCTCAAAAAGCTGCCGGCCAAACGTGCCTGACAAGACACGTTTGTCCTTGTCAAATATTAGCCTTCGGAACGCCAAAGACTCTCGATCCTCCTTGAACCCTCCGCATCTGACCTCATCAAACTTATATCAAAGCTAGTCACCCGCACAACCCCGAAGGCAGTTGACGAGCAATTGCTTTTCCCAGCACTTGGCACCTTCTTAAGAAGCCCCCCTCAAAGGGGACATCAGATCACAAAAACGGACTACTAGCATCTAGGTCCTGGGCAAACTTGTCATCGACAGACCACGTTGCATCTTGCCCTCCAGCGACCACTGTCCCCACTTGCACAGTATCTCGTCGCCAAGGCGTCACGCATCTCAAAACGCCCTTTTTTTTTGGGCTGGGCTGGTTTAGCGCACTCACTTTCAACCAGAAGACGACGTAGAGCCCCGCGATCGCAGCGAGGCCCGTGTGGAACATGACTGCGCTGATGAGGGCGGGGCCGCTGCTGGGGAAGCCCTTGAAGCTGACGCCCAACGCGGCAAACTGCAGCGACAAAGGCGGGCTAAGTCTAATTCATTCAGGAGGATATTGCACAGCAGAGGGCTTAGAACGCTCCCTTGAGGAGTACCCATTGTGTTTGCAATACAAGCCTCCCCAATGACTTCTACGTAGCCCGCTGCCATAGCAGATTCGATCAAACGTAGGCGCACTTAGCACACGAGATCGGTTTGGGGGAAGGAGACACTTGAGAGAAAATCCAAGACGTTTGTTAAAAACGAGAGATGCTCGGAATGGGGTTCGAAAGGGTTTGCAGCGTTTCCACTCAATGTTCGTTTCCAACTCAGAAGTTCCAGTCAGCACTCAGGCAGAGCATTTGCTAAGTAGAACGAAAACGGAAGGGCCGGCAGGAAGCCCTCAGCAGCCCGTGTGTTCTTGAAAGGCAACGAGTCAGCGCTTACCCTGATAATCGACCATTAAGGCAAATGCGACAGGACAGGTTTGACAGCTGTCACCGTGCAGAGGACGGCTCTCCCATGATTCACGACCCTCGAACTTGACCCAAGCATAGCTGACCAAAAAGGGTAACAGAACGGGATTGATCGGTTCCGAAACGGGTTACGGCTCACCCCGATCAGTAATCCAACGAAGGGCACGAGCGACAGCGCGGTGAAAAGCGTCGACACCGCTGTGGGGGGCCGCTTATCCGGCTCCCGGAAAATGTGCGCGATCTCGGCGGGGGGTGCGACGTCCTCGCTGAGGTCGGCGGGCGGCGGCGGGGCGCCCTCGGGGGCCGGGGGCAGCTTGAGGTCTAGGTTTGCGACTACGGTATGGAGCGAGTTTTCCTGCAGGGAGGAAGTTTATTGTAAGCCGAGGGTTAACCGTGTACCATACGCTCGGATAGTTGTATTTCTAGTGGAAAGCAGCATGGCAAACCTCTACAGTAGGGTCTTGTATGGAGGCAATGAGAACTTTGTGGATCCTCAAAGGGGTCCACAACGGCAACTGAAAACAGTTTTACCCGGACAGGATCGCAACAGCAGCATCCTGCATGCGATTCTTGACGTTGCATGCGGTATCCTTCAGCCCTACACGCCTTTGTCCAAAAGACCGCAGACTGATCAGCGGTACGAAATGAAAGCAGGTAGTAACAGAAGCTCACGATGAAGGGATCCCCCAAGATAAGCTCCAACGTGTAAGCTCCCGACTGGTGGTACATCTTGTCGCGGACTTCCCCAAGGCCCTGCACAACGGACGCAGCGTTCGTTGGATCCTAAGGATTTAGGTCGAGGGCAAATGAAGGATCCCAACAGATCCACAGGTAGGGTCTTCTCCCTCAGATAAGCAATCACTATCTCTCAATGTCATTTCGGGGGAGCTTGCAAACGAATAGTATATTCTTGAGCAGGGTCGAAACCAAGGGCTGGTTCTGTCGCCCATCAAAGGAATGCGTAAACGTGCCTAAGCCGTTCTCAAGCGTAACAGTGGGGCTGTAGCGGCATAAGAATACGCACAGCAGGACTTGTCCTTCTTAGATCCCAATTCAAGAATTGACCTGAAAAACTTGCTTCCCAAATCGCACCTTCCAAGTGCAACTCAATAAAGGTACGATACCGTCCCTGATTTGTCGCTTAGCAGTTATGTACCTCCTCCAAACTGCTTTCAGTATCAAAAATGCTCCTTCCAAGAAGCGAAATCGATCTTTGGGCCTTTTGAGTCGACACGAGGCCAGCGCGTGTTAACAGTCACAAAAACCGAGAAGAGGACGAGCGGACAGGTCGGAAGTTGTTGGTTCCAGAAAAGCGAGCGGACAACTTTGCTCTTACCAGCTCGAAGCTGTACGCGCCGCCAGCGCCCTTGGCCGGGAAGAGGGCGTCCACACCAGACTTGTGAGCCAGGCGGACGAACGTCTGCCGAGCAGGAAAATTGTCCATGTGAGACACTGGGGTTGAGATTACGACAAAAGATGAAGAAGTTGCGGACCACGTAAGATTCTAGGGTTAAGATTACGACCCAGGAAAGGAAAGTTGCGATCCACGTAAGATTCTAGGGCTAAGATTGCAACCCAGCAAAGGGAAATTGCGATCCACGTATGATTCTAGGGTTAAGATTATGACCGAACAAAGGGCAGTCGCAATCCATGTAAGATTCTAGGGTCAGAAGATGTCAGAACAAAAGGAAGTTGCGACACATGCGAGATTCTAGGGTTGCGACTATTGACAGAACGAAGCGAAAGTGCAGATATGGGCGAAAATATGTGCAGGAGGGCCGATCTCAGGAGATCGTGAGAAGAGGGGAGAGCGCAAAGGGACTCGGAAGGACAGGAAAACGAGACGAGGCACCACTGGACAGCTCAGAAAGCTGGTCCGGCTCTCTATGTCGATCTCAGAGTGGGGCTGATAGAGCCGAATCCAGCACTAAGGGCGAAAGCACAAACTGACCGGTCCAGTTGCAATTACAAGATCGTCATGCGTGCAGATTATGCTTTTCCTTTGCCAGCAGAGTATGTGACTTTACTGACGAGAGAAGCGAAAGCATCACGCATACAATAAAGGGTCCAAGCGACCGAGTGAGAGACGACAGTACAGAGTGCGGCAAGGACTCCTCCGTGAGGAATCAAAGAACAAAATTACTACCGCACAGGATGGCACAGCGGCTCAATTCTCGGAATGAAGCATACGTTGGCCAATGCAGGTGAAGAGGTTACCTGCTGAGGCGCAAAAGCGGCGCCGTCGGGCCCGATGACCTTGAATTGGAGGCCCAGCTTGTCGCTGTGCGTTGCAGACACCTTGGCGGCCCTGAAGCTGTCCTTGGAGGCGGGCACCCTGAAGAATGGAACGAGCATCTCCGGTTAGAAACGATTCAGAAAAGCCTCTCCTTTCGATGGGAGTTGCTTGAGTATGGTTTATACGCTCGCCCGCAGGCTTGCCCCGTGCAAAAAGAACGAATGAACGAGATGCGCTTGCTGAGCAGAAGGGGCGGCTTCGATTAAGAATTGCGGCTTTCCAATGTTGGGTCCTCAACACAGAAGTTGCCGTCCATGAAAGGTCCTTCAGAAGCCGGGGTGCCGGAGATGGGAAGGTCAAGAACGGCCGAGCCAGACGTCTAGAGACGGCAAAGTCAGAACACACACACAGAAAGGAGAGCTTTGATCTTGGTATCGTCAGTGTTTCAGAAACGGCTTGCAATTTTGTGGCTCTACAGCCAACTGCAAACTGTTTAGAAAGCTATGGTTGATCCCAGCAGGGGACTGTGAAGAGTAGATGCTCAATCACTATTCAACGCCAACCTTTGCGCTCAGATAGGCACCTGAGAAGGCGTGCACCCTAGCGGAAATGGTTGTTGCAATTTTACCACCGATATGAATCGCAAACATGGGCACTGAATCATAAACTTTCCGATAGCACAGGAAGGTAATCAGTTCACCCGACGGACCAATGCTCTTTCGTCAGTCTGGCATCTGTTCACTCGATTTATCTTTTGTTCCAAGGCGTTAAGCTTCAGCACCTTCCTCTTGACCGATCCTCACTTGTGTTCCTTCTTGGCGCCGCCATCGTCCTCCACGGTCAGCATGACGTCAGACACCGTAGCACTCCCGAGAACCCGCAGCTCCTTCTTGACGGGGCTGACGACGGCGTGCCTCTCCGGCGCCTCGACCTGCGAAAACAATCATCAGTGCGTTTTTACACGTTAGGCAAAGGAAACTAGCAGTGATTTTGCGTATGCTAGGAGCACCACCAGTTGTGCAAAGAGAACGAGGAGTGACTGCGGGCTATGCAAAACCAGCAGTGCCTTTCGTTGCGCAAAGCACAGCAACTGCGATGTGTAAACAAGAGCTTCGTAGGGTTGGCAGTCCTCAGGCACGTCGCTGAAGTATGGACGTCCGCATCCATTTTTTGGGAGAGCAACGGGCTTCCCAAAAGTAACTTTGACTTTTAGATTCGGCTTCTGGCAGAAAAGGAGCTGACGATGCCTAAGTCAGTCTCGAAGCATCTAGCTGGTGAGAGCGAGCGGGAAAGGTCTTCGGAAATATCTGGTCCCTTGTGCTGAAAGCAACCAGATTTCGTCCTCGGACGCCTGAAAAGCATCCTTTCAATTTCAGAGCTGTGGCAGATCGAATATTAAGATTGTGAGTCCCTACACCGTAGTTTTCCACAAGGGTGAACATCTGACGCCTGGCCTCACAAAACGAAGCTATCTGTTGATCGACGCCGCGGAGACAGCGTTCAAGCTTTACGAAAGCCCACAGAAAAGAAGGGAGACCGTCCCTTTCTCACCTCAAGGACTAGCGTGTACTTCCCAACCGCCGGCTTGGAGGCTAAGAAGTCAAACGCCCCGCCCTCAAGGTTCTGCAGAAACACGTAAGCAGACCTGTGAGCTTCCAAAGAAAAGATGAACCCCTCATCCATACGTTTCCGCTTTTACGAGGAGTGCCCCTGACCATCGTGAGTAGGACCCGAACAGCTACCAACCTGCAGGTTTGAAGTGCAGTGACCCGCAAAACCACGGTAAATCCAGGAAACCCGGGTTATTTTCACGGCTTTGTATGAAACACCCCGCAAACCACGTGAAGGAATCCGCAGAGTGAAACAACATTCGAGGATGGCGGATCGAGCTTTGTCTCTTCAGGGCTTATTTTTGACGGCTGGGTAACCAAAGGTGACCAAAGGCCGTTGGACTTGCGGACCCAAAGTCGGACTTAGCCACACCGTTCAGAATAATTGCTCAGGGATTGGTTCCCGCGCTTAGGTCTCATCCGAGGAGACTTAGGAATTAGAATCAGGTACTTGCTTGAGTAGTTGGGATATTGGAGGTCTCGCATCGAAACGACCGGAAGGCATAAGACGATACGCGTAGCGTTGTCGTATGTTGGATATGCTATAGACCGGGTGGAAAGACGATGTTACACGTTACGTTGACCTTTTCCACCAGGATCGGGTCGTTTTAGCGTCCCCCTATTATGTTTGTATCGCAGCGCATCCGTCGGAAGGGAAGCTGAGGCCTGTTAGGAGATGCATGAGCGGCAAGGTACGGGCAGGCGCTTGTCCAACACGTCCAAGAGGATCTCCAGCAAATTGATAGATGAAGGTGAAAACCCAGACTATATTGAGTGCGGACAATCAGATCAGAGAAAACACATACAGGAGAGGAGATCAGAGCATTAGGATTGGTTGGTCACTGCGTTCGATTGGCGCTCCGACCTATTGGCGCGCTTGCGAGTAACTGGGAAGATTAATACATTGCCTCAGCGGGTTTTGCTGGGGAAGTGGAAGCGAGAGTCCAAGGAGAAGATATCATGCTAGGCTTGTTTTGCTCACCTCGTTTGTAAAGAGCGCGTTCTCTGCCCCCGCTCGCTTGGCGCGCTTGAGCGTGACGGGCGCCGCAACGGGGGCGCCGAGCGGCGTGCTCACAGACACCTGCGGATGGGGATTTCAGCGCCGTCGAGACTTGTCCACATCGTTCTCAGACGCAAAATTCCCAGGGTCAAAGGGATAGCCGAGAGTTCAGACTTAAACTTTGCAGCTATGGGGAACCCAGAACCCCGAGAGCCAGTCGTGTTGAACGGAGACAATCAGAGGTGGGTGCCAGCGCTTTGCAAAAGGAGACAAGAAAGAGGGGGAAGGAGTTTGAACCATTCTTAAAGGACAGGCTAAAGCAATATTCATGTAAAGCAGAAAGGTGGCCTAGATCCGTCGGTCCTTCCTAAGCAGAAGGACCTGAGCTTGACAAACCGAAATTTTGGAGTGAGTGGATAGATACCGAGAAGAGCGGCTAGAAAACGAAAAGGATGCTTAAATTCCAACAGAGCGGTAAGACACTGGCAGGGCCCGGAAAGAGCGGCTAGCGATCAGGAAGAGCGACTAGAGACCGAAAAGAGTGGCAGAGCTCGTAAGGGGTGGCTACAGATTGGGAAGAGCAAAGCGGCTAGAGACTGGGAAGAGCGGCGTTGGACCGAGAGGAGCACTAGTAAACGGGAAGACGGCAGAGCCCGGAAAAGGTGTCAAGGGACAAGAAAAGTGTGGAGCGGAACTATCCTTCTCACCTCGAGTTTGTCGTTGCTCTTCAGCGACAGAGACGTCTTGGCCAGGGACACGACCAGCGGGACCGAGAAACTGTGGAGGAAATCACAGGCGAAGAAAATTAAGTGATGAGAATAGTCGATGAGTAGGTTTGTGCAGTTGAGCAACTTATGCTAAGAAGCGAATTGGACCTTAAAAGAACGGAATTTGACGGGAGTGAGCGACTTCGAGTAAGGGGACTGGAATTGGAAAAAGGAAAACGGAAAAGGGACAAGGACTGCAGGTCAAGAATGAAGCAAAGCAAGGAATAGAGCAACTACGAACGGCAGGGGAATGAGGCCAGTCGCACATTGTCGGACGCTGGGCAATCATATGAATCCTATCCAGAACGGAGCAGAAGGCAAAAGAGGAGAAGAAGCTTCTGCCTCGAGTCTGATTTGACTTCAAAGCGTACCTGTTGGTTGAGATGATCGAAAGGGCGTCCACCAATTCCGACAGGAGCACCGGCGAGCTGGTGGATTTGCTGGCCAGCAGATACTGCGCGACGCCGGGGAGCTTCTCGACGATCTGGGGGGAGTAGGAAGAGAATCCATCACTGCTTAGGCTGGAGATCGAACTCAAAAGAGAAGATAACAATTCAAGGTAACGATAAGGTAAGCGCACTGAGTCGGGTGAGGTTGGTTTGGGGGTTAGGGTGGGTAGGGGTGCGGAGCAGGCGTATTCTCAGGGTAGGATTCTAGTGTTAGCCGGAGCTTATTATTATCTTGATTGAATAACGTTCTATGTGAAATTTATAAGCTGAAAACCCAATGTGGAGGCGAACACTAGATAAGTGCTTTGTTGATTAGAAGAATTAGAGCATATGTAGTCAAGCATTCCCTACACAACGAATCTGCCTGCAAGTCCTTGGACCAAAAGGCAAGTTCAAAGCTGGCCTCCGATTGCAAGACCCTTTACAAGGCGTGTCTAGGCGGCGGCTCGGTTCAATCTTCACCGTAGGTTCTCCCCTGGTCTTGTTTGAGGGTAGGACATCAACCGCGTTTACTGAATGAGGGAATGGAAACGCCAGGCATAGACGGCAAAGGCAAGTAACAGACAGGCGGGGTGGGGCCAAGCGTCCCATTAAGTGTCCGCAAACAACTGCTCTATCTTGACGAGCACAATCCGATGTCTCAAACATGCGCCGCCAAATCGAAACGGTCCGCGAAAGACCTGTAGATTCCTACTTCCTCTTGGGGGCAAGATGTTTTGGACGGGCACTGAGTTGTAATTACGTGTAAACGGGGAAAGCGACAATCCTCGTGTGCGATCCTTACCGGCAGAGACTCGCCCAACGCTGCTGACAGGGAGAGCGCCCCTTTTGCCACAGCGGCGGTCGACAAGAGGGGGCTACCGCTGCTGGCGTCGAAGAAGACGAAGCTGTCGTCTGGACGAAGCGTAGAGAAGGGGTTAAAGAAGAATTTGCTGCCCGTCGGGTGCGATAAGATTCAAAATTACACAGTTTTCCACCCTTTGTTAGACACCAGGATCCATTGATATGCGCGTTTTGACGCTGGCTTCAAGGGTGCCTTTGATCGTCGTCAGTGCTAAAAAGTGCGATACCTTCTGATAGACAGGACCATATGAGTATGGCCAATTGAGTCGACGACTTCAGAAGGAAGAAACCCTGCAACTGGTCCAAAATTTTGCAATTGACCAATCCAGTCCGAATGTGATACTGCGACCTTGTCCGGCAATGCATGACATTGAACCACACTTGCGACATGAAAGCTCTGCTAAATAAGGATGCTTGCTCAAGCAACTCTGTAGCTGTGCAAACAGAAAAGTTTAAAGCGTCCAACATCGGCCGGAAAATCGATGCGGCTTCTGAACCACTCGCTCTTCGAACACGATTCGCGTTTGCTCAAAATAAGAACCTCCAGAACAGTTGTCGAACTTTCCCACAGCACGAAAGAAGCTCCAGGGCAAGTTTTTGCTGAGTTCTCGGTCGGCCCTCCTACACGGGAATGGGCAACAAGAAGCGAAGCTTTAGCGAGACTTTCAACCTCGGGGTTTTTGGATCATTGGGTGTGGCCGTTTTCGGGTTTTCGGGTTTTCGGGTTTTTGGGCTTTTGGTGTTCGAGCTTTTGGGTTTCGGACCAACTTACCGGACGCCTCGGCAGATCCGACGAGCTTTTCCACCGAGCCCTTGATCTCCTGGACCCCAGCCTCGGACGTGCTCAGACCCAGCTCGATAAGCGCAGCTACCGCCTCCAAACCCTTGCCTGTGCCACGTGGCGAACAGTTAGTGGTCAGCCCCGAACACTTTCCGCGCGTCACTAAAGATAAGTCACAATCACGATGTGACTTCAAACGACATTTCTGGGCAGGCAGAGACGATATCGCACAGAAGGGGACATCTGAGGGTCCTGGGACCGACAATCTCGAGCAAGTTTGTCCGAGTATCCCGATACGGAGTTGTGTATTCAGCCGCTAGCGTCGGACATTGCCAGATATCTAATATCAACAAGCAGCGATGAAGGACGAAGAGCAACGGAAAGCAGAAGAATTGAGTCGGAGTTGGGAGCCTTCGCCAAGTTGAAAGGGCCCTCAATATTTCTCCCCATAGCGAAGGCCAAAGCGTGACGAGGAGGTCCATATGAAACACCAAAAGGAGTCTGGAAAATACAGTAGCCTCCAAGAGCAAGATGAAACATAGTTGTTGGTGCCTTGGACTCACCGGAAGCTAAAGCTGTCCCATCCGAGTCGTCGTCGACCGACCTCCAGCTGCCATCCTCGGTCACAAACGCCTGCACATTGGAAGTTGAATCGATCACAATACTGTCAGACTTTTTGAGAATGAAAAGGATTAGCCCCCGACCGGAATCCAATTCAAAAAGGACTCTGCTCCCAGGTTTGGAAACTTGCGGGCAATGAATGTGCTCCAACAGCTGCCCTGATGAGTTTGTAAGACGATTGCCGCACTTCCAATCAACGAATGCAAACGGAAGGCAAGCAGTGAGTCTTTACTTTCTTCATTCGTTCTTCTCTGATGTAGGGAAGCGTTTTGTACTCTACCTGTAGTTTCTTCAACGCTGCCTGGAGGGTCTTCTTGTCCACCGAGTTCTTCTTGAGCCATCCCGCCTTCTGCACAGAGTTGTCCAGAGCCAGAGAATGAATCCATGTGTAAGACGGGAGTTTCAACAGGGTAAAAAGGGCGGGCGACCGGGATGCGGAAACCGACATCCAATATACGCTTGTATTTTGAAGCCAGTGAGTCTATACAACAGTTTGTGTGAATGTAAGGCGGGTACAGTGCCTATTCTTTCCTGTTTCAACGCTTTGACCGTGGACAAACAAAAGAGAGCCGACACATTCGAAATCGTTTGCCAGGTCCTTATAAGCTTTGCCTTTAGAATGCTGCCAGCAGGGCTTTTCAACAAGAGGTGCAGAGTATTTCAGTCCCACTTCCAAAGACGCAACCTGTGTTGGCACGGGCAATATCATTGGCCACAGACTTTCGTCTATGGGCCACTACTGCGCGGCTTTAGTCCCACTTCGCTAGCCAGAACGTCGTCAGCACTCTGAAGAAAATAAGGCTAGGCCCAAAGAAGCGGTCACTTCTAAACCCACAAAGGGTTAACCCTCACCTTTGCTGTTGCGAGGGCCACTGCCCCATGGTACAGCTCATCCAACGTCGTTCCCTTCGACAGCCCCTCGCTGGCCACCTGGACAGAAAGATAAAGACATGAGACACCCCTTTCGTGAGTGATTCATTTCCCCCTGAAAGCACCAGAGAGTTTGGTGATAGGCCTCTCTTTGCAGCTTTTTCCCGCATAATCCTTGCCCTTTTGGAGAAAAAGCAGTGGAGTGTCTTCCAGAAGCGAATCGAGGCTCATTATCCTAGGAGGCAATCCTCAGAAACATCAGCAACGTGTGCTTGGCCGTCTGCAGTTACTCTCTGCAGTGTTCCAAATCAGGGTGTGCCGTTAAGCTGAATGAGCTGATACCGCGGATCTGTCAATTAGTCCACTCAGAATCGAAAGCGAATGTGCCCGGTTCCATACACGTGTGACTGTAAAACCAATTCACAGGCTCACCAGGATCTGCCCGCTCATCTGCGCCTCGGGATGCTTCAAGGCTGCCGCGGCGCCGATCGCATAGAACGCGGCCTCCACGTCCCCTGGCTTAACGCCCTTCAGATAGGCAAAGGTTTTGGAGGGGTCTGCTGGGAAGCTGTCAAGGGCCGCAAACACCTTGGCCGCCTCGTACGTCTCTTTAAGGCTGCAGCAAACGCAACTGTCTTAGAAGTGGTGGAGGTTGATGGATTGCGTCAGGAAAACCATTTGCTTCTTCCTTGGTTAGCAAGCCGACAATCCAGTATATAGACTGGTGCTTTTCTGGCATGCTTGGTTGTACACAGAGTGGAACGAAAGGGATCTCGCAGTTCAGAAGTGCTTAAAGAGGCTGAATTGGGCTTGGGTAAAGCGTTCGCTCCTCTGCGCTGAGCTCCAACGCTGCACTTTTCGAGACTCCTTTGCTTGTCAGGGCACATTTCAGAGAAAGCTTAAGAAGTGGTCTCCTGGAAAACCCCCACTATATAAGTGCAACTCCCAATGCATTGGATCGCTGTAAAAGGCGGCTAAACCTACTGTTAGGCGCCCATTTGCTGATCCAACAAAACATCCACAGAGAGGGTCTGATTGCAAGGACGCAAGGGTGGCTCACCCGCCGTATGATCCATCGTCTTGCACCTTGAAGAGCGACACTGCTGCCGACCGGTCCGAGGCACCAATTGGTTCCACGGTCGGGCCAGCGGCGGATGCTAGCCCGAGGGAGAGTAGAAGGCAGGCTGCACAAGGAATGTGCTCAAGGATCAGAGAGCAGAATACTGAAAGCAAAGGAATCAGCGAATGGTGATTTGGCAACGTGTGGCGGTGGTGGTATGTTCTGAAGATGTAAGATGCTGGTGGAAGAGAGACAAGGAGGTACGAAATCAGGCTCAGCATCCAAACTGATCGTCTCCAGAATGTGATGTGTCGATGAGCCACGAAAACGAGTCAACCACGGTCCATGTGAACGCAACCAGGACTTACTTCGAGGCCCTATTTCAGAGCTTTGTTACAAGAATGACAATTAGACTGGACCGCACTCAATGCTAGAGAATGAAACAAATGGGGCGGGCGAATGAAAAATTCAGCCGGGTGCCCCGATATGCTGCAGTACCACAATTATGCATCGGCTTTGATCGAGAGACTCAAGCGGATCACGCAAGCAATGCAATAATCACTCCCACCGTTGATGTTCAATGACGTCTATGACAATGTCCTTGGGTGGTCTCAGCATGGGGAAGTGCTCACAAGGAAGATATCAATACAGTATTTGAATGCATTGTGCAATAGATCGAGGCAATTTTGGTTGGATCCTGCTTGAGCAATACCCTTTCAGAGTTTTCAAACCGCCCCGCGTTCTACAAGTAAACGCAATCCCACCGGAGAGGCTGGTCAGAAAGCGCTGGTGTTTGTGAACGAGGCAGAACGAAGGGTTTCAACAGATTGTACCACTAGCCCATCAAGATGCTTCCAATGGTGACCAACTGAAGTGGCGATCAGATCAGGGACCCCTAAATCATCATTCCTGAAATGAGGTCAGCATATGTTTGAAAACCCCAAATCTGACCACGGCTTTACCATGTCATCGAGGCAAGTGACGGATTTTGTCAATGTTTGTTACAACCTCGTGCATTGTTTCTGCTTTTAGACGATTTCCGAGTACCTCTTAAAAACACATTCAGATAGGGTTCTGCTCACCAACGAGAAGGCGCTTTGATTGTGATGCCCCCGCCATCATGTATTGCGCCTTTTGAGACAGGACGTCAATTCACATTCAGATCCCTTGCCTGCTCCACCTTCAAGCTTGTAGGCTTGAGCAGAACCTCTTCTAGTCCATCCAGGGTTCCCCACCAACCCTTCAGAAGCTTTCCACCTGCTTCCCAACTGAAAAGAGCGCCCTCTTGCACAATTTGAAGCTCGCCCTCTGCTTCGACTCGCCCGGCCCTCTGCTGCTTTGGATGACCACCACAGCAACCCAGACTCACGGTCCGTATCGAGAAAACCCCTCGTAAAGCCATTATGGTTTTACGAGCAAATCGTTCGATGTCCGTAGATCCGTATTGGACAAATTTATCGTATTCGCGAGGGCCGTATTGGAGGATTTGCTCGATACGGAGAATGCCCTATCGAGCAATTTGCTCGATTTTGGGACCGAGGCGCCTAGATCTCCGGTACTTTCAGGGGTCGGTCCGGACGATCTCCGCCGTCGATCCAGGTGACCGCTGCGACCCACAACATCGGTCCACACGACCGCCAGGATCGCGGTACATAAAGGACGGTACCCCCTATGGGTGGTTGGTCGGGGCGGCGGGTGGCTGCAACTCCCCGGGGACACTGGACACTTCCCCTCTAGACTAGTAGTTTAGGGACCGTGGCACCCGAGAAGCAACCGGGCCCTCCCTGTGACATTAGGGTCTCGCGGGCAACCGGCGAACAACCGGGCAACTACCTGGGGCAACCGGGCCATTCCCGCCTTAGGGTTACACCACTGCGAGTGACAGCCGGGCAAGTACTTTTTGTTTTAGTGTGTGCCCGGGGCTTCACAAAAATCGAGACTTTTTCCTAATAGGCGCTACCAGAAAACGAGCAATTTGATCGATACCCGCCCGGCCGTATCGAGCAATTTGTTCAATATGCTTCCGATGGCTTTACGAGAGGTTTTCTCGATACGGCCGTGAGTCTGGGTTGACCACAGCCAGACTTGTCCATCGTCTACCCCGGTTTTCTTTGGTGTTACTAGGGACTGCATCACATGATCGGGGCAAAGAACATGGCCCGGGCCGCACTGTGTCGCCAGCTACACTACTCAACTAAGAGCTTCGTGAATGGTCAGGCTGCCCGGTGCGTTCAACCGATTAACGTCTGCTGGCATGCCGCGTAGAATTTACGCTGCAGGGTTTAGAATCTTGTTGGACTTGAAACTCTGGGCCTTTGCAGCGGCTCCTTGAGCACTGAACATGGTGGCACACCTACAGGTATACCTAAGAACTCAAAGCTACAGTTCAAGGCGCCCCAATACAGTTTCTGACATTTCGAGGGGCTCTTTTTGAGGGCGACGCTACTCAGCACCATTCTGACAGATTCACAGCTTTATTGCAGCATTGAGACGGTCCGTTCTTCTTCGAAGTCAAGTCCATCAAAAGGTGGTGGCACCAGTACGAGGAAACGTGGAACATCCAGTCACATAGGCGCCTACTCCAGAAAGAAGGATTGGTCATCGACACACAGGCAGGCTTTCTGGAAGCGAAGATGGGGAATGCACTACAGAGTATGATACAGAACACAATCTATGGGGAACCTGCCGCGCCACCGCCCCCGGTGGTGCTAGTTCCTCCCCTGTTTGAACGGACCCTGGCAGGCAGAAACCGGTGAGTCTGTTGTGAACTTCTTGCAGTGTCTTTGTGTGCATGCATAAAAGTCGGAAGCGTGAAACGCGCAACACGATATTGATATCTTGACTGAAGGGCCGTCATAGATAGTCAGTCCTTCTAAGGTTGACGGCAATGAAAGTTGGGATTATGAACCTTCATCATTCTATTTGCCGACATTCTGGACTGGCATCGTGTGCTTAGATGCGTCCAGCCACGGAACAAGAAGGATGCCAACTTTCTATGCAGATTAGTGTCTTTCGTTTCTCCCTTCTGTAAGCACCATCCTGCCCTGACAATTCACCAGCTCCTTATTGCAGAATGGCAGAGTCGTCCTACGACCTCCTATTCAGCAAGCTGCCCCGCGCTCGCCTGTTCGACGACTATTATGCCGAGGCGGGCCGCTTGGTGGCCCGCGCGTTGCTTCAGCCCCCAGAAGACAGAAACGTTGATATTTGTGCCCAAGTGAGAATCCGGCCCGTCCTGACAGTAAATTGACGTGCAGACTACCGCGTAGATTGAAGCTTTCCAAGCTCAGACCATAGCGTAGTAGGACTGCTCATATTGGTAGAGGTATATTTGACATAGTAGTAAGGACAAAAAAAGTTTGTGGGAATAAGGGCCGGGCTGTTCTTTGGGTCTCTTTGACCAATTCAAATTCAAGATCAACGTCTGGATACGTTGTCCACGTCAGTTTTATCTTTCTAGATTGTTCTTGAAGACAGCACAAGTACGACATTTTCATTTACGATTTTACTTGTAGACAATTTGTGTCATACGTACCTGCCGTCAGAATTCTGTATCGGCAATCCCGTGTCAGATGCTTCAGAACAGGAGTCTGTATAACCCCCCAAAAGTCACTGGCGCCCAACATAACAATGTATCATCTTTCAAACATTGAATGCTTCCTGTAGGTTGAGGTGCCGCAGGGTATTCGCGGGGAACGAGTGCACGGCAGTGCGGCCTTTCGGTGGCAAAAGTAAGCATCTACTATCTCTCCGGAGACGTGATACTATGTAGACTGAATGTGAAACCGTTTCTGCAACTGGTTTTGAAGTCAGCAAAACTAATCGGTAGAGAACCAATTCAGGCAAGTTTGAAACCTGGCCGGAGTTGGTCGAAAGGTTGAAGAGGCCGTCACAAGATCACCTGATTTTGCTGAAATGTTTATGTGCGGAGCTTCGAAGTCTGATGCCGACTCAGATGATTTGAAAAGTGTGTTTTTAAAAGAACTTCTTGAACTCTGGACAAAATGCTCGGACATATCAAACAGATTCCAAGATCTGTTTCCACAACGACTCCATGCAATGTTGGTGCCAGTGTTGCAGGAGTTCCGCTTCTACAGACTCTGAACCAATGGTGGACTGGGTTGAGGATGCTCACAACCAGGTTTGAAATTGAAGCCGCATATGTCCAGTACAAAGAGTCAAAACGGTCACAAACAGAGCAGGGCTATTCAAAGAACGCCCCTGCATTCTCCTCTCCAGGAATGAAGACGATCCGAACACCTTCCTCGACCTTCGAGTGTCCACCGCGGCTAAGGAATACGTCCGACTGCGCGGAAGTTTCTACCACCCAGAGAGCGGCTTTGGCGTGTTTGGCCTCCTGCCGCTCTTGTCAGACACTCGGTAGGTGCTCCTCCTTCTTTCGACTTTTGTCAACTTCTGTTTTCCTTTAAAGCTGTGATGTTCCCTGATCAAGTTAGCTTCAAAGTGAGATGTCGCCTTACGGAAGCGAACTTCCTGAGCAACAGGCTGCTCGAAAACATTATTTCAAAATCCAGATAGAGACTAATACTAATCGAGCGACTACTATAACAGCCCACTCACTCGACAGCCGAACACAAGTTGGCACTCAGATTACGATGTACGGTGTGCTGTACTTCAAGGACGACTCATCTGAATTGCAGAACTATCGCTAGGCTTCTGAGAAGAACGCTCGCTTTGAACGTTTTGCTGGGCTGTGAACTTCCTTGACGAAGTGACGACAGACGCTGTTTTTGGGCTCCCACTCGGTTCCGGGATCGTCCGATAATCGGAACGAAGTCAAAAGGAAAACCAGGCTCGCTTGAATTCGTCAGCAAAGGGCAGTCCTTTCAAACAATTGGTCTCTGGACCGAACGAGTCAGCGTCGATGTTTGTGTCCGTCACCAACTGACGGCGTTCGCTCAAACCTGCAGCTCAGAATTTGGTCTCCGCTACAGCACAGAGTATCTCGCGGCAGGGCTTGTCGCCAGTCCTCCCCCTAACGGTGAGTTTCTGTTCCTCTCCGCTTCGGACTCGGTCGAAGCAACAGATGAACGAGCTCGTGATCACCCTCCGCCACTCCTTGGAATGTGACCGACTTTTTGAGGAAAAGTGAGAGCCAGGATCAATAAGCTCCAACCAGTACTAAAACCCTAACCCAACAATCTACGTACTCCGCACCCATACCGACCCTAACCCCCAAATCATTCCTGCCGTTTATTACAGTTTTTGAGCTCCTTGGAATGCCCGATTATCCGACAAGCTTCAAACGACCGGACACCATGTGTTGCCTGCGAGCATCTAAGGTTCCGCTTGCAAGCAGAGGCAGCTTTCCAGGCTCTGTATTCAGGACTTATCACCCCTGTGTATCAATCTTCCGGTCTGGTTTCATGTGCACGGTTCTCGTCCAACGGTCGTTTATCCTATCCACAAAGTCCGCTCGTCACAATTCTAGTCTTCATCCGACCCTCGCAACCGCTCAACAAAACAAGCAATTGAAGTCGTCCTTACACGCCGTTGCACGCCGCAACCTGCACTGTCGCGGCGTTTCTTTGATCCAGCATCGTCACACGGCGACTCGCTCTTCTATCCACCCGTCCGATGCATGCCACGTGTCCTTCTGCAGGCCCCGTGACCGTCGATTCCCTCTTCTCCAAGGCCTGGCTGGTCGGCCGCTCCGGTAGTCTGACCGCGGGCATCCAGTACGTTCAACCGGGTCCGGGGGGAGGCCCTGTTGCGGCGAAAGGCGTTCCCCCTGAGCTTAAGGATTTCAACCTGGCCCTTGGGTACGGTACTCCGGGACGAGGCCCGCTCCAGCCATCGTTCGACTTTGTGCTGGAGCTCGTGCAAGGATCCAAAGTAAGGAACAAATCAACGTTGGTGCTTTCAACCTCTTGCCGGATTGAAGGGTTGTTTTCTACTGCATGTTCACTTCTTGCGGGGCTGTAAACGGCTTCCTTTGGCGGGGCTGTAGATGGCTCTCTTTGGCAGGTAAGGGGAGCGATTTTCCCCGGTCTTGACAATCTTTGAAGGGTCACGCGTTCAGATGATCGGTTCGTGCGGGGTGGGACTGGTTCTCTTTAAAGGTCAACAAGGTTTTCGTCTCCGTCTGCTGCGTCGCACGTCTTTGCCGTTCGAAAATAGAACAGTTAACTGACAATCATTCGGTTGCACTAATGCTCGCCGTGTCGACGTACCGGTGTCACGGCTTTTGTCGGAGAGATCGGATTCTCGGGTGATTCTCAACCCCAATCAGAAGGATACACTCTGCTCTCAGAAGGCTCTCTAGCATGGTGACACAGCGGACAGTGAAACAATCTGCCGTTGTCCGATGCACTGGTGACCGGTCATGTCAACGACAGCCAGGTTCTCTGGTCTTCTTTGAGAATCTCGCAGCAACACCTGACATCAACTCGCGTTCATGCAGTTCATTGCCTCCTACTACCACCACCTCGTCGTTCAGCGGAAAGTGAGTCGTTCAAATGCAAATTCCATCTGCATGTGACTTCTTATGGTCGAAAGCTCCTTGATGCTTGCACTCAGGTGTTTGCGAATATTAGATTGAACAGAGTATGCTAAGCGCGGGGCTTTGGTAGCGCAAACTCTTTGACTGAAGTGAAATTTTCCTGGCAATTCCTCGTTAACAGTGATTGAACATTGTCCTTGCAAACTGATGTCGACTTTGTACCTTGATGTAGCACCATGAAATGCCACGGGACACGCGACTTGTCTGACAAATGCTCCACGAAATTATAGACTGGTGAAGACCTAGAATTCGTGCATGCTTAAGTCAACATGTCTCTTTCGATCGCCGCAGGTGAAGAACCCTTTGGAGGACTCCGACGTGGAGGGGATCACCAACTACGTCGACGTTGGCCTGGAGATTGAGCACATGTGAGCTCGCTTGACGTTTTTCAAGTCTAATGAAAAGGTCAAAAAGATACCGCGATACACGTACAATCAATGGCCCGACGTGCTTCTTGGACTGTGTTTACATCGTTCGCGTGACGGCTCTACCAACACCTCTTCTCCGACTGAACTCTCTTCAAAGAGCTTCCGATTCTCCTCCCGGAAAATCTCGCCCTTTTTCCTACTAGACTGGAAGGTTTTGGTCACGTACGGTTTTTCCGGTTGTTTCAGAGCCACCGAGCACTTTTGTCGGTCGGCATGAATTGACTTACTCTTCACGCTCCCCTGTTCGCAGGCTGGACGACCCCGGTACGGATAGCGTGTCCAATCTGCAGCTCGGCGCCTCTTGGCAGGTCAATAAGAACGTGCTGCTCAAGGTGCGAAAATCTTGGGACACTGTTTGCTTGTTCTCCTGATGTGCCACTCCTTTCGTTCTGAACAGAAGCAAGACGCGGGAGGTTAGGAGGACGTCCGCAGAAGAAGAAGCAGAAACTTAACGAGCATAGATAGTGGAAAACCTGGATTTGCAAGGCCGTCTTTCAACTAGGACGGTAAAGACGCCTCTAAAGTCTTGAATGTTCTTCGCGCCGAGTTGAGTGCTTCTCCTCCGTACGCAGATCTGTTGAAACGAGTGTCTCTTTTTCCAAGAGAAGTCTTCCGAAAATCGGGTCCAAGGTCGCAAATCCATCTATCCGCAAGTGGGTACTCTCAGCTCCAAGCCCGGACGCAAGTTTGTTGACATCAAAGATTCTATTTCCAAAAACAAACTTCCGTGAACCGGTTCATGGTCGCGAATTCTTCGATCCATTTTCTTCGCAGGCCAAGGTGGGCGCTCTCAGCTCCGCGGCCGTCGTCGCGTTCAAGTCGTGGTGGCAGCCGAGCGTTACGTTCGCAGTGACGGGGAATCTAGACCACGGGAGCAAACAGGCCAAGGTCGGGGGCGTAATCTCAGTTGAAAACTTTGGCGGAGTCAGGTGAGCGGGCCGGTGCTGCATGACAGACGCAAAGTGTTCGCGAAGCTTGTTGATTTTGGCTTCCTCTTGACAGACAAATCCGGGATTCGTGGATCGCGCATTCAATTCCTGTTGCGCGAGTTTGCAATCAGACTGCGTACAACGTTCTGTATCTTGGGAATTCGGTGCCGCCAAGTGTCGTCCTAAATGTTGATTGGTCGGGCAACAGTTTACAGCAAAGTGGCGCCGCTACGAAGATGTGGAACACTGTGCTTGGCAAATGCTCGTAAACACAGACTGCTTATCCTGAGAAAGTTCTCAAGCCGCCCTCGATCTGTTCTGTTGCAGGTACGAGAGAGCGGATCCAAACTACAAGATGCGAACGCCCACGCGACGACACGAAGCAGACCCAACGCTGCGGGAAAAGTATCCGCTTATGCTGCCGACTGAAGGAGGGGCCGGAGTCGCGCCTGTGTACCCACTTCCTAAAGAACTTCGACCGGGCAGCAATGTACTGTAGTGATTCCAAGTGGTTCAGAGAGCATTAAGCCCAGCAAACAGCAACTACTGCAGTGTGGATAATAAGGAGGTACGGGTGGGTGCCTTTGGTTGAGGTCTGGTGAATCAAAGGGCTGACTATTTACTGGGCTTTTGCACATTCATGATTACTGTAGTGCGCCGGCCGGCATCCGCTCAAGTCAAATCCTTGTGCACTTGACTTTTCGAAGCCGGCACCACAGTCAATGTCAGGAGTACGAGCAATTTGTAACTATTGTCTATATGATTGAAAATGTGGATTGACAGATGCAAAGATACGCCAGCTGACATAGCGTGTTCAAGATGCTCGTCGGTAGTCATATGGTTTTGTGTTGGATGCCCCCTTAAAATGTACGTATTGTTTCTATGAGCTGACTTCTAGCCGCCTCGCGCATGAGAGTTACTACTGACAATTCCCCGTCGATCTTGGGAGTTTCCCGTTTCGCTTACGGAGCACTATTGTCTTGCCTCATTGAAGACCTTTCGTAGCGATCCGTTCCTGCCTATGCCCACCTGCTCCCAGCGCGTACTGTCCAGCTGCGCAGCTGCATAGAAGTTTATTGAAGTTCGTATAATTAAAGCTTGCTTGTCTATCCCATGTCCTGGCCTCCTCCCGATTGGTCTGTCTATGCGAAACTCAAAAAACAACCGGCCGAAGCTGTACGTGGAGGCGCTGCGGGATATATAGCATCCGCGGTCTGGTGTGTTGGGTTGTCGCATGCAGGCACCCACTGGGGGCGGCTTCACTTCCCCAAGGGTCAGTGATCCCGTAAATCGAGCCCTTGTGGGCCCTGACCTTATTCAATGATGTACTCAATGATTCAATGATTTACGCTAAGCCAGGCCAATCTGCAAAATGCATGCTCAGCAACACTGACAGCTAGTCGCTGGCCCAACATATTCTACTTGGACACCGCTTCGACCTATAGCAAATGTGACATATGCAGGCTTTAAACTGAAGCCATGATGAAGTTTTTTGAGGTTTATTTTGAAAACTAAGCTGCATATATGTCAGCTCACATGCCAAGGAGCACTCGGCTAAGCATATCAAGATTGTTGCACAACTGCGACAGACATGATATGTTGCATCCGGCCCGGCGACATGGGCAGGGTCACTCACGAAAACATGTACGTTGTTTTGCAGAAGTCAGAGGATATTTTAAAAGCAAAGGCCAGAGGGTACGACTTGAGTTGCCCAAACAAAACTAAGCCATTTGAGATATAGCCGTAAACAAATCTCGTTGTTCCAATCCCCACCCCTTCCTTGTGCTTGGGACCGGGTTCACGATACCGCAGTAACTTTCAGGACCGAGCTCAGCACATACGAGTGCCCGCCCTGCATGCCCAACGTGTATCTGCCAGCTAGTCCTATGGCGTAGAAACCAAAGCGAGTCTTCTCCGCGCGTCCAAACGGCCCTTCGATGTACACTCCCTCGGGCTGTGCGATGAGCTGGTGGGTTCCCTTGTCGTAGAAATGAATCGTGAGCAGCTCAGGGTGCCCATCCGACCGGACCGTAGCATAGATGTGATCGGACAGACTTAGGTGGATGACGTCACTGGTCTGGAGGGTGACCTCCGCTCCTGAAACATGGCCGAGCAAGAAGTAGTTTTTTGTTTTCGTGTCGACCAGCGGCATGTTCACGAAGGAGCACAGACAAACGTAATCCCAACCCGACATATACCACGGGCTCCGTCCCCGTACCCACCCTAATCTCTGAACCAATACTACCCGTCCCCCGGGCGCTTTTGTTGTTAGTCAACGTGCCCTTAACCAACAAAGCTTGCGCAATCCTGTAGGACGTCCGCAAGAGGAGCAAAGGCAAACCCCAACAGTTCACAGATTGGCGCGCCTCACCGTAGGCACTATTCATCGTTCGGAGCAGCCGTAATGCAGCTGCGAAGCAACAGACGAAAGTTCCCTGTGTAATAGTTGTGCTATTCCAGCAATAAAGCGGAACCGGGTGCAAATCAGCCTTGCCCAGAGAACTTGATTGCTCTGCAGCGTACTTACCGAGTCCCGCAAAATCAGCATCAATCTGAGGGGCGTCGGGGTTCGGAGAGGAGGGGTGCTCCGGATCTGCGACTCGATTATAAAGCTGTCCGTTGTGAAAGACTGCAGAGATTGGCTGTTCGAATCTGCCAATAATAAGTGGGCCGACGTGAAAGCTTGCACGATGGCACACAATCCAAGCAACCTTTTTTAACGATTGAAAGGAGAGCAAGCTTGTGCGCATATCTGGAAGTGCGTTTGGCTGCCACGCTTTCGTGACGAGGAGTCCTTCGTGATTTTCGGCAGGTGATATGTAGAAGACGCAGTATTCTCAAAGCATCAGGAACTGAAAGCGATACGATTCAGACGCGTGAATTGGGCAGAAAACTGCAAGGTAGACAATTGGAAATCGTCCAGGTGTCCACAGAACCACGTACTCCTCAAAAGCTGTCCAGAAAGCGAAAGATAACCCAATTCTTCGAACCCGGTGAATAACGACCGTATCTCAAAAGCTGCAACGGACTTGACAAAGGCACTGCGAAGCTAAGAATCAGGGCCCTCTCCAGCTTCCTCACACCGCAATAGGGGCTGCTAGACAGACCCCCGCGCACAGCAGACCCGAATTTTCCCCAACCTCCTGTAACAGGTGGTCAAAAAAAAAAACTGTTTGAGAGAGACTGAAAGGAGGCGTCGACTCTATCGAAGAGAGTCATGGGGGCCCCTCTTTACATCATGAGGGAAGGGAAGCTGCAATTCCTCTTGGGCTACTCTCATGGAACCTGCAATATATATTACTTTGCGGCACCAGCAGCCAATTGCACTTCTGACCACCCGTCACAGACATCACTGCCTGCACTTGGTCATTTGGCAACAGAACTAACAGCTGCATAGTAAAAGCAGTACGGGAGCAGCACATAGAGCACCTGACAGAAGCAGCATTGAGCAGACTGTGGTTGATTAATCAGCAAAACATATACCAATCTGCGTTTTCCAGAAAATTACGGATATTTAATCAAAGGCTGATGGCTTTGTACATCAGCGATGTCACTTACAGCTGCCCTTGCCACATTCATCTGCGGGGATGATGACGTCACTCTCCGATCCCATTGCCGTTGGAACGCTCTGCTGGGTTTTGGACCTTTTCTGAGTCCGCCCGCTTGACTTGGCCTAATACTCAGTGGATGTCTTCTTCATGGGTGCAAGAAATGCTTGAACAAGAACAAAGCGGCAACCTGCAGACATAACGACATGTTCACAATCCCGTCAATCTGAATGCCAGAATACCCAGATCAAAACCCCGTACGAATCTCAGCAGAGTGTCGCACTGTCTTGCTTGCTACCACAGAGAACATAAGCGTGAGAGACACTTTACTGTACGTTGTAGGCACCAATTGCCTTGAGCAAAAGTACTGGTCAGCAGTACTTAAAGCAAAAGCTCTGGAATGATCCTGATTCTGCGAAGTGACTGCAACATGGGAAGCCCATGGGAAGCTAGATGGCGGTGATTCTGTCACGTGGCTGCACGCGCAAACGGCAATTGCGGGCCCACTCAGTCGGACGCAAAGGTGAAAAGAGCAGTGCGTGCACTGCCAAGTAGTGGCTCCTTTGTCGTAAATGTTCCTCAGAAGAATGTAGGAGCAGGAAGCCCTTTTGAAAGGTGCATGGTGCAGGCGCCAGTTCAGAACTAGAATTTCGCACCCACCCAATTACACCCACCCTTCAACCCTTACTTGGTTCCTGTGGGGGTCCTGTAAACAGCCCCTTGTGCCACTATTCTGCAGATCACTGTGATCATTACAGGAATATAGCGACGGTGATCGTTGAACTACGCGCGGCGGCCGCGCCTCGCCGCGCGTCCATGCAGGGTTTAGCTCTGAGCCTCTGACCCGTGCAGCAGGACACGGGTTACGTCACTGCACGACTGCGTATGGTGTTAAGCCATAGACCGTATACCATAGGTACGACGATATACCTATAGTACCTACAATATTTGATTAACCGGGCACTGGCTGGTATTACTTGGGGACTTTACCAATACTTGAAATGAATGTGCATATCCGTCAGTAAATTCACCCAAATCGTACCTGTTAAAGGTTGCACGGACCTAACAAAGCGTAACCGTAACCCTGATATCCCCGGGGATGCCCTCGGCGGTTCGAGTCCAGGTCCGATATATCTTCTTTTTAGGGTTTTAGGGTTTTAGGGGTCTTCTAAAAGTTTGACAGATTTGCGTCGACATATGATCTCTTTCGCGCATATAATGATTTGGATTAAGTACTTTTCCGCTGAGGCCGCGGCCAGGGCAGCGAACGTGTGCCACGCTGTAGAGGTGCCAAATGTCAGCACGGTCGTCTAGCATCCTTCTGAACCTTTCCGCACTGTTGTGAGGCGCGAGCTGTTCACATGGTCTGGTGACCATGTGGATCAGGTGGAGTCACATGGGATCCCACAGTGGACCTTTTAGGGAACAGAAGCTGCGCACATGATGTATCTCTTTATAATAGCCCAGCTAGCTGCTGATCCAATCCCCGGCAGCTACCACTGCTGTGAACTCATCTTAGTATCCACGTGGGGCGACAGAGTATAGAAGATCAGCACTAGCGCCACTGGAAGGGAGATCTACGTTGCACTGCACTACACTACACAGTCCCGAGACAATGCATTCAAGAGTGCTGCAAACTTCGCGAAGCTGCCACGCTAAGCTGCTTTTCTGCTAGCTACCCTGCAATGCGACAAAAGCACCAGATTTTACAGGGCAGAGATCTTCACCGCTCGCAAGAGAAGCATAATATATGAGAGCTGGCAGCTTTCAGTAGTGAAGATCTGCGATCACATTGCATATGATGAGGAGAACGAAAGGTATAAGAAAGCTCAGAAAGTCTTGTCACTAGTTTTGCAGCCTTTTTGTTGAGTCTGTTCAACACGAGCGCTAGCGCATGACTGGTTGAATGCTCGCAGTGCCAGAACAGTTTAGTATACAACTCTAAGGGCGCGCTTCAGTCTAGTTTCCTCCCAGATCTCATAACAGCGCAACTCAGCTGTGCCAAGAAACTCTTCTGCCTCCTGCCTCAGCCTACAGTTCAACACTGCGTTACGGTGCCAGAAGCAGAGAAACCTGGAAGTGGTTGTTGACATCACGACATCGGTGACAGCAAGCAGTGCAACAGCTTGGACAGGGGGATGACCTGATCACAGCTCTGGCCTGGCAAGGAGGCAGCTCATCAACCTCAATTAAATAGTCCCTTCTTCGTATTGATAGAGTTTCTGTAAAGGACGTCACTTGCGCGGCGTAGTTCCAGGGAAACAGTGCTGTCTACAGTCGATTAAGTCAGCATGTCAAAGCAGCTTTTAAGACTCTTGCTAAGCGGTTATTGGTGAACACCAGTCCTGCACGTGAGTGGAAAGAGTGGGAGGCACATCATCGGTTGGTTCCTTCAAGCTACAGCATAGTCGATCCAGAAACGTCATTTTGCTTGCCAGAACCAGCCAGAAACCCCTTCTTAAGCTCCTATTGGTGTCCTCGTAGAACGAGTTCTGGGGGCGCCTGCACCTTCAACCTTCATCCAATAGTTCAAACTTCTTGTCTGGGCAATCTTTTGGACTTTTGATTTCGAAGATCTCTGAGGACTATTCTGACGGCCTGATGGCGGACGTGACGGGGGTTGCAATTGGGCGGGACTCGACTGGGGACCCTGGAGACTCGATGCGAGGAGTTACTGGCAGGTGAGATCCGAATTTGCAGATGGAAGTGTCGATTGCTGATCTTTTTTACTCTGGCTGTTCTTCATGCTGTCAAAAGTCTGCCCAGATAGAGAGACCGAGGCTGTTTAGACTCGGTAGGGACTACCCTACTTTCTGTCATGGATGAAGTTGTTCAGGCGGAAGCTATTGTTCTGTGCAAACAAGTTCGTTCACTCTCAACCCTTACAAGGATCCAAGATTAGCAACCTTGATCCCCCGCTGCTCGTTTTCGTTGATCAGCCTTCCCTCACCATTTTATGTTGGGTAGCAAATAGCCGCTCCTATGCGGGTATGGATTGGCTCCTCGTTTGAAAAAAAGTGCAAGGGGGTTTGCAGGGAGCCGGTGATGGCTATGGCCATGACTAAACGGGGGACCAGCTATGAAAGTTCTTCTTCCGGCTTTGATCTGCCAGTGGACAGCGAGCATAAGGTGAGACTTATGTCCAGAAGCAAACGAACCGCAGAGGCTTGGAAGTTGCCGGGGGCCAACAAAGAGATGGTATTATTGAAGTCAATCGTTTGACTTCAGAATATCGGCACTTGAGGATTATTGGTTCTGGGTGGTGTTTGCCGATTCTGACCGTACCGATCTGGAATCCTATCCCAACGTGACTTTGATTAGTTCCGCATCCTAGACACGCTTCCAGCCGCCACTCAACCCTGATACGGACGAGCTCAAGAATAACGATTGTGTCGAAGGTCCGCCCTGCAGATGCCTTCAAACAACTAGACGCGTAAATGCTTGAGGGAAGCTTGCACTCTGTCAGTTGTCGAACCAAAGCAACCAAACTCGGCAGCATAGGAGTAGGTACTTGTGCTTGGAGCAGAGCGTGTGGACGGCACGAAACGTCTGTTCGTGTCTTTTACATTGATGACGTGATCAGTGACAAATAGAAAGCTTATGATTTCAAGTGGCAAGCCCGGATGTTGACACAGAACCCCTAACCCATGACGTCACCAGCTCCGCACCAAACTCACCCGAAACCCCAACTCAGGTCGGCGTCTGACGACGTTCTTCCTGAAACTTCCCATATCTCAACTCTCATGTCTTGTCTTTTCCTGACTTTGATTTGTTGGCCCCACTTTCAGGCCCGCCGCATCAAGCTCCTCAGCGTGGCAAAGCCCCACATGCGCGCGTTCCATCTCTCCTGGTTCTCATTCTTCTGCTCGCAATTTGCGACGTTCGCGGCGACCCCCCTGATCCCGATCATCCGTGACAATCTCGACATGGACTCGAAAGATCTGGGGAACGCCGCGGTGGCTTCCGTTACTGGGACCATCTTTGCGCGTCTCCTTATGGGCAGGTGGGTTTGAACGAGTGTGGTTTCCGTGGGTAACGCTTTTGAGGGTTATGAAAATTGATGCTTCCGAAAGTTGACAGATTTGCGGCAAAGATTCAGGTCAGATGCTCAGTGGAACGCAGCAGTCAGTTTGTGCTATTCCAAAGTGTCACTGCAGATTTGAAAGCAAGTCCTCAGCATAGACATGAGGGGCTCAATTAGTTGCTAGGATTCGTCGAACATGTCTGGAAAATCCAGACCGCTAAACGCCAGCAACAGTAACTTAGTACACCTCGTCAGCATCATGCGATTGGACTGTCTTCCGTACAATCCTGGGCTCTAAGTAGGGTATTAGGTTTCAGGGTTTCGACGTTTTGGGTTTTCAATTCACACGAACCAACCCGCAATCGGTATACCTTCTTGTGCAGTCTGTGCGACTCCATTGGTCCCCGGTTTGGGCACGCCTTCCTGATGCTGCTGACCGCCCCAGCCACTTTTAGCATGGCGGCCGTTGACAACGCCACAGGTGCGACATCCGAATTTGATCCATCCTAGTTGTTCCCTTTGGAACTGTCTGCACGGATGATGCAACTGTAGCGTGCCTTGCCATACGGAGAATTTAGGATTGTTTTCTAGTAAGCAGGCAATTGATGATGGGCACACCGAATGCATCCGCGTCGAGGGCAGCGCCCCAGATGTATGCTTAGGGTTCCCACCGCGTGCTAGACGAAACTTTCTGCTTGAACGGTTAAGATTGTACTGCGGGATGTGCCAGTTACCAGCGCTTCGTACGTCGCCGCTTTTCGTCGTTTCTTTTTCGTGCTTGACGTAACGTAGAACAAGCAGAACGCAAATGGGTCGTGAACAGAACTCAAAGAAGTTACGATTGCGTGCCGCGGACTTCGTTCCGTCCTCTCGCAGGCTTCATCATCTGCCGGATGTGCATCGGCTTCTCATTGGGCGTCTTCGTGGCGACGCAGTTTTGGGCGTCCGTCATGTTCAATGGCAAGATTGTGGGGGTCGCCTGCGGAGCCACAGCGGGGTGAGGCCTCGTACTTGGTTGTCGTGCGTCCGGCAAAAGTGAGGATGCAGACAAAGAAGCTTGTCTTCCGTTCTTGAACCGAAAGAGAGATGATTGCACATTTTTACCTTCATGTTCAACGGCACGATTGTGGGGGCCGTTCTGCGAAGCCACGGCGAGGTGAAGCCCTCAAAGTGCGTCAATAACGGTTCGCATGGCACGAACAGATTTCGGCTGGGGAGTGTAGACAGAGGAACGTCTCCCTTTCTTGCACGAAGGTAAAGGAGTCGTCGCGTCACTTAGTTCAACTTGGGACCCGCGTCTGCAGGTGGGGCAACAGCGGCGGCGGCCTAACCCAGTTCATGCCCCCCTGTTCAGCATGGCTGGCGCACTTCGAATTCCAGTCGTGAATCGCTTAACCCAGTAAACCCAAACCGTATTCGCAGGTGGGGCAAAAGCGGCGGCGGCCTCACCCCAGTTCAGGCCCCTGATCTTTGCTCTGTTCAGCATGGCTGGCGCAAATTAAACATAAAAAATTGCTTAACCCGTATCGCAGGTGGGGCAACAGCGGCGGCGGCCTATCCCACAGTTCATCATGCCCCTGATCGTCACCCTGTTCAGCATGGCTGGCGCACTTCGAATATAAATCGTCATCGCTCAAAGCTGATAACTTAACCCGTATTTTGCAGGTGGGGCAACAGCGGCGGCGGCCTAACCCAATTTATCATGCCCCTGATCTTCGCCCTCTTCAGCATGGCTGGCGCGCCCGACTTTGCGGCCTGGCGCTATGTGTTCTTCGTCCCGGGCGTGTTGCAAGTCTTCGCCGCATATCTAATCCTGGAGTTCTCGCAAGATTTGCCTGACGGGCAGTACGCGCAGCTGCGGAAAACGGGGCAAAAGGTGAGGGCTTTTGAGTTATTGAAAGCACCCGTTTTTGGGTTTACGTGTTCGCAGATGAAACATCTCTAGCACTCTGCGCTTTTGATGCCAATCAGGTACAAAAGCCCCAAAAGTTCTCGAGCAGTGTTCATGGTGTCTGTCATCCGCACGTTGATGTCTCTGCTCGCACGGTAATATTGATGGTCAATACTACCTCATATTCCACACAACGAAGGGTTCGAAAGACGAATCTAAAGGAGAAACAGGGCTCGAAGATTAAGATGGACCAGACAGTAAGGGAACGGAATGGAGAGTAGATATCCGTCACTGGTTGATGCCCTAACAGTTCCAATTGACAAGTCTTGAAACTTCCTTAGACCCGAGCTTGCAGGCCTATGCTCTGTTAATGACGAGTAGGTTTGTAGCTCGTTCCGTTTCCCCATAGTTGACGAGGTGTAAAGTTTATAGTGCACTATTCCTGTGCAGGTGAAAGAGAAGGGCCATCGGGTGCTCATCACTGGTCTAAGCAACTACAGAACGTGGTGAGTATTATCAGCGACGTATCCGCCTTGTCCTCCCAATTTGCGTTTACAGGAACGTCGATATTCCCGTACGACATGGGGAGCTGACAGCGGGCTTCAGAAGCAAGAGTGTTTGCTTAAGAACCTAAGACCAATGGCTTTGCCGTTAGGGGTAACCCTGATCGTAGAGCAGTCACAGGGAAGAGATGTAACCCTAGCAAACCGTCACAGGGAAGGGGCGTAACCCTAACACACAGTTAGTGCTTTGTGACTTGTACGATATGTATCCAGCGGGAGAGGAAAGCATTCTGGCCGCCCTGGCTGGATGGCTTGGAACGCTTGAGCCGAGAAGGTGAAATGGGGCTCGACCACGTACAAGGAAAATACGGCTTTCTCGTGCTTTTAATTCATGCAAACCTGCAGCGTTTAGGTCAGCTTCCTTGCGACCTTCCTCTGAGAAATCAAAGTCCGCGAGGTCTGATTCTGCAGGTTGGTGGAAAGGTATGCCATTGCCCTCTAAACGTAGCAATACACGGAAGGGAATACTGTTCCAAAACGTTATGTTAAATCCAACCCTGAAGCCGGGTGCTTCGGAAGGTGACCTTTGGATGTCTCCCGAACGCCTGCTTGCCCTTTTTTGGAGCAACTGAACTGTCCAAGTTACGCTTTTGTATCCTGTCGCGGTTGGGCAACGCAAAAGATCACTTCCTGAACGAGAAAACGAATCTACCAGCATTTCCGCGAGCAAATGAATCACACAATTCTCGGAATCCTTCGCACTTTCATCGTGACCCAGCGTTTCTTTGGACGTCCCCAGGTGCCTGGTCGCGACGTACGCCTTCAGCTTCGGCATCGAACTGACGATGAACAACATCCTGAGCCCCTACTTCTTCGACCGCTTCAACCTGGACATCACGAGCGCCGGCATGCTCGCGTCCATCTTTGGGATCATCAACATATACGCGCGCGCGGGGGGAGGGTACGCAACTCTCTTCCTTATCCTTATCATTGGGAGTAACACTGTATTTTTGCATCCGCCGAGATGGTTTCTTTGTGTATCGCCCAGACGGCGGAATCGAGAGAGGCGTCCGGATGCTCGCGCCCCTACGTGACCTCATCATCATTGTCTGCGCGCACAGAGGCCGCGTAAGCTATTAGCATTTCTCGTTATCGTTGATCTTCGTTTTTGATATTACCTTTCCTCAAAGATCAGCCGCTGTTTGCTCAACCACTGGAACCACAAAAGCCTCGAGAGGGCCTGCGGGCTTATTTCGATGCCACGTGTTGCCACGCTGCCACGTGCTGCGACCTTCCAATGACACCCGGCACTCTTACCCCGCAGCATCTTTTCGGACATGGCCGCGCGGCGGTGGGGCATGCGCGGACGCCTTTGGACGTTGTTCGTGCTGATGATGGTCCAGGGGGTCTTCATGATCCTGTTCGGACGGATGTCGTCTCTGACTCCCGCCGTGATCGTCATGGTCGTTTTTGCCAGCTTCTCCGAGGTGAGCATGAAAAGATACTCCTGTTCAAAGCTTTTCCGCAGTGCGCACACGTATCGATCACGGCAGCCTTCTGCCGATGATTGATCAGAAATGCTAATATGGAGACGGGAATTGCAGACTGTTCTCCTAAATTATGTGAAGCGCGTTTACGTCGGCGAAAGTCACTCCCTCTTTTAATGCATCGCGGTAGGAACCGACTTTGCAGGGGCTTATAGACGGTTTCAACCGAGACGGTTCGTTTGCGAACGCTTGCAAGGTTAGTGTGTAGCAGAATGATAGAGCTTAGATTCCTAGCTATTCATCCCACTTTCAATTCAAAAAGGCGTCTGATAAAGGCGAAGAAAAAGGCGCTTTGGAATCATGACCAAGTCTATGCCTGGACTTCAGACATGGTCGCCTTTGCCGCCAGTCCGCTTGAGATGAGGCGATCTCCAATGCTTCAGAGTCAAAGCCCAAGGATTTTTGCATGAGACCCGAGAATCCAGATTAGAAGCCGGAAACCGAGAACCCTCGCCACGCCAATCAGGGGGTGCCCGCCTTCGACCGCAATCGCTTCTAGATCGACCTTCGGAATGTTCCGTGGCGTTCGGATCCCCAGCGCGTCCTAGGCATCGTGGCAGAACCGGGAACCCTGAATGCAAACCCAAAACTTCATAACCCGTTAAAGTGAACCCCATTCCCGATCGCAGTTTGCGTCCGGGTCGACCTTCGGCATCGTTCCGTACATCTCGCGGCGCGGCCTGGGTATCGTGTCGGGCTGCGTGGGCGCCGGCGGTAATGCGGGCAGCGCGATCGTGCAGGCAATCTTCTTCACCAATAACCCGGTCCCTACTCAGGTGAAGATGCAGGGCTTTGATTCAGGTTTTGAGTCTCGTTACCAGCGTTTTCATTCCGTTCGTTTCGATGCGGAGTTTTATAAGGTAAGACATGAGTTGAGAGCACCGGCGGGAATGCGGGCAGCGCCATCGTGCAGGCAGTCTTTTTCACCAATAACCCGGTCCCTACTCAGGTGAGGATACTCCAGGACTCTGGCTCAGGTTTTGAAACGGGTTTTGGTCTCGTTAGCAGCGTATAAGATACTTCAGAGCGCCGGTGAGAAGTGGGCAGCGCCATAGTGGAGGCCACCTTCTTCGCGGATAACCCGGTCCCTACTCAGATGAGAATTCACAGTTGAGAATGCACCGTACAGCGTTTACCTACACTCTTCGAACTCGAGACGCGCATGAAAAAAGCTAGAAGACACCCGAGGTTATCCGCTTAGAAACAATACCCTTATCTTCCATTGCTGCTCTTAGATGACTATCTGAAAGTTCTGGCAGGGAAAAAACCTAAAGTTTAGAGAGCTCAGATTCCAGTCGTACGTCGGCCATTTCGTGTTGCGCTGTTCGTTTTCGCCGTTTCAATCTCCGCAGGTTAGAGACTTGGCAGGAATGAAAACCATTCTGATGAGGGACCGGATGTTGACAGTATGCACAATCGGCGTTGGCGCCGCCCTGTCATCCTTGGAATCCGAAGATCTCCTCTGTTTCCCCATGTCTACGTTCTGCTCTAACCATCTTGACTGTTTGCAGGACGGGATCTCGATTGTGGGCATCGTCGTCATGGTCGCCGCGCTGTTCGTGCTGCCCATCTACTTCCCGCAGTGGGGCTCCATGCTTTTCCCGGCGGACCGGCGACCCACCTCCACAGAGGAGGAGTACTACGCCGGTGAATACAGGTCCGTCGAATCAACTCCTTTTTGGTTCGCAGTCTTCGTTACCTTCCTCATTGCAAATCTGGCATTGTTTCGTTTCCGCTTCACGATAACTCTGTGAGCAATCCCTAAAACGACGTGTCTCGGGTTCTAACTTCGAAGCCAGCGAAGCACCTCAACAACTCGAGCGGAGTGAAGGCGGTGGCCGCACGCGGCCATACTCGAAGGCCGCCTCTCAAGCCTTGTGAAATCGCTTGGTGTCGGTGCATTCTCCTATATATTCAGCGATGGTGCTCCCAGATCCTTTCGCGAACGCGCGTCCTCTCTCGCTTATCTAGGGTCTCGAATCCTTCAAGCTTTGGGATCCGCGTCTCCGTTTGATAGGTTCGATATCTTGGAGGTAGAACGCGCGTGCTCTTTTCCGCTATTAAACGACTTCTGAGGTCTTCCCCCAGGTTTTGGACCCACTTTCACCATCGTCAAAACCTCCCACGCAGATTCGTGAAGCCCCCATTCTTCAGAAATAGTTTCGCCAAATCTCCCCAATGCTAATCCTTACCAGTTCTGCCTCCCAAAACATCCCACGCTGAAGTTCTAAGCAGTGACGCGCAGAATCTCCTGACTCGGCCCGCAGCGCCAACGAGCTCAACCAGGACCTGCATGCGCGCGTGCTCCCTTCGCGGCCGCTCAACGCGCGCTCCGGTCATGTATCCGGTCTTCAAAACCTTCCGCCGCTAACCCTCCAAACCCTGCCTCGCAGCGCCGACGCGCGGAGCCAGCTCCTGCACGCGCGCTTGCTCCACTTCGCGGCCAACGCGCGCTTCGGTCACCTATCCCGATTTCGAAACCTTCCGACGCTAACCTTTTTAACCCTGTTTCGCAGCGCCGACGAGCGCAGCCAGCACCTGCACGCGCGCGTGCTCCCCTTTGCGGCCAACGCGCGCTCGGAGCGCGGGAGCAGCTTCAACGACCTGCTCGCGCTGGAAAAGGACGCGAGCGCGCCCGCGGGGTCCAATCAAGAGGTGCGACGCGGCGACGCCCCGGGCGGGGACGTGGACGCCGCATCGAAGGGTTTGGGGGCGTTGGAAATGGTGCGGGAGGAGGCCGAAAGTCGCCGCTCTAGTTTTGCGGTCGAGAGGGCAGAAGCGCCCGGGGGAAGTGAAGCGGGTGCTCGAGGGGGCTTTTCGGGGGGTTCGAAAGCAAGCGGGGGTCTATCGCCGGCTGCAAACAACGAGTCGGAACAGGTGAGGCCACAAAGATTAGCGCAATCAAAGCAATTTCCGCATGATTGAAGCCTGGGGGGTTCAATCTGAGAGACCTTGTCGATGACTGTGCTTCTCGAAGCTTCCATCAGAATCGCTGTCCAGAGATAGGGATGGAAAAGCGAGGGAGTCGCGCCCAGATCCCCCAAAGAACGCCGGTGGCAGTGTCCACCTGTTGCAGGAGCTCTTTCATTAGCGGCAGGAGTCTGTCGAGCGGATGCGCTGTTCAGCGCACGGAGTACCATGATTCCTCGTTTGAAAAGCGCTGGCAAGGTGTTCCCGTCTGCTTCGTTACCTCGTTGTTGTTTCATTTCTTATACCTCGTTGTTGTTTTATTTCTTATAACGGTTCGGCTTCCTCTCCGCTTCCAGGTGCACGGTCGCTCGGACTTCGCCGAGGAGCTCCGCCGACACAGCCTGGAGATCAGTCCAACTTAAGCACTCCCCCCGGGGCGCCCTACGCACTTATCGGGCAAGGAACACATCTAGCGTTCACGGAGTGCACTTCTCAGCCGCCTATTCCTGGGCCTCAATGTCACGGCCCGCGAGCCGGGATCGTCGTCTCTGCCGGGCTCCATTTTTGCTAGTATGATTACTTTGCCTTCTTCGGAGGGTCCGTTACATACATTCTGATTTTGGCGTAAGAGTGACACTTTTTCCGGGAGCTGTTATCAACTGGCGGCCTCGTCAATAGCATTGAACCAGTTTTGTCGCGCGCTATTACTTTGAGTAGGGCTTGTGAATGAGAAGAGGGTTTCAGAGCTTGGCGCAGTGTCGAGAACGGCTGGATAACCTTTCAAGCGGTGTAGAATCAGGCAGAGTTCTGTATATCTTCGAGTTGGTCAATCGAGTGGAGAAAAAAGAGGAAGATTGTTGAGCTTGTGACGTCCGATAGGCTGCTGAGTTGCTGAGTAGAAGCGACAGCCGGAAAGCAGGTTTTGTAACGAGAGTGCACGCACGCTGACCATTTTTGAGTTTAATGATCCTTCAAGCGCGGGTACGGTCACTGACGGAGAAGCTGAGAAAACGCTGACTTCAATCATCTTGTGCAGAGCGGTAAAATGCTTCGTTGAATAAGCCCTCGCAGTCCCTTGCGAAGTGAGCAGCCACGTGCCCTACCTTTCAATGCTTGCAAATTTCCATCACACTTTCAACATGGAGAAAACATGGAGCAACATTAAGAGGAATTCCTGTAATTGATTCATGTGGCTAACCGACGCGTGCATTTGAAATGTTTGAACGAAGCTTGAATTTGAGCATATTGAAGGTAAAATGCACGTTGACGTCGACTCGATCGATTGCCGTGCTTCAGTTCTCAGGCGGACCTATAAGCTTTCCATGCAATTCAGTGAACCTTGGATAGACGGACCTTATTTCGATCGTATGCGACCGGCCTGTGACACGTGCATGCACCTGATTGCATGGTGCCACCGTCATACACGCGCAAGATGGTCAAGAACATAACATAGCTAGATTGTGTGTACAATAATCAACTTGGCCGGATTCGTTTAACTAGGCGCCGAGAACATCAGTGCCGCAGGCCAAGCTCTAGCCTTTATAATCGTTTCAGAACGATTGAAACACGGACCCATGGCGGCAGTTCTTCTTTTTGCAGTAATCATGTGTGCCGTGCATGTGCATTTGCAGTGCCGGATCCTCATGATTCCGCAAGTCGTAAGTTGATGCTGTGAATTTGCAACGAAGATATGCATAGCTCGCGCCTGCAAAATGTGCATCAACGACAGGTTCAACAGCTGACCTTGGCATGTGATGCCTAAGCAATCAAGCTATAGTAGCAACTACCCTACACGCGATACGTTGCATGCGCCACCGGGCAGCTGTACGTATGTTTGCAGGCATGCATGATACAGCTCGCTGCAGCCTAGAAGCCAACTCACAGAAGAAAACGTCCGGTAAGCGCAATCAAGGTTTCGACTCAAAAGGTAGCATAACTTAAAAAGCGGCGCGCAGCAGTTGACCGGATGCTGTTGATCCGTGTCTTGTCTCATGCAACACATACATGAGACTACAACAATGTAACGAAAGGTATCGGCTTTCTCAGTGTGCTCGAGAAGGCTGCTGGCGCATGCGTATGCCAATCGCCTACATTAGCTGTGAACTCGTTTCTCAAGAGTCTGACTAGGCGGGCATATGACTGTCTTCCTATACCTGACTGACTCATCGCAGGCTCTACTCCTTTGGGCCTTTATAATTGCAGACCTCGTTTCACCTACTTTATTGCGTTTATCTGGATCTACTGCTTTGACATTCCGCTCCAAATTTTAGCCGCTGCGTGATACTCCCGTCGACTCAGTGCACTCAGTCTTGGCTTTTTGATGCCGCACTTCTTGCCACTCAACCTACGAGCAAGACCTTACCGCCGCGCTTCTCCTCTAGTGACTTCTGTACTGCCTTCTTGACATCCTTGAGGTCAAACTTTTCTCCGCTGAAGGGTGATATCACCCTTTGGTTCATTAAGTCAATCACCTGCACAGAGAGGAAGAGGCCACGTCATCGGCCTGACTCCAAAGAGGGTTGACGTTATGCCTTCGGGAGAGGCTACCCCTTCAAAGCAAAAGGGGCTGAAAAGGGGGCAACAAACCAAGCGAACGTAGATATTATCACGTAGTTCATGAAGGGTCCCCTCTTTCACATTAGGAAACATTTCGAAGGCATGGAGACCCTCCGCAAGGAACGCCACATGTATACAAGCAAAGGTATTCTATTCCCATTCACGAGGGAGGAAGTCAAAGAAACTAAAACCAAAACCCGAACCCAAAAATGAGGCGCTCAACATCTGCACCCAACCTAATCACCCAACTAACCCCACCCGTCTTCCGGGTGCTTACGTTACGGCGAGCTGCTCTTCCGAGTAATCTAGGTTATCGGCCAATGTAGCATGTGCGCTAAGGAGCCTGACCTCATTGGAGCGCTCCCGCTGCTGCTCGGGCCTCATAGCCTCAATGCCGGGCGCAAGTCAAACCCGTCTGATGCAATCTCCTTGATTCGGTTTCGCGTCCGGGTCACGTTAAGCGTGATAACGACGACCGGCATCACTCTGTGGAACTGAACCGTGCTCATTTGTCCATTTTTACTCCATACAAGTACAATATGTGGGTCCAAGAATCTTACCTCATTGGCGCGCTCCCGCTTCTGCTCGGGCGTCATCGCGGCAATGTCGGGCGTGACCCAATACCCGGTGATGTTGACCTTGCGCAACGCGACCTCCCAATGCATAAACACAGACTCCATCGCTCCGGACATTCCGCCGTACAGGACGAGCAACCCGTTGTTGCGGACGCTCTCGGACAGCGCCTGGACGGACAGAGATGCGGACACATTAAGAAAGGAAAAGATTCAGATATGAAGGATGCGGATACGGGCAGATGGAGGTACCTATAAGGTCGGCTGAGACGGACGAAGGGATCAACAGACAAACGAGGATACGACCGGGTGGGATGCGGAAAGATGAGGTTACGGATGGACGGAGATACGGGCAGATTGGGACACGGACAGATGCAAGGCAGTACGCACAGCAGAGAAACGGACTGACGTGGATATGGACAGGTGGGGGAACCGGGATGTCAATCTGAGGCAAAGCCTCTTGTAAGCACTCAAAAACTGCTGTCGGTTAGCATGGCCGTGGTGGAAAAAGTCCTGTACTTCACACGGTATGTAGTAAGCGGTGGCAGAACCAGCCTAGGGCATGCCCGACGTGAGTCCTCCTTGCTTTTGTCGCTCCTGATGGCTGTGGAATGCTGAGAGGGAGCACTGAAAACTTCGGATGGCTGTGAAGGCTAAGAGAAAGCTCTGATTATTTTGGCACTTACTTGTGCCAACGACTATGAAAAGGAGAAGGAAGCTTTCAAAACTTTGGCATTTGGTCCCATGAGTCACTCACCTTGACAATATCGCCAGCGACCGCGTCGATCGCAGCGTAGGCGCCATTGGCCCCCGTCACTTGCTTCACCTTTGCGGACAGGTCCGAATGGTCCCCCGTGCTCGCAATCACAGCGTCCGCACCGAGGGCTTTCAGCTCGGCCTCCGCGTCCGGGCGGCGAACGACGTTGACGGTCTGTAGAGAAGCCGAAAGTTGACAACATATCCAAAAGATATTAACTTAGGCCACAGCCGAGGAACGGGCAGGGTAAAGATATGGCTTTTGGGTAAATCAAGTGCAAACGATGCTTCGTTTCGGCTTTGCTTTAGGTGTGAGCCCGAATCCGAAAACTTATTGCAGACCTAATTCAAAGCAACATTGAAAGGTATGAACGTTGGAACAGTCTCCTACTTAGCAATTTCGAGGTTCTTCGAGTCAGTCCAGACTGCCCCGCCGCTACAGACGTTCGAATCTTTGATTTTAAACTGGAAGGCTTTGAACGTTTTGCCGGTTTTTTCTCGTTCTGAACCCTCGTTCTTCGGAAAGGGAATGGCTAGGAGTTCGTTTTCCCCCCTAGAAACGAGGCCTTCCCGTTCCTCAAAGCAAGATGACAGGCTCTGATTGAGAAACATTACGCCCTCTGGCAATCGCCCAATGAAGATGCGAAAAACCTTTCGGCCTTTCGGCCTCGGTCTTAGAAAAGATTTCCCTTCCCTCTCAACCATATTGTAGTTCACTGAATGCCGAGGCAAGAAATGAAGTCGAATTGAAAAGATTTCATGCACTGAACAACACAAACCGTTCACTGGAAACAGGTCAAAAAGCGGAGCTGCCCTCAAAAGTGGGTCTCTCCGAGTGCATCAGCAAATGATCCTTTTAAGCTTGCCTTGATTCCCAAGTGCTTGGCCAGCGCAATGATCTGGCGCCCCAGGACAGAGCTCGCCCCCGTCTGCAGTAGCCACTCTCCCTTAGGAATGTTGAGAAACTTTAAGAGGCCGATGGCGGTCCACGGGTTGACAATGAACTGCGCAGCGTGCTCGTCTGAGATGCTGTCCGGGATCGGAATGATGTCGTCCTGCTTCACCGCAATGTAATCCTAGAAGGAAAAAAATTAGGATTATGAGCATTATGAAAGAAGCAGATGTGGTACTGATGGACTTGAGACTTGCCCTCGATTTCAAAGGAGTAGAACTGGTAGGGTCAGTTCAAGCTGGTCGGTTCAATTCAATGTTTCTATACATGTCTCCAAGAGTAGTACGCTCAGGAAACCTGATATTCGCCACTATTGAACCGTCATAACAGCGAGGGCCTCGGAAGAGTCAATCGAGACGGGAAAGCGCACAACCACCTGGGTACTGACACACTCGTGTTCCACTGTATCCCATTCTAAGTTGAGGGAAAAAGAGCCTACTGTCCCCAAACTGCACCAGAATCAAGGTTTCAGCCTCTCACACACTCGACTTGTACCCCGACCTGAATGAATGAAGTGGCGCGCGCGGTGTATCATTTCGAATTGGAACATTTTCTTTTCGATCAGTGGGTGAAGTACCATCTCACCTGCCAAGATCCATTCCCGTGCTTTGTGTAATTGTTCAGCAAAATGGGAACCACTCGCTGTCCCACGCTGAGGCCGGAGACACCGCTGCCAATCTGCACGATTGTCCAGCAAAATCACCAACTTACATCGTAGACAAACTCTATTCGTTTCCAAACCTTCAACTTAAGAGAAGATGCGCACTGAACATCGGTTTAGTGGGAGATATAGCTCGTACTTTTCAAAGCGGTGGTGCATCCTGTGCTATCAAAACTCTGGTCAGTCTGCCACAGGCCTCAAACGCTCCGCGCGCTCTCCCTACAGAACCACCACAGGTGGATAGAGACATGATGCTGCATACGGAAACAATCACTTGATTGGAAGCAAGCAACGGTCAAAACCATATCAGTACTTTGTATCACCACCAGAAAGGCTCCTCCAAATTGATCAATTGCTTGTTGACAGAACCACAAATGCACTCTTCGGAGAAATTTGGGCTCACCTCCTCAATCTTCCCGTACCCTTCCAGGCCAGGAATTGCAGGAAGCGAAGCTGGCTGGAAACCGGGATAGTAACCTGCCAAGATTGCTCCCTGGATTAGATAACTAGATCACCTGTTTTCATGCATGCACTTGCAGCAATTCAGATCACTCTGTCAATCAATCGTATCAGTGCACGTCATTATGCAAGGACATATAGCAGCAAATCATGGTACAGATTGTTTTACTGATGCTGATTGTATCATCCGCAGTGTAAGATACCTTTGAAAACAAGCAATTGAAGGATGATGGATCGTACTGATTGAACGCCAAATCAATTTGATAAACCCTACTTCATAGCAGGATACACACCTTGCATGGACAGGACATCCGCAGGATTGACAGGACGAACGAGGAGCCTCACTAGGACCTCTCCAGCCTGGGGAGAGGGCTTTTCTTTTCTCCCAACCTCAATCTCATCAAGAAATGCCTGACCGTCCTGCTTCCGAATGTAGATAGCCGATGGCGCCTGATAGCTCATGTTTGCAATTGATCTGGTAAATAAAAGGTGGTGCTCAGTGCGGTTGCAGATAAGCCGGAATGAGATGGTGATAATCTTCGTTTGGCAGAAGACGCCCCTGCTTTTACCTTGAACTTGAAGCTGAGCGCGCCACATGCAATTCAATATAACAGAACTTTGCACTATCGTCAAATCGTCAGCTCGCTCGCTACCCTTTACTAGGCTTTAGTTTTAAGCCAAGTCTTTCCCTTTTGTTTTCGACCTAGTTCGTGACATCACCCTCGTCAGCAAGCACGTTCTCGAAGCTCTGCCACGAATCATCGACGGTCCGATTTGCCCCGGTTGCGTACCTCGTTGTCACGTTGTAACGTACCCCCGCTCAAACCTTACCAAGTTGCCCCCCGGGGGGATGCCCCGGCTCCGAGCGAGCGCGCGCTCCGGTCATGCATGACTAGGTATCTGGTGGCCCGGGCGGCCGGGCCAGCCTGCCTAGCTCCCAAAATAACTGTACCAATACCGGTACTACGGTAGGTAGGTAGCTGGGGACCGCTACCGGGGACCGCTACCGGGGTCCGGCAATCGGGATGCCGGTACCTCGCATCTCTACCCGGTAGGTCATATGAAGTCTCGGCTGAAAGTTAGCAACGGTGCTGCAACCACCACAAATCCTACCTGCCCTGACCTGCCCACCACATGTTGGAACTTTTGATTCAAGAAACCGACCCTGGGTGCGCCGCAAACGCAGCCTTGGCGGGAGCATGCGATTGGGTTGTGGCCCGTGGGGCGACCCGACGCCAATTCGTTTTTCGATCGCAATTCTACGATAAAGGTTGCCGTTTTAATTGCCGTTTTTTGGATGGACGGATCCAACGTGGCCGCGGAGTACTGTGTACAAGGAGTTTGACAACGGGAAAGGTTAGCGAGACCCGTTACCGTGCCGGCAATACCACCGTTTCTCAGTTGGGCGGGGGCGTGACGACATCACTGTCAGGACTTTGCGAAGACAAATTGTCATCGCTGCAAATTTTCATTTGAACAACGTTCATGCGCAATGCAGCACCGGCCTGGATAGGTACTCAATCCGGGTGCACTTCTTGTTTGGAACTCCGAAAGGCAAAGCCGCTTTGAAAGAGTTTGAAAGCGCATCTGAGAAGTGCTTTTGTTGGCAGGGCCGGCAGGGCGGGGTAACACATTTGCAGGAACTCATTGTGGGTTTGGCCGTGAGGGCACGCTTGGCTTAACTGACGTCATCATGAGCCCTTTGGGTGCTGCAGCCGAGAATGACTTCACACCGGCAGCGCAGACGGCGGATGCAGAGGCAGCTGTCGAGCTGACTGCTGCAAGCAACATGGAGAACGGGAAACATGGTACATTCGGCGCGAACGGGGCCAAAGCTGCAGCAAATGTGGAGCTGGATGCAGGAAAGGAGGAGAAAGGGAAGGTGGGTATTGATTGGGGATCGTGAGGCCAGCGTAGACATGGAATGTGACAGGCTTTTCTTGAAAATCTCTCTGTTTCATCCTGAGGTTTGGACCTGATCTGGATGGTGAATATGTGACTGAAGTACGCTGCATCTTGCAGCTAGTGATGGAATCAGGACTTGGAAGATTATCCAGGCTGATTGTCACACTGTCCCTCGGGGGCTGTTTCGTGGTGTCTGACTCAGACTGCTCAGGCCTAGTGTGGGGGCAATGTTCTGAAAATGGTTCATTCTTAACCCCAATGAGTGGATGTTCCAGAGTTACCCGATTTCCATATAGGCTGACTGCAGTTGACACTATCATCCAAGATGGGTTGGCACGAAGCACTGAGGATAGCTGCATTGATTCAGCAGTTTGTGAAATCAGTGTCTGATACTTGATTAGATTCCTACACTTAAAAGACTATGAAGCAGCTGCACAGGTCGAAAGGAGCAATGAGAAGCCCCCTCGTAAGCTGTGTCGTCATAAAGGTACAAAAGTTTGCTGCAGAACCCACACTAGGCTAAAGGGCCCTTGTGAAAGTGATCATAGCAGGTGAACGTTTGCAATGGAAGCAAAGTGGGGGGCGTTCACTGGTACTCCTTTTCTTTGTTTCATTTGGTTCTCTTTGATAGTTCTCACAAGAATGGGTACTAAGTGAGTTGTTGCTCCCTTCATCCTTCTGCATCTGTCTTCTTTTCTTGTCATGCTCACTGCATTTCTTTGCCCTTCCCCCAAGGGCAGTTCGATGTGCTTTGCGTTGCAAGATGCTGAGAAGTTGAGACTTGTGAACATCGACTTTGAGGTCCTGCGTCAAGGGTTATGATACAAACACAGACAACATCTTCAAAGATTCCCGATGTGCGGGGAACAACTTGAACCAGACCAAGCAGGCGGAGAGGCACTTGGCCGAACCAATTCCAGCTAAAAAAAGGGTAACTCAAGGATGCACCACAAAGCAGAGATAACATCTGCAAATGTTTGCATTGTATGCAGGACAAATCAGACCAGGCCAAGAACACGGAGAAGCAGTGGGTTGGTCATAATCCAGCTGAGGAAAGGGTATTTTAAGGTCTCAGTCAAAGATGATATCACAAAGATGACATCAGCAAATGTTTTCAATAAATGCAGGACAAACCGGAGAAGGCCAAGAAGGCGGAAAAGCAGCCGTCCGTGCCCTACTACCAGCTGTTCAAGTACGCGGACAAACTGGACGTCCTGCTCGTGATCGGTGGCACCATTGCGGCAATTGTGGAGGGGGCTGCGCTGCCTGTCTTCTTTGTGAGTTTCAAGCTCTTCACTTGCGGTGATCTCTCTGGTCTTGTAAAGCCAGATGGTGCTCCCTGACTTCTTTGTGACTTTCCAAGCCCTTGACTTGATCTTTATCTTGAGAAGGACTTGCATCTTCTCCGACTTGTTGGCATAGTTGGTGCGAATACCAGTTAGCGGGAACCGTCGTGCTCTGATTGCGGAAGACAGTGGCTCTTCCTGCACTAAGGAACCAGCTTCAGATACGTCGTTCACAGATTGAAACTTGTCTCTTTGGCAGGTGTTCTTCGGAGAGCTGATCAACTCCCTCGGGACTTACTTTGACCAACCCCTCATTCTAGCTGATAAAGTCAACAAGGTAAGAAGACTCAGCCGTTATCCTTCTCCATGGTTTCAATATATAGAGTGCCCCACGTAGGTTTTTCTTCCGGAACAGGGTCGTTGGCGTGCAACCGCCTGTTGCCAAACCTTATACCAGCACATTTTTTTCTTTGAGGCGTCAAAGGTTCGATATGTCGGCTCTTCTCCAGCTTTTTCCAACGTCTCACTTGGAATGCAAAGTTGAGGAATTCTTGTGTGTTGACACGTGTCACGCCCTGATTCGCAGTCCTCTTGCCTCTCTGGCTTATCCCGAAGGCAGATCCGAGTTACGAGATCCCTCAATTCGTTGATGCGTTTCGTGCCCTGATTTTTAGTACTCTCTCTACTTACGTCTATGTGGGCCTGTTCTCCCTATCTATTTTTTGGTAAAATGTCGCCACGTGTCAAGCCCTCATTCGCAGTACTCCCTCTACTTCGTCTACATGGGCCTGGTCGTCTTCGTATCGTCCTGCCTCGAGACCTTACTCTGCGGGCAGATCATCGAACTCCCACTGGAATGACACGTGTCACTTTTTTACTCTCTACTTCGTCTACGTGGGCCGGGTCGTCCTCGTCTCTCTTATTGCGACGTCGCCCTCTAGATGTGGACCGGCGAGCGCCAATTCTTCATTAACACGTGTCACGCCCACATTCGCAGTACTCTCTCTACTTCGTCTACGTGGGCCTGGTCGTCCTCGTCTCCTCCTACCTCGACGTCTCCCTCTGGATGTGGACCGGAGAGCGCCAGTCGTCGCGCATCCGCTCCAAGTATCTGCGCGCGATTCTCCGACAAGACGTCGGCTACTTTGACTTGGGAACGAGCTCCGGCGAAGTCGTCAGCCGCGTGAATGACGACACGCTGCTGGTGCAGGATGCCGTTGGGGAGAAGGTGCGCGAGTGGTTGTCTTCCGTTTTTGCCTTCTCCGTTTACTTCTTCAAAGTTCCTTCCTTATCTTCTGTACGACGATTGCTGCAGGTGCAAGATGGTGTTGGGGAGAAGGTGCGCGATACTCTCGTCTGATCCTTCGTATCCCTTCTTCCCTGATCATTTCTGCAAACGGAGGAGGGCGCGGCACCTTAAAGTGCTCTCTTTCTTCAGCCCCTTGGAAAGCGCATCGAAGTCACATGAGTCAACACTGAGGTTTTTGTGCCCCAAGAACAGGAAGATATTCGTCGCCGGTTGCAGGCTGAGTCAGACACGTTTTCCCTTGAGATTCGATTTTCCTTCAATCCTTAACTAATACAAAATATATTGTGAATCAGCTGAGAGTCTGGATGGATTGAATTCGTGATTCAATCCAGAGGTCTGACACAAACTTTCCTCTTGCAACTAGGTTGGCTTTTTTTTCGGAAGAAAAGACGTTAACTCGAAACTTCCTCCTGCAACTAGGTTGGCAATTATATCAAGAACATGGCGACTTTCGTGGCCGGCTTCATTGTGGGCTTCACCCAAGTGTGGCAGCTGACGCTCGTGCTGTTTGCGGTGATCCCCCTCCTCGCAACCCCTGGCATGCTCTACGCGCGCACCCTCAAGGGGCTCTCGTCCCAGGGCGCCGAAGCCTACTCGGATGCTGGTGAGTTGTCTCGTTTAAGAGGTCTTAAAACTCCAAGGTTTTCTGGCTTTAGGTCTTGAGTTTTAAGGTCTTCAAGTTTCTGCTGTTTGTGGTGATCCCTCTCCTCGCAATACCGGGCATGCTTTATGCGCGCACGCCCAAGGGGCTCTCGTCTCAGGGCGCCGAAGCGTATGCGGATGCTGGTGACTTTTCTCGTTCAAAGGCCGAAGAATGCTTTGGTCTTTGGCTTCAACATTTCGAGTTTTAGGTGTTCATCTTTCTTGCTGTTGCAATGATCCCCCTCCTCGCAACCCTTGGCATACCTTATGCGCGCACGCTCAAGGGGCTCTCGTCTCAGGTCGCCGAAGCGTACCCGGATGCTGGTGAGTGGTCCTGTTTGAGAGTTTTGAAATGCTAGGAACTTCTGGCTTTCGGGTTTCGAGCTTGTCCATGTTTCTTGCTGTTTGCAGTGATCTTTCTCCTAGCAACACCGGGCATTCTCTACGCGCGCACGCTCGGATTTGCTGGACGCTGTCCGCACCGTCAACTCCTTCGCTGCTGAGGAGAAGACGCAAAAACCGTACGATTGGCGCTGCAAAAGACATGCAAGTTTGTCGTTTTCAAATTCCCTCCCCGCAGTCAAGCTTGCCGCATATTTGTTCGCTTACGGCAGGTATCAGACTTCACCTTAACGCCATACAATCCTTGATTCTTCAGACCTAAAGACCTCTTTCCACTTCTTCCGCACGGTTTCCAGGTCGCATCGTGGAGGAATCGCTGAGCGCCGTTCGCATCGTTTGCTCCTTCGCAGCGGAGGACAAGACGCAGAAAGCGTACTAGGAGGCGCTGCAGAGGACGTTAAAAGCTTTCACTTTCAGATACCGCAGCCAGCTCCGCGGCAGGGAGATCCTCTCACTGCATGGACCAAGCCAATTTTACACGCTAAAATTCTGGATCCTGAAACCCACACACCCCATTCTCCCTCCTCTTCTCTAGGTCGCATCGTGGAAGAATCGCTGAGCGCCGTCCGCACCGTCTACTCGTTCGCGGCGGAAGAGAAGACGCAGAAAGCGTACGAGGAGGCACTGCAAAAGACCTACAAGCTGGGGCTCAAGGCGTCGCTCGCCAAGGGCCTGGCGCTCGGGGCGCAGGCCGTCCTCTTCTTCGCGTGGGCGCTCATGTTCTGGTGAGGACGAGTCGTTTCCCCGAAGTGTTGTGAATTTACCATCTTCATCAATGCATACGCAGCGGGTTTTTGACTTGTTCTATTTCGCCAAGGGGCGATCGCTTGGGGCGCTGAGCGCTCATGTTCTGGAGCGGTGCATTTTCGCAGAATCCCAGGTGATGGATGATCGGTGCATCCACAGAAGCAAAATGGCTTGAGGCTGATCTTGCTATTGGGAGCCGTTTACTGGCGCTTGGGGCGCACGGGCATCCGCTTTCGTTTGAGCGCTTACGTTCTAGTCAAGCGAGCTGTGTCTCTGAGATCTTTCGACATTCGATGTTCATCGACATCAGTTGCGAACGAGTCTTGCATTGTATCTTCTTCTTGGGTGCTCGTGTTTTGATAAGGACGAGCCAGATTGGGGCCGTTCATCAAATCCTACTCAGTCATCATTATAGCAATACCTTGTGCGATGTTTGTCAAATGTTGATTTTTGGGAAGAACGAGCTTGCTTCTGGTATGTGAAGGCGAACTTCTTTTCGAAGGAAGTCTTCACGTTTCGTACGGTGATATTCTCGTCGAGGCCTGCTCGTGAGACTGGGTCTCTACCATGGGTTCGACGTCTGGGCTCAACTTCCTCTTCGGCAGTGCCTTCCGTTCAAAGCTTGTTCTCTGTGTGAGCTGAGCACCGTCGGCGCTCTTTTCTGGGCGCCTAAGTCTGCTGTCCACGCCGCCGGCAGAGCTGACAATTACTGAGAGCAAGCTTTGGAGAAGTAAAAGCTTACTTTGGGACGGGTATGATTAGTCCAGGGGTTTGCGGCGGGTATGGTGCGGCGGGTGCACTAATGGGTTTCAATCTTTAGTGTAAACTTCCTAGCTTGCTACTCCTATAGCTCATCACACACTTTGTGACGTCCTTTATGCAGGTACGGTTCCGTCCTTGTCAGCAACGGCGAGGCCAACGGCGGGGAGATCCTCTCGACCGCATTTGCCGTCATCATTGGTGGGCTGTAAGTAGCAGACGGCCGCAAACCTCTGATAAAAGCTTGCTTTTTCAAATATTAAAAGAAAGCTGCTTGCGCGACTGCTGAGTTAAGGTCTTGTACAGAACCATGAGCGGGCTCCCTGAAAAGCCAGCCTCCAACGGCTCGTTTGCTTTTGATAAGCTGAGGTTCTCCGGGGCAAAGTAACGGAGGGACCTTAGACAGGATTGAAGCATCTTCGCCCGTTCTGAAATTGTCATTGTGGACTTGATCAATTTACTGATCTGCGTTGTGGTCTATGCACGTGTATCATCTTAGTGTCACGTCGTGTAGTCTGCGGCTCGATTTTCTAACCTGCAATGAAAGGTGTGCATTTTCTTCTCGCAGATCTCTTACCCCTTAAAGCGAATCCGAATCATCGACCCTCTACCTTGTCGTCAACCCCTAGATCCTGAATTCCAGACTCTTAATGTTTGTCTGAATCTTCCACTTCCTCACATGCATTTCATGATCCCTAATTGTGCTTGCAAACGGACCGCGCCTCGTCTTCCTTTCAGGTCCCTTGGCCAAGCGGTTCCTAACCTGAAGAACTTCGCGGAGGGTTGCACCGCTGCGCACAAAATCTTCCAGATGATCGACCGGATTCCGGCCATCGACTCGGAGGACCTCAGCGGAAAGAAGCTAGACTCTGTCGAAGGCAACATCGAGCTCAGAAACGTTTCCTTCGTCTACCCAGGTAGGTGCCTTCTGTTGCATCATTCTAGATGGAAAGAGCTCGTATGCATGAAACTACCACATACAAATTAGATTGTAGAAGCAGATCACAACCGAAGGGAATCTGCGAGAATAAAGTGGCAAGTCACTCTTGGGGTCTGGCAAAACGTAAGGTAGTCTTTCGTAGTAATCGCTGACTGATACAGGACCGACTTCTTCCTACCCCACTGTGGAGATCTTCCAATCCGGTCGAAATGGTTTCAGAGTGAGCAAAGAGAGCTTTGGTGTCTCACAATTGTGCAACAACCCTTTGCATATATGCGGACCCCTCACGCGTACTTCATCTCGATCTGGGCCGTTTTCAAACTTCGAACGGGCATTTGAACGGCCCAAGATCTGTAACAGGTAGAAACTCACACTGGTGTCAAGAGGCCAGCTTTGAAAACAGTCACAGCGCGGTTTGACCTGATTCACCATATCGAGAACCGTTTCTTTTCTTTCCTGCAGCCCGCCCCGACGTGCCCATCTTCCAGCGCTTCAGCCTGGCCATCCCCGCTGGGCGCCACGTGGCGCTCGTGGGCTCCTCCGGATCCGGGAAATCGACGGTCATCCAGCTGTTGGAGCGCTTCTACGATCCGACTGGGGGCGGCATCTTCCTGGACGGGCACAACATCAAGTCGCTCCAGCTCAAGTGGCTACGTCAGCAGTATGGGTGAGGTTATAGGCGTCGATCCGGGTGACGTCAGCAGAATGGCGCGAAAAGCTTCGCATTGGGGGCTGTGTGCTGTTGGTGTTATAGTATGTTGAACGATTTCATCAACGGCCACAATCTTCAGTTGCGTGGAGTGGCTATGTCGGCAGTAGAGGTCTAGGCGCTGATCTGTGACGTCCAGCGCAGAGGGCGTGGCAGGTTGCTTTGAAGGAGACGGACGGGATAATCCCAATGTTCGTTCAAATACCATGGACACACGTGCCACGGCTTTTTTTTTTCAAGTTCCATCAAGTTGATTCCCCCCTGACGTCAGGGGGTTCGCTTGTTCACTGAGCATCTGCAGGCTGGCTGGCCTTGTTTGCAACGACGTTGAAGAGAGCATCTTTCAGGGCACGGAGAATGCTTCCTGACGTCAGCGGCGTTTGATTCCTGCTGAAGTTATTACTCTCTGCTGCCGCCTCCCAGTATTACGGGCCAGGAGCAGGCCCTGTTTGCAACAAGCATCAAGGAGTAACAGTCTGTCCGTCAACAGAACCCCTTTTGGATGTGACGTCAGCATGGTCACCTTTTGCACTCCTGCTGACGCCAGCGCGTCATTCTCCGTCACAGCAGGCTGGTAATCCAGGAGTACATTCTGTCCGTCAACAGAGCCACCTTTGGATGTGACGTCAGCGTGCAGTGCCTTTGCTGACGTCAGCAGATCCTTCCCTACATCTTTGCAGGCTCGTGAGCCAGGAGCCCGCCCTGTTTGCGACGAGCATCAAAGAGAATATCCTGTACGGCAAGGAGAACGCCACGCAAGAGGAAGTTGAGAACGCTGCCAGGGCGGCTAACGCCCACAGCTTCATCTCAAGTCTGCCTCAGGGTTACGATACGCAGGTGGGTCTAACGTGCATTTCATATTGTCTGCAGTTTTGCTCATGAAGTCCACGACTCACAGCGGACAACGAAGTGGAGAAAGGTGCACGAAATAGACGCTTCAAGGACCGAAAAATGGGGGAAAGGTGTAACAACTATGCTATCTGTTTGTTAACTTATACAAGGTTGATTGGAACGAATAGCGAGGGACTTTTTGAGGCGAATTCTTATGAACACCAATCACAGCTTTTTGGCGTTCTATCTTGAGCGCAGGTTACGTGGTGAGCGCCGGCTCATAGTCCAAACCGGAATGATGCACAAGACATGACTGTACTGGCCTTGAATTTCAGCAGAAACTCTTGTCTGTCATGCCGAAAAGTTCAGAAAGATATCGAGCACCGATGGAAGCTCACAAGGGGTTTTTAAGGATCACGCTCGGGCCTGCCCAAGTCGCTAAATTTTTAGAGTCAATTATAAGGCGTCAAGGATGCAGATATGCGTTTACCTATACGGTGTCCAGGACTCCTGAACGCTTGTCCGCGGGTGGGCGACCATGGCGTCCAGCTGTCCGGCCGGCACAAGCAGTGCTTGGTTCTGAGTTAAGCCTGTCTCCAAACCTAACGCTAAACCTAAACCTAACATCCTCGGACGCTTTGTGCGCAGGTGGGCAACTGCGACGTACAACTGTCCGGCGGGCGTTGCTTCGGCAGAAGCAACGCGTGGTCTAGAACCCAATTGTAGGTCAAAACCCGAAATAATTTATCCCTAAAGTTTTCGCCGTTCGGACGCAGGTGGGCGACCGGGGCGTTCAGTTGTCCGGCGGGGTGATTTTAAATCTAAATCTGATTATAAACCCGACATGGTTTAACGCTACAGTTCTCGGACGCAGGTGGGCGACCGGGGTGTCCAGCTGTCCGGCGGGCAAAAGCAACGCGTGGCGATCGCACGAGCCATCCTAAAGCAGCCCAAGATCCTTTTGCTAGGTAGGAGCGTCTTGCGCAGTGGTTTGACTATCAGACGTATCCTGCTATGGATGAGCAATTTGTGCACAAACATAAGCCCTCTTCCGAAGCCTTGGAATGTTATATTGCGAGGCTCAAAAGAGAGCTAGCACTTGACGAGTAAAGTCGCTCAGAAGTCAAGGAGAGGCTCCGCCCAGAAAGAGTGTGAGGGGCGCAAAATCGATCTAGAGCCAAACCCGTCGCGATGGATGTTACACGTTCTCAAAGCTCGACTCGTTCCAAAGCAAAGGGCCGACCCTGGAAAAGCACACCGATGGACAACGTACTTCTTGCAGACGAAGCTATTTGGACTAGAAAAGAGCGAGCGCTCTAAATTTGGGGAGGGAGCACGTGGCCCAGGCAACGCTGGAAGGCCTCTGGCAGCACCACAATTGCATTATGCGCGCCGATTTTGACCATTATGATCAGGAATACTCTGGAACAATTTGAAGGTGAAAACTTAAAACCGCCAATCTGCAGACGAGGCAACAAGCGCGCTCGACTTTGAGAGCGAGCACGTGGTTCAGGAAACTCTCACCGGCTGATGGTCGGCCGCACTGCATTCGCACACGCCTTTCACTTACAACTCCCAAGAACAAAGAGAAAAAAGAGGAAAGAAAAAATAGGAAAAGAAAAAAACAAGATTGAAGTATATCGAATCTGAATCGAAACCCTAACCCTAACCCTCAAATCTCTCAAATTGCAGATGAGGCGACTAGCGCGCTCGACTCGGAGAGCGAGCACGTGGTCCAGGAGGCGCTGGACCGGCTGATGGTCGGCCGCACTGCGTGTTTTTGTCGCTGGCAACTTTGAACGCAGATCCTTGGATCTATTCTACCTAGAATGAACTTAAAAACCCCACACTGCTTTTTTGCAGACGAAGCAACGAGCGCGCTCGACTCGGAGAGCGAGCATGTGGTTCAGGAGGCGTTGGACCGGTTGATGGTCGGCCGCACGACGGTGGTCATTGCGCACCGCCTGTCCACGATCCGCGACGCTGACGTCATCGCGGTGGTGCAGAAGGGCGAGATCGTGGAGCAGGGCGCGCACAATGACCTCATCGTGCGCGGGGGCGCGTATGCGTCGCTCGTGAAGCTGCAGGTCAGTCCCTTGTCCTTTCACTTCTCTTTTCGCAATTACGGCTGAGGATAAACTGATGTGTCTTTGTTGTGCAACCCAAGCAGAAACAAGCACTCCAGGAGGGCCGGTTGTGCAGTTCTTTTCAAGTGTGCTCATATCGTCTCCGACATTAAACCATCTTTCTGCTTTGTGGATAATCAGCAGGACAGTAGCTTTCTGGAGGCTGGAACAGCATAAGGGAAAGGTCCCTTGGCAAGGCCGTGATTGCTTTTGTTGCTTTTAGCCCACTCCCTAAGGGAGTCGCGATATAGACGCTCCTGCGCTCACGACATTAGCAGGCGCCCGCCAATTTGACCTGCGACCGATTACTGAACCCGATGTCTACCTTTCAAGAGATCCCGCTTCTTCTTTCCCAGTCTCTACCTTGCAGGGGATTCTCATTTTCTGGTCCCTGTTCCTGGGGGACCTCACTCATTCTTTCCCGATTTCTTTCTCGCAGGAAATTCGAGAGGACTACGTCGAAGAAGAGCCACTCGACGGCCCCCCCGGTCTCGATTCCCCCATCAAGAGCTTCAAGAAACAGGGCTCCGGGCTTTCCGCCCAACGTTCCGGTCTCGGTCAGCAGCGGAGCGGACTCGGCCAGCAGCGTAGCGGGCTGAGCATGCAGCGGAGCGGACTGGGCATGCAGAAGAGCGGTTTGGGCGACGAGGAAGCCGGGGACACGGACCAGAAAATCGCCGGAAAAGCGCCCCGGCCTTCTTTCTGGCGGCTGCTGGCGCTCAATAAGCCGGAGTGGCCGTATATGCTATTGGGCACAATTGGGGCGGTTGCGGCGGGGCTGGTGAACCCGTTTTGGGCGTTGATCGTGTCCACGGTGAGACGACACGTGGCGGGCGCTGGTTGGCTCTTTCGGTGATTGCATCCCTGTTGAAATAGTGTGGGAGAGGGTGTTGGAATTCTGTGGGCGAGGTTGTTCGTCCGTGAAAATGCAGAAGGGCTTTTGAAGTAGGACTGCAGCCGGAGGAATGCTTATACCAGCACTCTATCCAAAGTCGACGGTCCTTGTCACGATCTTTGGTAGCTTCAAAATGTCAGCGTCAAAAGGTCTCTGGCGCCGATATCCACAGCCTTGGACTGGTGATTCGTTGGGAACAGATCATAAACACAAACTACAGTCAAGCCTTAGGGACCACAGAGCACTGTACCTAGAAAGGCACAAAACGCCGCGCTTGCTTGCGGAGATTGCAACTTGTTCGAGTCAAGCCCTCAGGCAAACGTTCAGCATTTTGACCCTTCACAGGTTGGAAAAACGAGACCTTAGCTCTTTTTGGGACTTCTGCGCAGGTGACGTCAGTATATTACAACACGGACATTGAAGAGATGAAGGATGACGTCAAGAGGTACTGCTACATCTTCATCGGCCTCGGCGGTGGGGCGATGGTGGCCTATCTGACCGAACACTTTTGCTACGGGTGAGCTCCGCTGATCCGCTCCGTTGTTCCGTTCTTCCGTTCTTCCAAGCGGAAGAAAGAGTGAACGAAAGTGCTGCTCCCGCCTCTCTTTACTTGGTTGTTTGGTTTCCTTGGGGCAGTCGTCCGTGGTCGAAGATCACAGACTTCACGGAATTTTAAATGTCGTGCCTGCTAGTTCTTAGCTGTCTGTTTCACCTGAGAATCCACAAACTTTCAGCTTCACTTTCGTCGTACTAGGACAGTTGCTGGAGTGTTACTTCTGCGTTGACCTTTACTTGATCATTGTGATTGCATTTGTTGCGGATCCGAGAAATGATCCGTAGACGTCTCCTCTTCTCCCAGTGTCGAAGTTAGAGGACGAGAGAGCGGCATGTGGCTTGCACTCATAAGCGCCTGCTCTTCGATGTGACGCCCGGAATTAATTGCTTGACGTCGGCGTGACGAATGCAGGGCGGTCGGCGAGGCGCTGACGAAGCGCGTGCGCGCCCTGATGCTCAAGACGCTGCTGCGCCAGGAGGTTGCCTTCTTTGACCGCGACGAGAACTCGCCAGGTGAAAAAATGTTCCTGGATAGAAATGTCCCTGGACCCGCGCTCAGTGCAATTTTCCAATGCGGATAGAAAATAATGGAGAAACGAGCAGCACCTCCGATCGCACGTCGTCCTGTAATGCCGCATTAAGACTGTCGCATGACCGCATCGTCTCTTACATACATCAAAGGCGGCCCTGTTCTGTTCCTCACGAAAGTCTTCAAATCCCTCGAAGCCGAGTCCTAAATCCTGATTTTGCAACCCTGGACGTCTGTTGACGGTAACCCCAATCCTGCTGACGTAGACTTCAATCCTTACGCAGGTGCTCTGGCGGCCCGCGTTGGGACGGACGCAACGTACGTCCGCGCGGTCGTCGGCGATCGGATGTATCTCATCGTCCAAGCGTTGACGGGGATCCTGGCGAGCATCATCATCGGGCTCGTGCTCGAGTGGAAGCTCGCTCTAGTTATGCTCGCGACGTTCCCGCTGCTGACGGCTGGGGCTGTCATGGAAAACGTCGTGCTGCGCGGGTTCTCGGACCAGAACGCAAAGGCCCAAGAGGGCGCCTCGCAGGTGCGTTCGTCAAAGAATGTTTGTTCTTGTTCCACGTGATGTGAATCGGTGTATCCGCTTAGTTTCGGATCATGGTTCACTTGGTGCTCCGAGATTTCTCGGATCAGAACGCGAATGCCCAAGAGGGCGCCTCGCAAGTGCGTTCTTCATAAGCATCCTGGCCATAGTTTTCACTGTTCTGGATCAGTTGTGTTAAGTTACGTTTTGTTATGGTTCGCTTCGGTTGGTGCTCGGGGATTTCGCGGAACAGATCGCGAATGCCTAGGAAAGCGCCTCGATGTGTTCGGTTCGAGGACTTTGGTGATCCCCAAATTCCCCCCCCTTTCTCATTCCGTTTATCTCTGGCGGCGGTCAAACCTTTGAGAAGCGAAACTTGGTTCTCCAGAATGAGTGCGACGTCTTCCATTCACGATGAATGTAGCTCATGTCTCCGTAGCTTGTTTCCGAGGACTGGAGCCCGTGAGTTTCTCCGGCCTGAATCGACGGAATCTTCTACCTCTTTTTCAGCTTTGTGCTCCCGTTGTCCCCTTTGGTTTATGAAGCTTTGGTGCACTTTTGATTCTATCTGGTAAGCCCTTCAGCAGACATACGTGCAGGTTCAAGGATTCGAATACCGCCCGTAATGGTTCAGCCTGAGGATCCGACACACTGACTCGACATACATGAACCAGGAGGAAGAGACGTCCAGCCTACAATTGAAAATTACCTTACTTCCACTTTGGAAGCATCAATCGAAAGTAAAAGCCGTCCGGATTTGCCCGGTGCAGGTTGCGGCGGGTGCCGTGGGCAACATTCGGACGGTGTCCGCATTTTCCGCCGAGGACAAGGTGCTGGCTTTGTTCAACGAGAAACTAGAGGTACCGCGGAAGCTGTCCTTCCGGCGCGGCCAGACCAGCGGGCTCGGCCTCGGACTCTCCTCATTCTTCCTCTACGCGTGAGTGTCAACCTTTTTATTTTTTCCTCTAGACGTGAGTGTCAACTCTCTCAATGATTCCTCTACGCGTGAGTGTCAACTTTTTCAAGTCTTCTTCTACACGTGAGTGTCAGTTCTCTCGTTTCTTCTCCTACGCCCGAGTGTCATTTCTCTCTATTTTTCCTCTATACGTTAACGTAACTTCTCGGCCCCTTGAAAGAGGGCGTCAGACTTCAAGGAACACTCGTGCATCTGAGTCCTAAGGGATGAATTCATCTGACGGCTCAGATTGCATCTTGAAAATGGCCTTCGGCGACCAAGCGGGCCTTGATGCGGGGCACTCTGGTCGCTGAGGTAGGACCGGTCCTCCGACGCCCTCTTTAAAGGCGGCGACAACAAGTTGTTTTCGACGGGGTGTTCGATACCTCCACAGAAGGCCCGGGAGTACAGCGTATTGTCGAATCCCGTGAATTCGCAGAATGGCGCTGCCACATGTTGAACCTGTATTTTAGGGGCCCGAGCTTGCAAGAACTCTGACTCCGGGTCGAGTTGAGTATCGAATCGCGTGAAATACAACTCGCCTGGCTTGATTCTTCGCTTTGCGCGTCAATCCAACAGGAATTTGACGACACCCTCGATACACAAAATCCTCTACAGGTCATTCTAGGTATTCTACGACTGAAACTGACAAGCATTTAGTGTCGTAATCTTAACATTTGCAATCCAGGTCGTGGGCGCTGGCCCTTTGGTACGGAACCGAGCTCGTGAAGAACGACGGAGCCAAGTTCTCCGACGTGCTCAAAGTCTTCCTCGTCATCGTAAGCGTCGGCTTTGGGGTCGCCGAGGCGGCCAGCCTCGCGCCCGACGTGGCGAAGGGAGGCACGGCGACAGAGTCCGTGTTTGAGGTAAGGGTTTTTTCTTTTGTTTCCCCTTTTTTGGGGGGGGGGAAATGACAGCTTTGGTCCAGCTTCAATCAACCTGTTTGGCTGCTGTGAAAGGTCGAAGCGTATACTTTTGAGCTTGGTTCCAAGCCTCTCGCGCCCGACGTCGCAAAGGGAGGCACGGCGACCGAGTCCGTCTTCGAGGTAAGGGTTCGAGGAACGACAGCTTCCTATCAGCATTTAGTTCACTTGATTTGCTGCTGTGAAAGGGGGACACATATACTATTGGGCTTGGTTTCAAGGCTATCGCACGCGACGTGGCAAAGGGAGGCACGGCGACTGAGCCCGTGTTTTTGAGGTAAGGCTTTGAAAGCATCGATCGTTTGATCGGCTGTGGAAGATTCTACTAAGCGCTCGGTCTTAAGCATCACGTCGGAAAGAAGGCACGGCAACTGGGTCCTTGTACAATATCAGGTTTCCAAAGATCATTGAGTTGAAAGTGGGTTTATCTGATTTCTACGAAAAGAGACTTCGCTTTTGAAGTTGCACGAGAGTTCGCAGAGGGAGGCGGCCGCGACCTAAGTCCGTGTTTGAGAAAGAGGAATCTTAAACCACTTTCTTGAAAATAGGTCACCTGATCGCCTCAAGAACAGAATTTTGCTTTAGAATCGCTTCCAACCTTTTGCTGGTCTCGTTTCCCGGCGACCTTTTCTGGTATGGTGGGGTGCTGCAGGTTCGCCCATCATAGCCGCTTGCGCGCCCAATCCCTCCAAAGAGATGGAGCGGTTGCAGTAGAGAAATCGTAATCTTGCATGTAAATTCGACGAGACCTCGTTGCAACTTGTTTTCACCATTCCCCCGAAGGGTCCGAGCGAATGCATGTAGGTGGATCCCCTCAGCTTACAATGTAAAGGACTGCGAATGACCAATTGGGTTTCGCCAATCAGATGACGCCACGTGGCACCGTCGCAGGTTGTGGACCGGCGGACGGAGATCGATGCGGATGCGAACGCTAACAACAAACTGGAGAAGCTGGAGGGCGCGATCGAGTTGCGTGACGTCACGTTCAGGTCAGCATTCTGGTAGCTTGTCATGAGCCCAAACCATTCACCAAAGAATTCCTCACCACTCCCCAGGCGTTTTTGGCCTGGTAATTTTTCCATCTTCATAATGCGGGCTGCTCAAAAAAGCCTGCACGTCGACACATGCACCTACAAGCACTTGTCACATGTTTGTCTCTATCTGCAACACATTATGATAGCTTAATCCGATTTTAATTACCTGTGGTGAGGTCCCGCCCTTTTCCTTTGTTACTTCCCAATCTTTCCTTCGCTTTTGCTCAGCTCGACTTAGTCGGAGAACCGTATTTCTAAGAGATTCTGCTTGAAGATATCGCGACACTAGGCTGTCAAGCTGGGAGACTGAATCCTTGCAGCCCTAATCTTCTCCGTTCAACATTTATAATGCACTTGAGTGACGCGGCCAGAGGCACCACAAGAAAAGGCACTCATACCTTGATAACCGACGTCAACGAATCCACTGAAACAGTTCTCACACTCTCTCTGCTGAAAACGCAACTATTCAAACCGCGCAGTTACCCAACGCGGCCGGACGTGGTTATCTTCAAGAACTTCAGCCTGAAGGTGAAGCCCGGCCTGACGGTGGCGCTTGTGGGGCAGAGCGGGTCCGGCAAGAGCACCATCATATCGCTCATCCAACGGTTCTACGCGCCCGCCAGCGGACGGGTCAGTCGCCGGCACACGCTAACTTTGAACCCTGTTCTTGAATAAGTGCTGCACATTAAGCAGTCAACTGAAGTGCGTACTCCGCATCGGTGGCTCTGTGGTCAAAGACAGGATCCGAGACCCAATGCTTGGTCACAACTGACCCGTTCCGTTCCGTCTTCCGTCCAGATCCTGATCGACGGAAAGGACATTACCTCCCTCCACCTGAAGACGCTGCGCTCTCAGATCGGCCTCGTCTCGCAGGTGAGGCGTTTGACTATTCTCAACTGGTTGTCCGGTTCCTGGTTCTTCTGTCTCTTGCCCATTCAATCTGTTCGTCGCGTCCTTCCCTCAGTCGCGAAAAAGAAGAGGGAACGGGTTCAGAGAAGGTTATCGTATGTTTCCCAACCGTGGCGGAGTCGCGCTGATGTACTTGTGCGCAAAATCGGGTCTGTCCAGGCAATCAGTACTGCCAGAAAAGGTTTCTTTTGCGAGGAAAGTTTCATGCGGGGCTGCTGACAGGATCAGAGCCAAGAGATTGGAGTCCTTTCTATTTGTTCACGTCGGGCCAATCCCAGTTGAGACCCTTGCTCTTGAGTACGCTTGAAAATCTGTCCTTCTATGTCCTCGCTGTTGTTCGTCATCTTCCCCAATGAAATCGACATCCAATTCGAATTCCGCATCCAAGCTGACGCCGGTTGTTTTGCCGCGTGCTGGGTCTTCCGTTCTGCTTTCCGTTCCGGTCCGTTACCGTGTTTCCGTCATTCCATGGGGCGACGCTCTTCTCCAGAACCCCGTCCAACATTCTGAACGGCAAGGCCGACGCGAGCGAGGCCGAGATCTTTGAGGCCGCGCGCGCAGCCAAGCGCACAACTTCCTCCGTTCCGTCCGTTCTGATCCGTTTCCGTTTCCGTTGTTCTCAGGAGCCCACACTCTTCTCTGGCACCATTAAGTCCAATATTTTGTACGGCAAAGCCAATGCGAGCGAGGCCGAAATCGTGGAGGCCGCGCGCGCGGCCAATGCGCACAACTTTATCAGCGCGCTCCCGGACGGGTACGACACCCACGTGGGCGAGAAGGGCGTCCAGCTGTCCGGCGGCCAGAAGCAGCGCATTGCCATTGCGCGCGCGGCCATCAAGAGCCCGCGCATTCTGCTGCTGGTAAGGACTCGAATGCGCGCGGTATGTTTCCAGCGTTCTGTAAAGTGATTGAATTTTTTTTGCTTGTGTGGTAGTGCTTTTGTCAAAAAGAGTATAGGCGGGCAGAAGCAGCGCATCACTATCGCGCGAACGGCCATCAAAAGCCCGCGCATCCTGCTGCTGGTGAGGATTCGAGAGCGCGCGGTTTAGTGTGATGGTTGTGGGGAAAGATGTTGGAGTTTTGGGATTGCGGTTCACGTGCATTTCTGATCAGAATCATTTGCGACGTCTCCCGCGCTATCGCTGGAATGGAAGAATGGGAGTTGTCGGTACTGGGGTGCAACTCTTGCCTCGAAGTGCTTTGACGTTGAACAAAGCGAAAGGCTCGGTATCTCTGACCGGCAAATGGTTCTTGTCAGGGCCTGTGCTTCGCTGAATCCCAGTTGGGGCCATTTTGTCTCCCTGCGGAAAGGAGAATCCAACCGGGCGCACCCGACCGTAAAACGCTGAACCTGTCTGCGTCACAAGTGTGTGCTGCGTTTCGGCGATCATTACTTTCAGGACGATCTCCGCCCTTGACCACCAGATTAACAATTGCGCCTTCGTAGTCCGTGTGACGCGTCGAGTCTGTGTCCGACAATGAAGCCCTGACCCACTTCGATTCGATGCTGGACGAAGCGACCTCGGCGATGGTCACGGATCCAGAGCGCGAGGTGCAGGCGGCGCCACATTCGCTGATAGGACCCTGCCACTGAGATTTAACCAACCCGTCGAATGCTTGCCTCGCAATCACGCTGTGAAACCGTTCAATTTCGATGCAGGACGAAGCGACGTCGGCGCTGGACACCGAGTCGGAGCGCGTGGTGCAGGAGGCGCTGGACCGGCTGATGGTCGGGCGCACCACTCTAGTTATCGCGCACCGCCTCTCGACCGTGCGTCACGCTGACGTCATCGCGGTGGTGCAAGAGGGCGCGATCGTGGAGCAGGGCTCGCACGACCAGCTAATCGCCAAGGGCGAGGGGGGCGCGTATTACTCGCTCGTGAACATACAGAAGAAGGGGCCCGTTTGAAAACATATATATAGCGAACTGCTTAGTAAAGTATGTAGGTAGGTGAAAGTGCCAGCGTATGCATCCAAAGAACTGCAATTGTTTTGCAGAAGCATCATTTTTCTTCAAAGTCTTAAGTGTGTACGGTCAAGATGCGAGCTTATTCAAGCCTGAAAGCGGCAGGCGATCAGTCGCTCCGCGGTCAACGCAGGTTAACAAAGATGCAAAGGCAGACTTTGCAACAGTGTTGCATAGCTTAGACCAGCTGAATTGGAGTGGCTTCCCTTAACTCTTTCCGCAAGCATCGCTGATTCTGTTTGCGCTTGTGATCGATGTTTCTGCATGCCCTTCAGGCTTGCCATAAATCGTCACATATCATCGATCCTTGAATCCAAGCCTTCTTTTTCCAGCTCCGACTGTATTATATCAGGGCTTGTGATAAGTTCGTGCTGCATACTTGCGCAAACTCATGAACGCATGCCAGCGCAATCTCAACGGTATACTCTAAACTCGGAGTCAACATGCTGCCATATCGATCAGTACTTTAGTTTATCAAGCGAGTTGCCCTTGTTAGAGTTGCGTTGTGGATCATTGAGCTTGGAAGCTAATAGATAAATGGCTGGCCGTGCCGCTGCACCAATGACCCGGTGACTAGACATTTTACATGACTGCACGTCTCTGCTCAGACTTACGCTACTCACGAACGATCCTTTTTAGCAAGAGTGAATGGCCTTGCATGATGCATGCATGCCAGCTGATTCACAGCTAGCCGACCTTAGCATATGAGCGTAATAAACGGGTTTGGTCTACACGTAGCATGGCGGCCGATTTCAGTGCAACGTTGTCTGCGGTCCATAGGACATGATCTGCGGTCACACAACATGCAAGCATTGACTTCGGCTCGACAGGAGTGAGCCCTCAATGCTCGATATAGCATATTATTTGGATCATTGACGAGTGTTTCAGGAGCAATCACGTCTAGATCCTTGTCGTAGTCTGGCATTACACCGTCGTACATATGAACTAGATGAACGTATTCCAGACGGAGCTTCAGCTACATATCACGACATCAGCCACCCGAACTCACACTTTAAAGGCTTCAAGTTCTCGTTCCAGATTCTACGCGGTAATTTCCTTGATCTGCGAGCTGCCCGCAAGCGGCAAACATCGCGCAGCATCAGGGTTTTTTGGATAACAAAGCTGTTTCACAATTGCGCTGGATACCAAATATCTGAGCGAAGTCCTACCTAAGTTTGGTTGCATGCTGGGGAAAGAACAGTGGCCGCATTTAGCACTTTCTCACCTGCCCGCTCAGCGTTATGCAGCCCGCAAGTTCCTGAATCTCCGGGCGGGCAGTTTCGATGCCATCTGCAGTACTGCTTTACCTGTTCACTCCTAACGACAAAAGCTACGTCGTCATATACGTCCTTCAATGTAAAGATGCATGACGGAAACATTCTGCTTAACGGTAGAATCCAAGGAACTATCTCTTTGGTCTCTCGGTGAGATCCTCGCATAAGAAAGATGTCCACGCACCGCACTCGGCTACAACTAGCTGCCAGGATCTGCTGCAGTGTTGATGCCGATTGGCGCGTGGGAGGCTTATCCGGACTGAATCTGATCTGAATGTGCTCGAGCCTTCCGGAGCATGGCGAATCCGTTCCCCTAGCTTCCTGCTTAAGGTCGCCTGTCTCAGCTGCCCTACAGATCGAATCCCAGGCTTGACAACCTATATCCAGCTTCACAATCTTTCTGAACATATCCAACATTGGAATCCCTTCTTTGCGACAGTCACCGGCAATTTGAAGCGACGCCAATTTGGGTGCAGCTCTTGAGATCTCTGCAATGTTGATCCACTTGGTAGGGTCGACGGAGACGTCTCTCAACAGAGGCATGATACCAGTAGATTGGACACAAAATCCTCCATACGCCCTAAAGTTCTCCAGCGAGGGACAAGTTATGGAGACGAATCCAAACGTCTGAATTATGGTCAGTTCCCGCAGTAAACAAGATCTGATCTCAAGTCTGGTGCCCCTCGTCGCATTCACATCGGTCCAGTTGAGTTTCTTCAAGGTGCGGGACTCCAAAATGCAGTCACCTCGGTTTTCAATCTTCTCAGATTGCCCGATAAGGACGTACAGGTGCTGCAGCTGAGGGAACATTGGCAGCATTTCTTGCACGGCTGCTGCTGACATACAGAGGTTGAACAAAGAGAGCTCATTCAGAGCGGAGAGAGGCTTCGTTGGAGGCTTCACCACCCTACAGGATGCTGCTCCTGGTCCTTCACACCGAATGCAGACGTGTCTCAAGCGTTTGCATGCCTGAAGAATGTCAAAGACGACTTCTGACCCGAGGAGGTCCCCTCTTCCGCTTTTATCAGTTCTGTATAGAACAGTGATTGACTCAAGGGTCTCTGCAAAGCATAGGATGGCTGGAAGAACGGTCCTCAGATCGAGCGGGCAACCGTAATACACGTTTAGCTTCAGCTCCTTCCATCTTGCTTCGAGATTGTTGGAGATGAATGTGAGAAACCTGGCCCTGCTGTCCTGTCGACGAACTTCCACTCGAAGAACCTCGCTTCTGAAATGAGAGAATGAAACAGCTTGCAAGTTGACCTCAAACGCCTCAAGTGGTCGCGGTCTGGAAAGAATGGTTCCAAGTGAATACATCCGTGTCGTTCATCCAATCCAAGAATGTCCTCGACTACCTCACGTGGTAGCAGATCAAAAGGGTTGCCTGCAGCTCTTGTATCCCTCACGTAAGGCGTCTGCCCTTCAAGGGAGCTCATCCTGCTAGAAGGGCCGGCTGCCTATTTAGAGAGCGTTCGTACCAGGAGAGGCTGCTCCGACTTGAACAAAGACGGAGATGAGACTGCTTTCAAAACGTGGCTCCAAAATCAGAGACGGCTTCCGCTTGCAGGAATGACGGACTGTATCACAGGCGGACCGCAGATCCGCGGAATGGCTGGGAATCACCGGGAACCGTCCAGAGAAGTAGTATGCTGATGTCACTGTTTCACTCCGTGTCACTCTCGAACAAGTCGTGTACCAAAACAAAATCCTTCGAGCTTGGCCCGGTTTCTCAGCTATCTTCCACAAAGAATGTCGTCGTACGACACCGATCCCACACCACATGTTTCAAACAGCTTCTTTCTCGACCCTTACGATTGCAATACCACATCCTTCTGATCAGCCTCTTGGATGGTTCTTCTCATGCCACTCCCGCAGTCACATGCTGCCCGTCAGACGAAGCCTACTCGCGGCCGCCTCGCGCGGCGCCTCGCCGCGCGCGCTCTTCGCCCCGTGCGCGCACTTTTGCCCGGGCATGACCACTGGCAATTCGGGCGTAGCGACTGCCCGGGACGCCACGCGCGTACTCTCCATCCCCCGCGCGCTTTCCACCCGGCGCATGGCCACAGGCAATCCGCGCGTCGCGGTGCCCCCGCAAGACTTCGCCCATGCTCGGCACTGGTCACCCGAAGCCTACCAGATATTTCTCGCTGTTGCGTCGTTGAAGGATCTTAAACCCGAGGTTAACATGCTCCGCAACCATAACCTCCCTGGACCTCCGACCGAACCCCACCCGCGCCGCAGGCAGTGATCGAAGTCAACAGTACAGACGTAACTCAGAGTGATGCTAGACTTCGACCAGGTGCAAACGGAAGTCAAGTATGAGTACGTCCGGAGGTGGGAACCCGGCGCACCGGGGAGGGGCGCGGTGATGAGTCAAGTTCGCGCGGGGATTCGATTAAAAAAGAGAGTGAGATGCGCATGCACCTCAGCGCGCAGTACAGTTAAAGTTAGAAAGCTGTGTACCACGCTTGCAGCACGCGCCGCGCGATTAAGCCGTATGTGAAGTCGCGCAGACCTTACATACAGCCAGTGACTACCGGGGCCGGGGACGCTGTTGGAGAGGATGACGTGGTGGGGTTTGGGCAGAAGCCTCGCCGAAGGGTTTCGCCCGTCAACGCCGCCACGTCATCCTTACCGACAGCATCCCCGGCCCCGGGGCCCAGAATCAATGACTCTCCTCCCTGCTCAGCCAGTAACTGAAGAGCGTGCATTTGTTGGGAAAGTCGACAAGACACCGCCTTAGCCGATCCAATTGGTCTGAGTGTTGAGAGGTAATCCAAAAGGGCTTTCGTTCTGCTCGAAAGCGCTAGATTGGCTCCACGGTCAAGGTAACGGACATTGCTGCAGCCAAAGCAAGCGCAAATGACACAAGTCGCACTCAGAAAGCTGAAGTGCTTGATCGAGTTTCTCGAGAACGATCTTGGTTTTTGATATTTGGAGTCCAGGCAAGCAGACGTCTTCTCCGTCTTGTGCAGACGTGTTCGCTTGGCCCCATTGCAGAAGATACTGTCCATGATTTGGGAATCGAACCAGAAAGCTCGTCATTTAGTCATGATGAGAATGGAGCCCAGGATGTGAAGCGTGTGTGCGGCGGCTCGACATCCCGGTATCCTTGGAAACACCCGTGCTCCATATAGCGCGGCGACTCGAACAAGGATAGAAAGTTGCTATGCGTGCCGACATCGGCTTGCTATCCAAGCTGGTTGTGCTGACTCTTGGAGACTCGATGCGGACGAAGCAACTCGGTTACACGAACCGGGAAAATTAAAGGAAATCGCGAGACAATCACGTGCATATGAGAATATGATCCGCAAGAAAGGTTGACAAGGGGTGGGCTAAGCAGCATCAAAAGACTGAGGTCGACCTTGGAAAGTCCGATACAAGCATTTTAAGGAATCATGCGACCATTGATTGTCGTATCGATCACATCACCACGTCACATGTATCATACAAGAATGTCGTCCATTATTGATCTTCAGAATGACCACCGTTTGCATAGCACGACCCCGATGCTCCTGCGCCACGAGGCCAAAGCCGCCGCCGCCGTATGTCTTCGACATTATGCACTGGCAGTCTAGTCTTGAAACCTCGTGGAAGCAGTATAGTGTCCTATACATCAATCATGTACTGCTCTTGTAAAGCAAAGCTGTTGCGCATATTTTAAGGGCACTATCGGCAATCAGCCCTCTATCCTTTCAACTAAGGCTAGTTCTGCATATCATATCTGCACCTTGAGATAGGAAGCTGATCTGGCAAGTGAGTTTGTTGTTTACCTGCTATGGCTGCTTCTGGCGAAGACTCCGACCTGACGCACGTGGTTTTCTTTGTCGATTAGGAGAGCTGCTCAAGTCGAGCACTCTGCAAGAAAGCAGCATGGCAAGCGGTCCTCAACCGTCATATCCACCAAAATTACACACACAGACCCACATTAGGTCGAGGTCAGAACCACTCTCCCTCAGCACCCGCTGAGGAACCTGTGCCTATAAAAAGATGCCCAGCAGTCTCGAAATTCATTTCAAGCTCGTTGGGTCCTGTGATCTCCCTCCTCCCTTGGAAAAAGCTTTCTCTCGCCCCCTTTCGCCGGGAACTTGACATTCCGTCCTGCCATCGGAGCTTTGCAAGGGCAACCAAGATGGCGAGAATGAAGCTGGCGCTTGCCCTCCTGGGGCTGCTCATGGCGTCTTGCCTGGCTTTCACGTCGGTGAGTCTTACGTCAGTGGACTTTTTCTGTTGCTCTGTCAGTGAGCTTCATCTGCTTAAGTTCGATTTTCACTGTTGCCTCATAGTCGGTTCGTTGTATTGATGCTATGAGCTCCTAGGAGTTTTTGGAGTCGCTTTCAAGTGCTTGCAAAGCGACGCAACGTGAGTATGTCCAGTATATAAGGTTAAAGCCAGTGAGTAACTGGATATAGAAGTCGAGGCTAATCCCAGCTTTTCGATTTCAATCGTCAGACCTTTCAGATTCCGAGGACAGAAGGCTCAGGGGGGTTAGTGCAATCTGTTATTGTACAGGGAGTCAAAAAAGGGAGGGATCGGATCACTGTCTGAAGTTTTTTTAATCTTGGGAAGAGCAGGAACTTTGAGAATGTTTGCAATAAACGTTGCTTAATACGAATACGTTTCGTACCGCAGGTCTTCGCCGACACATTGACCGCTGCCAGCGAGGCAGAGACCAGGCGTAAGTAGAAACGAAACCTCCATGATTCTTTTCTAGGCAGCGACCCTTTGGGTTTCATCACTACAAAAATCTCCGCAGGATGCCTGCTTTGTATCGGTGGGCGCCAAGTAGCTTCTTGACCAATTGTGTTGTATCCCATTCCGGCTGGCCCGATTGAGAGATGTTTGCCAGTCTTGACTGGATAAACGTCAGAAGGGGAGTCTTGGTGAACGCAGCGTCCTTTGCCTTATACTCCCGTAAGTCCGTTACTGATATTCAGGTTGCTGTTTGGTGCAGCTTACCTGGGCAAAGTACCCGGCAACGTTCTCGGTGAGTAACTCGACCGTTCTGCTGTTCCATCCTGCTGTCAGAAGGTTCGATCGCTCCAGTGAGCGAAGATTTCCGCTTCAAAGGCGCTCTTGACAGCAACTGTTTCAGCTCGGCTGCTTGGTTTCCACAGAGAGAGAAAGATTCTGATCGGCATCCAATATCCTGTTCTTCAGAGGATTGTGAGACAGGGATGAGGAATGGCTTCCGTGGCTTGCATTTGTAGTCCTGAAATGCGCAAGCTGGTCTCCGCAACCATGCAACAACTTATTCTGCTTCCGTTGAGTTGACGTCAGTTGGCTGCGCTTTTGCTGACGTCAAAGATTGTCTCTGCAGCCCAAGGTGCCCACAGGGCTCTCCTGGAGGAGAAAGAAAACCGCCGCAACGACAATCGCCGCGAGGAAGAGCCGCGCCGCGAAGAGAAGGAGCGCGAAGAGAGGAAGCGCGAGGAAGAGAGGCAGCGCGAAGAGCAGCAGCGCGGAGAGCGAAAGCGCGAGGAACAGCAGCGCGAGGAGCAGCAGCGCAACGAGAGGCAGCGCGAGGAGGAGAAGCGCAACGAGAGGCAGCGCGAGGAGCAGCAGCGCAACGAGAGGCAGCGCGAAGAGAAGCAGCGCGAAGAGAGAAAGCGTGAGGAAGAGAAGCGCCGTCCGGAGAAGCGCCGCGAGGAGGAGAGGCGCGGTTCGTGATTCTGAACCTTTTGTCTTTCGTTTTCCTAGAGGATCTTTGGAAGAGCCTGCAAGTCTGAGCATGCTGATCTTGTCACTTGGTTTAGAAAAAGATTCATGTTGGGGTTGCTTGAGCACGTCTTGCCTTGCGCTTAAATACATTGATTTAGGTCACATGATTTTAGGATTCACAATGACTGTAAGACACCTCTAAGCAAGTTGTTCAAGATATGCCACAGTCCTTGTCTTCGAATCCGATGATCTTTGTCTATGCTGGAGGAATATCACAAGCTTTTAGGGGATATCACCTACCACTCTACCCACGTATCATTAACTGCTCTTCCACGTGTTATTCTTGTGTTTCATCCACTTCTCTCCTGCAAAAGATGGTAGGGCACTAAGGTCTTTAAACAGCCTACTCCTGAGATCCGAACAATCAACTCCACCTTTGTTCTTTCGTCTGCAGAGAAGGAAGGCGAGGACAAGCGCGACGACAAGCGCGAGGACAAGGGCGACAACAAGCGCGACGGGAAGCGCGAGGGGGAGCGCGAGGACAAGCGCGAGGAGAACCGCGAGGAGAAGCGCGAGAACAAGCGCGAGAACAAGCGCGAGGAGAAGCGCGATGACAAGCGCGAGAACAAGCGCGAGGAGAAGCGCTTCCCCGAAAAGAAGGATCGCGAGGAGAAGAAGGAGGAGCGCGAGGAGAACAGGCGCGGTAAGTGTTTGTTTGCCTGTATTGTTCCTGTTGTCATTTGAATATTTGAAGTCAGTGGCATTGAAGCTCGTTCTTTTGCGGGTTTTGATGTTCAAGGATCTGTGGCGTCTGTGGCTTAATCATATGCACTCAGTCGCTGCAAAGAAAAGTTCGTCTTGATTATTAATCGTGTCAAATGCCAAATTTTACTACGGCCTGATTTGAGGAAGTGCAAAACTTAGATTTTCCTAGTTCTCTCTATTTCTGTACAACATCCAAATTCAACCTGCCTTGACTATATTCATCTATCCTCTTTGGCAGGGATCTGAGGGATAAACACAGATATTTTTGTTGCGTTGATCATCTGAATTGAACGATTTTCCCCCTGACTAAGAAAGACACGGTAGAATTATTCTACAGAAAAGGGAATTTTGAGGCTGAGTTCGGTTCTTGCGAAACTTCAGCTTCGATCGGTTTAATTCAAAACGGTAACGGATCCACTTGAACCAAATAAGCAGGAGATCACTCTCGTTGTCTTCTATCATTTCAACTGAACGCCGTCCCACCCTGGCTTACAGAGAAGGGAGGTAGAAAGCTGCTGTGGGAGGAGGATCAGAAGAAGCGCGAGCGCGAGGACAAGCGCGACGACAAGCGCGAGGAGAAGCGCAACGAGAAGCGCGAGGAGAAGCGCGAGAACAATCGCGAGGAGAAGGGCAACGAGAAGCGCGAGAACAAGCGCGAGGAGAAACGCGACGAGAAGCGCGAGGAGAAGCGCGAGAACAATCGCGAGGAGAAGGGCAACGAGAAGCGCGAGAACAAGCGCGAGGAGAAGCGCGGGAACAAACGCGAGGAGAAGGGCAACGAGAAGCGCGAGGAGGAGCGCTTCGCCGAGGAGCAGCGCTTCGCCAAGGAGAAGGCGCGCGAGGAGGAGGAGCTCTGTAAGAAACTATCCTCCTGCAATTCAATCGTCTTAAAGTGCATTCGCTTGATTCCAGTAAAGCCGGAGATGGTTTCTGGAGGTTGAATCGTTCGATTCGGTTGTTTTGACTTATGCTTATCCTTGTCACGCAATCTGAAACTGATCTGGCCTTGTTTCTTTTCAATTGCTAGCAATCTGCGCTCACTTGTCTCCAGATTATCCTGATGCTTTCGCAGATTTTTGACTGCACTTCAGGAGACAAGATCACTCGGTCACATCCCTTATGAATGCAAACTGACCAGAGGGAAATTGCTTGCCTTGCAGCGAGGAAGGAGAGCAGGCACTTTCCCTAGGCCGTCCTGACGACAAGGGTGACCTGAGGTAGGAATGTCCAGCAGAATTACCTTCATCCGATGGTTGTGTAGTTTCAATGTATGCTGAAACCTGGGTTCCGTAAAGCCTTCTCTGCGTCTTTGATAGGTTAAGTGCTCGAGGTACGCGTTTGTCTCGTGAGCCTGCACGCTACTTTTGAGGTTGTCTTCGTCGTTTAATGAACAGACAAATCCTCCCCCATTCCAAGTCACATCGAGAGTGGGACTTCATACGTGCCTAGGCCTTCGTATCTCCGTTCTTCTGCATGTCAAATACCGAACCGTGTCCTACATAAACCTCGTCATTGATGTGAGAATACGAGGATAAGTTTATACTAGAAGCCGTCTGCATCGTACTGAGCAAAACAGTTCCTGACCTGAGTCTCAGAACTAATCACAAGAAACGTCACTCCTGCAGGTGTGTCGTTCGCAGAGCAACTGTGTCGAGAACAGTTTTCACCTGATAGAGTAACATCATCGGGCTGTTCAAGAATGCAGATTGTTGAATAAAACTTGTACACTGAGTAGGACAATAAAGAGGAGTGTCATAGACCTCGAGTTTGTGCACTCTCGCCTCAACGGCAGACAGTACCATCTCTGATGTAGGACTTGGTTAGGATAGAATGCAGATTGAGGAACGTGAACCATTCTGAACCCCAAATTTCAACGAAGTTACATCACGAAAATACTCCTTCCTTCGCAATATCTGCGTAAACTTGAACTTGGATGTAAACCTTCATCAAACTGCGTGCAATCAGTTCCCAGTCTCCCATCACTTATTATGGACTACCGATGATGTTATCTACCTTCTGCTTATGCATCTATTAGTGTAGAGTATCAATCGATATGTACTCAAAAAAAGTGACCTACGCTTGAAGTTAATCTATAACTTCGAAACAAACGCTTCACATTCCCTCTGACGACCAAGTTGAACGTTAGAAGGAAAGTACCTCTGCTCGGAGACATCTCTTTCGGCCAGAATATGCTTATCCGGATCCTGCTACAACTCCTTTCAAGCTGCTGTTATCTTAGATTGTCTAACTCCAAAATTCGCTGCAAGAGAGACTGTGGACAAAGCTACAAGTGTCATATATACTGCAGCACTCACACGCGCGCGCGCATCTGGCCGGCCGCGCGCCGCCAAGTCACCGAGCCGTGCATGGAGTCATGCACCGATCGTTTGAAGTTTGAAGATTGTGCCTCTAAGTTAAATCGAGCGTTGATTCCAGAAGTTAGAGAGCCTTGCGTGCATCGGGGCAGCAGCTTCGTAGCCATCTTTGAGATGATGCGAAGCGGAGATACCTCCGCTACCGGAAGGGCACTGGAAGAATTTAGGCGCTCCATCTTCCAAATCCTGTCTGCTGTTACAACGCCAGTCTTTCTTTTGAAAGTCGTGCTCTGCTAAAAGTCGTCCTCTCCGAGGAGAGACGCAGCAGCAGATGACCGCTTTTGTCAAAACCCACTGCAACAGTGATTCCTGGGTTCACAACCTGATTTAAGCTCTTCTGCGCAGATTTTGGTGAGCCATGCGCCTGGTTTCTACATTCAAACAAAGCCCTCTCTCTGACTCTCAGCGAAGTCAGTGACGGTGAAGCGCTGGCCAAGCTCACGAAGCTCGGGATATATTCCATGCACCAGCATTGAACGTTCACGGGTCACGACAGCTGATACTCGCTAGCTGATTACGAAGCTGACGCTCTTTCGCAACCCTCTGCAGCAACTACTGGAAGATTCACTCGAACCACACAGGTAAGACAAAAGTGGGCGATCAGTTTAGACACACCGCGGACTTATCTGGATTGAAGATGCGCAATACTACCA